ATGTCGAAAATTATTAATCTATTTTTTGAAAAAAAAATTATGTGTTTTAAAATATACCTCTAAGAGTATATAATATTTAATTTATCAATACATTTAATTTTATAATTTTAACAATGAAAATTATGTATAAGTTCGTATTATGAGTATGTTTTTAAAAATAATCTTATTAATACACAAAAAGTTTACTTATTCATTATATATATAAAAAATAACAGAACATTTTATAGTATAACGCTTGTCTGATAAAAATTAAACTGTTAATATAAATTTTGAAAGTCTATATACTAACAATATTATATTATATTAAAAGATGATGTATTGATAATATATAGTTATATTTATAATTCTTTATTACTATAACATATTCCACTGTTGGTATAAAGTTACCATGTCTACATTACTAGTTTTTATCCTGTCCATTAAATAAATTGCTAATTTAAAAGTTTTTAGCTTATTACTTAATAAAAGAATAGGGTAAATTTGAATTTTAAATTAATTATGACAAAAATACAGAATTTTTATAAATATGACATTTTATAAATAAATAATAAAAAATTGTATTTTCAATGTAAATTAATTAAATTTAATTCAAAATATAGCATAACTTCAAGCGTATCTTATGAGATAAAAAAAACTAACAAGTTTATTATGTATATTAACATTTTTATTTTTAAAAATAAAAAAACATTTACATGTTCCTGTTAAAAGAAACACAAATCAACATAAATAATCAATAAATGAAAATTGGCTCAAATTTTAATATCGGATCATTCACTCAAACTGATATGAAAAAACTGCAACCATTTAATATTGAATTTAAAATATATTGGCCTATTAAATATATGGTCAAATGATTTTTTAAGAAATAAATGTTAAAACAATAATTAGTTAAGAGAATAAAAATACATATTATATCAGAACTATGAAAATATTTAATAATTACTTTTAAATCATTAAATTTATTAACTGTAATATAGTTAAAATTTCTTATTTCTCATATCGCACTCGTTGTTGACAGCATCCATTGTGCAGTAGTATATCAGACAATGACCATCCATAACCGTCAAATTCATTCTAAGTGACACTGTGCAAGAATTGACTTGTCATTAGCTATTGCTTTGGGATTGATAAATTATTTAAGTAAATTGAGCTTAATTAAATTAAAATTAGTTTAGATCGGGTCACATATACTTACATTTTAAAACATAAAATAAACGAAAATTAAAATTAAGTTATACCAAGGAAACAACATATCAAGTTTGTTTTTATAAATTGAATTGATAAAGTAATCCAAACTTTTTTAAAAAAATATTCGGGTCAAATCAGTCCGGATCCGCTTAGACCTTTAGCTATTCTCAAATAATTTTTCTCAATTGAAATAATTTATTTTAATTCTTTAGGGCCCTAATTCTTTTGAAAGGCCCTCACAAATCTTGCACGTGGAATTAGTTTGGATGTTATACTAACTAGTAAGGAGTAGAAGAGTTTCACTTTCTAAAAGGAAAGTGAAAAAAATTAATGTACCTAATAAAGCAATTTGGCACTTGAAATTCAATCATTTTCTTATGAGAGTGAGTTAGGCTTTCAAAGAAAGTTGAGAAGTTAAGGCACTTATGGTTAAACCTTCATTATTTATCTTTTCTCCTGTGGACAAAACCGAACTGTAGTTAATAATAGTTAATGGGTCAACCTACAGAGTAACAAGCAAATGACAATTTGATCTTAACAATTGTTATGTAAAATATTTGAGAAGATATAGAAAAAATAAAAATAGAAGGAAAAAGCAGGGAAGCCAATGTAACATGTTGGAGCAATTGATGTTGAGAGGGATGTATAATTGTACCTTTGAAAGATTCTTTGGATATTTGGTTTTGGGTTCATGCATTTGCAGTGAGGAGAATGGGAAGGGAAGCAGAGTTGGGGCCACAAGAAAGGGAGATTTAACCCCCTGCCATGTGCATAATGGTCCATCTACTAATATAGCAGCTTGTAGCTTCCCACCAATCCCAGGCTGAGAAAGTGAAAACTCATTTGCACCTTATGGTGTTGCTTTAGGGGTCCCAGCATGTAGATGCACATGAAATTATCAAATGCCTTTAAGGGCATACCCTGTTTTACTTTTTACCTTTGCCCAAAACCATATGCTTCTTTGCTTCAACAATCCCCACCTCCCATGTGGTTTTCCCTTTTCCATTTTCTTCTTTTCTTCCCTTCTTCTTCTTCTTCTTCTTCTTCTTCTTCTTCTTCTTCTTCCCTTTTCCATTTTCTTCTTTTCTTCCCTTCTTCTTCTTCTTCTTCTTCTTCTTCAAAACCATATGCTTCTTTGCTTCAACAATCCCCACCTCCCATGTGGTTTTTCCTTTTCCATTTTCTTCTTTTCTTCCCTTCTTCTTCTTCTTCTTCTTCTTCTTCTTCTTCTTCTTCTTCTTCTTCATTCTACATGTTTAATGTTGAATGCAATGATTACCTTAGACAGAAACATAAATTATATTTTTATTTTTTTAGTTTAAATTGCTTTCATTTTTTAATTTTTTAAGAAGTCTCTTTTACTAATTATCAAAAATAGAATAAAAATATCTTGTATTATTAATCTGTATAATTTAATGAATAAAAAGTGTATAGGTATTTATATAAAAATAACAAATAAAATCTATAAAAAATATTATTTTCTTTCATAATTTTTTATTATATTTATATAAATTAATGATATATCACATCTTTGTTATATTTATACGAAATATTAGATAAAATGTTGAGAATAAAAAAATAATTTAAATAATTAAAAGTTATAAAAATTAAATAAATTTGATATCGGTTAAATAAATTAGAATATTCTTAAAATAATGAAGAAACTTAAATTTTTTTCAATTAAATAATTCTATATCAAATTGATAAACCTACAAAGCATATAAAACATTTCACAACCTGCGGAACGCGCGCGCGCGCGTACGCGCAACACTAATTCTACGCTCATCTTTTGCCTAATAAAAATTAACGTACAATTAATTTTGTAATTAAATAAATATTATATTAATATTAAATCGTTAGTATATAGCAATCTTTTTAATATTTATAAGTTTGTTTTTATTTAATTTTTTCAAATATCAAAATTTATAATATATAATCCTCACGAATGAATTAAAATCAGCACCAGTTTAGTGACCATTAGATAAATTATAGACGTATTTTAACAAGGTAAAACGAAAATTGCAAAAAGTGGCACATAATAGACTAAAGTGAGAATAAACAAATTAGCTATTGAGCAAAATATGATTTTTGTCTATTCATGTAAAAAGTTAATCTAAATGTCTTGTAGTGTTTAGTTGTTTTAGTGAAGAAAACGCTTGGATTGCAATTTTCCAACTATGGCTGTTTTGGATGCCTGGGAATCTCACGCCTACCAGCAGGTACTGAATTAGCTTCATCGTGTATGGGATAGGGATAGGGATAGGGATAGGCATAGGGATAGGTTTCAACACTGTCCCACATCTGGATTCGACTCGTACCAGTTTCAGACTCATCCATTCCACTTCATCTTCCACTTAACATTTCTGCAATTTTATGCTTAATTCTTACATTTTCATATTCTTTTTTACCCACTCGTGTTTAGTAATTGAATATATGTTAATAATATATTTAGAGGATACATTTATCTACTAATCATGCTAAGCTTTTTGGGTATATTATGTTTAATTTTGTGACTAATAAAACTATTGAATTAATTTTTTTTTACCATTTAAAAACTTTTAATGTCCAGTTGAGAATAGTTGCTCGCTAGTGATTAATGAAGTGTCTTTCTTGATATAAATTAAGTTGCTTTGCTTGGAGTTTTTAGGTTTGGATATTTTTTATGATTGAAACATATCTGTCGAGTTCTTATTGTTAATTGCGTGGGCGATTGTAGACTTTGATTATGGGTGTTTTTTTCTTTTTGGTTGGAACTGTTAGTTTTCAGATAGTTACATTAACTCAGTATGTATTCATTGTGTGGACTTACTCTCTATAACTCTCTGTACGTTCGGTGAAGTGCTTTTAATTAATGTAAATGTTTCTGTTCATGTAGCCCATTGAACTCACAAATTAAATAAAATTTTTATTATGTAACAATTATTTGTCAGCATTTTAGCCCTCCTTTATTTTTGATAGCATTGGCACTGTGATATGAGATAGCAAACGCTTTGGGCTTAGAAAAGGGCTTTGAGAAATGGAAAAGCCCCGAATGTGAGCTGATCCAAAACCTGACCCAATATAGTGGAACCACTTGATTTCACATTGAAATTCTTAAGAACTCGTTTAGCAAATGCATATATAAAAATAAAATAAATCAAACTTCTTAACAATAACATACAAAAGTGTTGCAGTTATTTAGACTTCGTAGAGTATTTTTGAAATTAACATTAGACCAACTCTTAAAAGAAAGAAATGATTAATCTATTGATATACTTAAAAGGGTAGTTTGCAAAAGTATTATTATTTTTGTTTGTTAAACATTATAAAAATATCATATTATTTTTATTTTATTTTTATATCAAAGATTGGCAAAAGAAATGATGATAGTTTTGTGTGGAAACAATTGAAAATTTAAAAAAAATAAATTACAATTACTATTTTTTAGACCTAAAACTTATAAAGAGCAGGGTACCTCAAAATTTAAAAAATAAATCAAACAATGTAAATTAGTTATAATTTAATCAACGAATTTGGTTATCTTTAAAAAAATAATTCAAAATTTCGTAACTTATTTCCAAAGCTGTGCACCTTCTTTATTAACTAGTTTAATATGAGATAAATAAGTCCGTGTCTTGTGTCAACATTTCACTTATATTTATAATAATAAAGGATTTTACTCTTTTTTATTTGCATGTATCAGAGAAGTAATTTAATTATTTCGATACTTATTAATAATTCCATCTTTAAAAAAATAAGAGATGCGAATAAAAGTGTTAAAAAAAAAAGAAGAAGCGAATATTATGTTGGAAAAATAAAAACACGGCAATCGTTCCTACTCGTGTGAGTTTCGTACGTAGTTCGGTTCTGTTGGTGGCGAACTATAATAAACGGTGGTCGTCCTCGTCTCCTTGCTGTAGCCATTTTCGGCGATTCAAAGCGCAAAACCATCGCAATCCTTTCAGATTTCGTGTTCTGATCTGCAATTTCGAGGTATTCAACATCGATTCCGAAATTGATTTTCTCTTCCTCTGTGATTCCTTAATGATTTGAGCTGTTTAATCTTCGTAATGATTTTGATGTCTTACGTTGATGCGTCGATTATCTCATGCTTGTTCTGTGATTTGAAATTGCATGCAACCTGGGTTCAAATCCATTTGGTTAGGGTATGTTTGAGGGGTATTTTCGTGATTCTATTTTGCATCCCAAACGTTTTCGGGCCCTTTTCCTAATCGACTTTCTATTTTACGTCATTCCTCTGTGTATTCTCTTATACTCGTTCACTTTTGTTGTTATCGAGTCAGTAATTGTGCCTTAGGTTGATGGTGATTGCTTGATTGTAAAAGATGAATATGTCGTTAATTTTGATTGTTTTTTATTTTTTAGAATTTATGCATATAGTATATATAAATCATTTGTTCTGTATCCATCATTAGTGCATTGCTTGAGGCTGTAAGTTAAAATTAATTCCCTCACCATATGTGTATGAGAAATATAAGGAATGCACTTGAAGACATTGCATGCGTATAGTTGAAGCTTATGCGTTTCTTAAGTTCGAAGATTTCATGTGGCGAGTATGCATTTTGAGCTATTTTAACTTGATTCTGACCCGACAAAAAGTATTCTTTTTGCAGTTGTGGAAGATATGAATTGGGTTCAGCGCAAGATTTACCTTTACAATGTGACTTTTGGGCTTTATATGTTGGATTGGTGGGAGCGTTGTACTTTCAGTATCCTTTATTGCACTCTCTTCTTCATGGATTTTAACTCCTTTATGTGTCTTTTACTTTGTATTATCCTGAAATGCAAAATTTTGATCGTTTCTATATATTTATGTGCGGGTTTTCTTTAAATTGTGAAACTGAAATTCATTAATTGTTGGGAACTAAGGTAGTCTGAACAGTAGTGATTTAGGTATACTCTGGTTTGAAAGACAATTGAAACCATATTAGAGAATTTTGACAAAAATGCCAAAGAATTTCTTGAATACATATGCTATCATGTCTGTTTTGATACTGCTTGGAAGAGTTCCTAAACTTTTGCAGATATTTTGGTGATTGTGTTAATGTGGTTTGTAATACGATATGTTACTCAATTCTTCAAGAGGTAGTTTATTTCCTCCCGTCTCATCTAATTTGTGACATAAATTCTTAACATGCATGCAGTTTAATGGATTATGGGGATATATATGGTTATTAAGTATTCTAATTTTGATTGCAATTATTCATGTTCATTAGGAATACTTATTACTGCAAAAAATTATCTAACAGCATATCTGACATTTCTCAACATATGCATTCATTAATCATTTTTTAAAAAACTAAAACTCTGAAATAATTTTTTTGCTTCCTAATCTCCTACATTCATCTCTATGTAAATTTTGAAAAATCATAAATACATATTTAACATCTTTACAAACTTATACAATAATATCATGAACACCATCGGTCAAAATTTTAAACACAATTGAGATTTTTGCACCCATTGTTACTTTCACTGCAGTCATTGTAAATTAGATTCAAACCAAAATAATCTCAGCAACTTACAATTCTTGGGGCACTATATTTGCGGCATCCACTTGATGTAGATCCTTTGCAGTAGTACAGTCATTCTGAGGGGCCTTTATATCCCAGTATTCAATTTAGCTCCCATTTCCAATTCTGAATATTTAAGTAAATGTAGAGTTGTAGATTCTTTGTAGGCAATACTTCAGTTCCACAGCCTGTTAATAAAGCTACATTTAAAATACTAATGCTCAATATCCTGCTATTGCAAGAGAATATCTGTGTAAATTGCAATTGAAAATTTGAAATTACTGTATGAATTTGACCTGCCTTTTTTTTTTTTTTTACCCTTTCTAAACTTATATATTTTTTAATGTCAGGTATGTTTGGTAAGAAGCAAAACGATTCTCAGGGGAAGATACCAATTTAGATTGTTATTTGGGGATCTAAATTAGTTGCAGCCGGTGTATTTGGTATAGCTGACTAGGGAATATCTTTTAGCAGTTTGATTTAGACTGACTTGGAATTTCTTTAAGCTACCCAAAATTGCTCTTCTCACACATTCTATACACCGTCATAACTCTTATTTGAACATTTCTTTGCTTATAAGTTTGTATGGGATGCCAATTGCCATTCTTTACATTGTAATAATTATTGGGATTGGGAATGTTCACTACTAAGCGTTTTGATTTTTGAACAGTTTCAAGCGTTAATGAACTAGCTTCAATGTAGACCTCCCTTTTTGTGTTTTTATTCCTTTTGCCAGTCTACTAATTCCCTGTCCTTGCAAGTTGCTTGGTCCACACTCTCTCTCTCTCCAATTGACGCTTGATAAGCAGACGATTTGGTCTTAGACTATTAACTATTAAGTTTTATAGCAATTCATGAATGTTTGTATGTTTAAATAATATTTAAAAATAAAAATAAAATATTCAAGAGATAATGATATCATTATTGTTAAATAATGATGAAATTATGTATTTTAAGAAAAAACAAATAGTAAAAGTTGTTTTTGGTTTTTAATAACAATGATTTTATTTTATAAAATGAGTATATTAAGATTTGTGAATTTGATAAAATTTTTTATGAAATGAATCGTTTGAATTAAGACACATAGTATCAACGTCTATTAATTTGATGATATATTGAAATTTAAAATTCAAAATAGGATTAATTAAATTTAACTTGCAATATTTTAAAAAAATACAATAAGGGCCATAGTTTGTGAAAAAAAAAAGAAGTCATGTAACTTGATAAAAAATGAAAAATAAATTCTGAAAGTCCTCTCATTTAATCTTTTAATTTACAAAAGTCGGATTAAAGAGAATCATATGTTTATGGAAATTACATTTTTCACCATTTTTTTATTAGTTGCATCATCCTTAAAATTGTGAAATGTATTTCAAAGAATATATCCTTATGCATAACATTTAACTTTCAAAATTTTAATTCTAGAGCACAACTACAAATATTCTAAAAATAAATCTCCAAAAAAATATTTAACATATTTTAAAATTAAAATTATAGAAAAAAACTATTAGTTTGGAAATTTAAATCCAAAATATTTTGTAAATCACTTATACAATTTTGATTTTAAAGTGCGTTTACAATTATTCCAGAAGTGTATTTAATATATTTTAAAATAAAAATAATAAAAAATATTGATACACCTACCTTATTTAAACGAGTAATTTTGGAACGACAGTTTAAAAAATTGAACGACGACGATAATAATAATAATAAGAACTCAAAAAAACATTTCATAAATGGGTTTGTCATTACTTTGATGCTTAGCTTTATAGTGGAGTCTGGTAGTGCACGACAGCCCCAAAGGTTTTCATATCTTATCGTATCATATTTTAATATTTACTTATTGAAAATTCATCTCAGAAACTATCGATTCTATCTTTCAAGAATGACCAAATTGTACCTTAATTTAACTCAAACAGACAATAATGCTTTTATAATTATTTAACTCACGCTCTAATCTGTGAAATTATGAGGATTAGTCACTGTAATTTTAATCCTAAATTTTACAAAAGAAAATAAATATTGTTTAGGTATTGTGTTGTTTTTACTGTCATTTTGTAAAAACAAATTAAATGAAATAATTGTGGGACCTACCAAAAAAAAAAAAAACTTCTCTATGAAATTAAATAATATTCGAGATTATATCTAATCAGGTACTTGTCTACTTGTTCGATCTATGTAATTGCAGTAGGCTTATTTGAAGCAATTTTGTTATATCCTCCTACATATTCTTTTAGTAATTCTCCTATTTATAAAATAAGTGTTGAAAAATATGATGTGAATTCATTTATTATTTATTAATTTTTTCATTTAGTATTTTAGAAAATTTATATGCATAAAAGGTAAGAGAATTTAGAATTATTCTTTGAAAATTAGGAAGGAATCCTCCTTCAAGCTCCTTGTAACTGAACTCACGCTTGATGCAGAGCCATAATATGTGTTCATGCTTCAATTTGTGCCTAATGGGATCATTTTAATTGAATTCAGATCGTGTGCCTACTCAAAACTCAATGCTACACTTAGCAACACAAAAATAATACGCATCATCTGCATTTCAAAATAGAATTCTTCGGTTGGGTTTTTGACAAGTGGGCAAAACATAATTTAAGGTTCTATTTGATGTTACCCATTTCAATAGGAAAAAAAAATTAATCATTTTTTATTCTCGTGTTCTATTCTGTTTATTTTTTAAAATACAACAAGCGTATAATAAAATTCTTATTTTATTCTGCTTTGCTCTAAAATGCCTACCAAACCAATTAAACAAGTCAAAAACTTTAATATTTGGAAATATTTTAATTTAAATGAGATATGCATAATGATTTGTGTAAAATCTAAAAGCATATATTTAAAACAATAAAAATTTGTATAATCAATTATGAGTTTAAAATTAAAATGAAAAAAGAAATTGAAAGATTCAACTATTTTTAAAAGGGTGAGCTCTAATTTAATACCCGAGTAAATTGTTAGAAATTATAGCTACACTAATTGCTCTTTTCAGCATAAAAAATATAAACTTTTTTATTTTAACCTTTTTAAAAACATTATCTAATCATCCTAAAAAAAGACCAATAGTGTATCTGTCATTAAATTTTATTACAGCCACGATATACTTTAAATCAAATCAAGGACGAATATATCTTTAGAAGCATTGTCCATGTTTTGAAACGTATTGTAAAATATGACATCCAGATTAACAGAGCTTTTGGTTTATAGTAACAAAATGTATGGATAAAGCTGTTGACACAATAGTGCGAAACACATGCTACATACAAACGTGCGGATTGTAGAAACAGTAATTACATGCATTTTATCAAAGGAATGAGTATCAAGCAATGCTTTACAGAGGAAATTTTCTGTGGTGTCCAATATAAAATGATATTTTGGGAAAACTATCATCTACACGGCAATCTAATAATAATATTAACATTTTATTGAAGAAACATGCAAAATATAAGAAACATGGAACCATCTTTTGAAAAGTTAGACTAGCATGTCAATTTTTACAACTAGGGGTTATAATCAGCAATGAGAATCTGGATGTGGGACATAAAAATCACCACAAAAAGAGAAGAAAAAGATACCCACTACCCATCATTCACAGCAGAAACAACCTAGGACCTTCAGAACTGGGTCAACGTTGTTGAGCCAGATTCTACCTTGTAGACATCTAAATTTGAAGTAGCCACACTAGATAAATTATAAATTTCAGGAGATCGAAACTCATCACAGTCTGTGGAGCCATTTTTGGTGAAAAATGCAATAAGAGTATTCATCATCCTACTCACAGCTGACTGGAATTCCTTTTGGCTGTTAGTCGTAGTACTATTGCCGCCGCCACTACTTTGAGCTAGATTATGTACAACAGACCCAACCGCAGCCCCCTCGACATACGATTTACATGCTGTTAGTATGTTATATGCTCGTCCTCGGAAATGCCCCGCGACCAAGTCCTCAAAGTGCTGCACATGAAGGAAATCTTAAGATAAATAAGATTATGATTTAGAAAGTTCTTCAGGCTCTTAATGCATCCACATAGACAATTAAACTTATAGTATTAGCTATATATATATATATAATCAGGAAAGTACAGAGAATAATCTATGAACAAATAAAGCTACAAACCAGCTCAAGTGAAACAATGAAATAAGTTAGAAAGTGATAGTTCACAAGTATTCTGCATTTCCTGTTTATTCATCAAAGTAGGAGGTCCTAATATCCTGGAATTTGCATATAATAATTAATACAGTGAAATTCACATTAGCTCCTTTCATTTTACTTATTAGAAGTGTCAGCATTCTGGTACAGTGGTACCTTAATGGTTTTTGGCCAGTGGCCAAAAGCATCTTCTTGTGGCAGAAACACTATGTTTCATGTCACGAGGAGTATCTATGTGGAGCTTTTGCACTTTTTATTGCAGCAAGTTTGGAAATACCAGAAATTTTCACAGTAACATAATACAGCCTCACTGCAAACACCCATTACTTTTTCTGCTCTCCTATGCTCCACATTTTTTTTCCTGCCAGTTTTACATCTTTGATCTGTACCAAATTTTGTTATCTTCCTACCTGCCTCTATAATTTCCTAGGCCAAACCATTTTCGACAATCTTCCTTATCCCATGTCAAGTAAAAAAGCACATACATTATACACTATTTTCTGGTCTAATCAAGGTTTACCACTGCGAATCCACCTCACTATCTTATTTTCAGTATATCATTTCTATACAAGATCTCTTAATATTCCTTGTGATTCTTCTATTTCTTCTACATTTAGTGGCAATTATATTTTTCAAATTTTGAAAACCAAAATTTTCAGTTTTGAATATAAATAATTAAAAACGATTATTATTCACAATTATATATAATATGATTTTGTATAGCAGAATGATTCCATGAAGAAGCTTTACATAATTCTAATCACTGCAGCTATTTTAATTTTTCTAAAGATTTAACTTAGTTGTTCATCAATAAAAAGTTATCTCAGCTCAGGATTCAGATACATGGTTGACTACATAACAGGAGATGCATTATTCAGCTCTGAAAATCTGTTGCCTGTTTAGTGACAATAGAATCCTCTTCTCTCCATAAGTTTTTTATATCTAGTCAAATTTTAATTTATAAATTCATAATATACATGACAAAATATCTAAAATCCTGAAACAGATATTTTATTGTACAGATTCAAGTTATTGAGTCAAAACAACAGAATATTAAAAGTGGGCAAATCCATCAATCACCTAACTATGAAATTCGTCTCAGAATCATAACAATTATTGGAAAAATAAGATATCAAAATGATCAAGACAAAACTATATGCCAAGAATGAAGAATCAGATATTGTTCTAGTCAACGTACTTTTGGGGGTTTACGCAGAGTATACATCATTGTCTTCAAGGATAAAATAAAAGTATTCTCATTGTACTCCTTAGATCTTCTTTGCCCCTCTGCACCAGAATATGTTGATATATAACCAGGCTCATTAAAAAAGGGCTTCTCATTTAGAATCAGAGCTTGTATTGAAACCAAGACTTGTAGCATGGTTGATTTTTCAGGGATCCAGTTTTCGCTATTCCTACCATGCCAAGTGCCCAAAAGACTAAGGCAGACTTTTCCACATTGATATAAATTTGGATTTAGCCTTAAGCCACCTGAGTGGTAGTGAACTTTCTGCAAAAGATAATTCAATTTTATATTGTGCACAGTACAAGACACATCTGAAAACATGTAGAAAATAGATGATACATACCGGTGGACCTGCAGGGTAGGTAGAAGGAAAGAGGCAATCAAAAAAGAAAAGACCATCATGGTATGGGGTGCCTTGAGGTCCAATAATGACTGCCCTTAGAAGCTCCATCCTAGATTCACTAACTCGCACAAAGATTGTCTCTGTAAAATATGTCTGTGAGATACATAATACATATACAGGTAAAGGTGATTGAAAATGATAGCAAAATATTATAAAGGTAGAATTTCATGTTTCACCACAATGGTAGAAGGTTGGACAGCAAGAAAAGAGGTTGGATAATGGTATACCTTTACCCGGAAAAAGATTTTAATGATGGTAAGTGTCATTAGCAAAACTGGGGGGATGCAATAGGGAGGCACTTCAAAAAAATGTCTCGGGGTAGGGTCAAAACAGCAATAAATGTTATCTTAGGAGAGAGATTTTACCTGGCAGATTTTCCTCCAAAATTTTCCATTCCTCTTGGATTTTTTTGGCCCAGTTTTTAGGCTTCTGTGACATTTAAAAAGGGCACGATTTTATTCAATCAGGTACATAAAATATAAGTATGCAGATGCAACCTAAAAAAAGTTTCTTAGTATTTATCACCTGTGACTCTGAAGTGCCCTCCTTATCGTAGTGATGATCAGGAAAATAATCAACAGTATCTAATTGCTTAAATTGTCGAAACTTGTTCATGACTGAATCTTCAGTTTCCTCTGATTTTCCCTTGGAACTAGATTCTGTACGGGCAAAAGCAATATCTTGCTTGCATTCACTAGAAGAAATATCCTTCAACCAAGGCAGTGCTGCCTCTACCCCAGGAGGCAAATCCACACTGTCAAATTGATCCTGCATATTTAAATAATCATCTTCATAGATGTCATCATTGAAGTAAAAATCAGAAACGTAATCAGGATCTTCATCTGCATCATCATCATCATCAATCATATCCTCGTCCTCTTGACAAGAAATATCAGAATTGGAACCATTTTGATTGTTTGAATTCAGTGATCCCGAGGTACAGCTTTTGCAGAGATCACCACTACCAGATGTTTCTCCCACACTCATAGAATTTCCATGATCACTGATCAAATCATCCTTGAAAAGAGAAAAAAAAAAAAAAACAAATAAAAGTTAAAATCGGTGCAAAGCTAAAGGTATGCTAAGCATGTGGGTTCATCACCAAGCAAAAAAAATCAGGATAACTCCATCGTTTTACACTGCAACCTATGTCAACCTTTTCACGCTAAAGGTATACTTACTGAGATTAAAGTTTGGGGGCATTGGAAATTATGCAGTAAACAATGTGATTCATCTGTAGTTAACAATTCATAGGCTATGAAATCAACTCACACAAATTTTAACGGGAAGGAGGTAGGGAGAAGACAATCCGTTATCCATGAACTTAACTAGTAGCAACCAGTTATTCAGTATAGAATCATACCCAAAATGAGCAAGTCTGTAACTGGCACTCAAGTAAAACTCTGGAATCCAGTTTCACAGCCTTTTTTTTTTTATAGAAATAGCAGAAATCTAATAAAAGCTTAGACAAATATATCCATGGCCCCAAATCAAATGCACTAACAAACACGTTTTCAAAGTCAGAGTCTTTCTTTGGCTATTTCAAAGATGATGGCAGGGTCTAAGAAAAAAGAGGAAGTTTTATGGCATTTTAAGCTTTGTTCCCTCCCACATTAGCAAATATTGCTGTTATGCTGTACAATTCTAAATGAAAGCATTTCTATTGTTGGGTTGCAAAGCAGCCAGAAATCAATACACCAGATGCCCAATATAATAACCCAAAACGTGAAAAACTATAAGAATTAAACCAAGGGATAAAATATCTTTACACAAAGGGGCTAAAAAAACACCGACCCAGTTCCAGAAAAAGAGAGAGAAATCCATAAGCTTGCAAAATTGAAACGATCAAGGATGAAAGTCAAAATCCAAAAGGGCACACGACGAGAACAAAACAATAACAAAAATATAAACCCATAAAGCATCAAACTTTACTCATAATCCAACCAAGAAAAGCACGACGGAGGCTAACGATCAAACCAAATTCCAAACAAAGAATGAAGAGAAAAAAGGGAATCTTTTCGAAGAGAAAATTGGTGAAAGGGAAAACCTGTTCCTGCTTTCTTTTCTTCATCCCAGAATTCTGAGGGTTCTCTTGAAGATCCATATGAATCAAAGGCTGAACCCCCACGACACAGAAAAGAGTAGAGAGAGGTAGCCCCCAAGTGCAAAACAAAAAGACACTCTTACACTCCCAAAGAAAGAAACAAAAACTATTGTTATTATAACCTATTTATTTAACCCACAATCCAATTAGAAAGAAAAAAGGGAGCATAACATTATTATTTATTTATTTATATAAAGTATAATATAAATACATGTAATATTATTACATGGGAATATTTTAAAATTCATTTACTATAATTTTAAAATTATAGCCATTCATATCATATATAATTTTTATGTTCGTATAACATAATATTTAATAAAAAAATTAGTAGCACATTTGTTGTTATTATTTAACAGTTATTAAAATGATAACTATATTTTTAATAAATTTTAACTAATAATTAAAGGTGGGTTAAAAAAATATTTTTAACACTCTTTAATATTTAATTAATGAAAATTGGTTCAAGTGATATTTTTAAAAAATATATATATCTTAAATTTAAATTTCTTATAAAAAGAATTAAGCCCATCATAATATGAATAATTTTCACTCCCATAAAATTACTTTTTGTAAATGATATATGTGATTTTAAAAGCAATATAATATTAAATAAATCTGTCAACAGCTAATAAAATATCAGATAAAATTAGATTTGGCATCTCTCATTCACCTTAAAACAAAAACCAAGAAAACTTCCAGATGATAATCAGAAAATTAAGAAAACAAATATTAATAAAATTGCAGTTTGTTTGTTGTATATATAGTGTTAGTAGTTAATTTTATCTTTAATATTTATTTTTATTTAAAGTGGAATTATTATTTTAAAGAACCTAATCTGAATAAATATTATAATTTGATTAATCTTAACAAAAATGTGAGTACAAAAACATTGATGGAAGGTTGTTTATAGTAAGGTGGGTTTGCCAACGAGGAAATGAGTGTGTGTGCAGTTGGCGCCTTTGTCTTGTGATGACATTGACACATACCATTTACTCTGTTCCTTCAGTGGTTCATTATATTATACGGCATGATCCTGTTTAAACACTACGCTCAAACATGTGATTGGCTGTATAAAATGCACGTGGGGTAATGCACATGTGTATATGGTGCAGGTCAGTGTAGTGGATAACTGCCCTCGGGTGTTGACCTCGGAGTCTCGGAGGTACCATAGATACGATGTGCATATAATAATAATTATAGTTTATTGAAATTTCTCATTCGGCTAAATAGAGAGATTCAGCAAATGAACGCTGGAATTTTCATTTTGGAAATTTCTTCTGTTTCAAGTTTTAACTATGTGTCATTTAAGAATGATATATTATGCCGTTACGTATTACTTTTATATTTATAAATCTTTTTAGGAATTAAATGAAAATGTATTACAACTTTTATATTTTAAGATGATATATATATATATTTTATGATTGAATTTAAATAATTAAAAATGGTGAAGTTTTATTAAAAAATTCTATATAAAATATAAAAACCAAATAATTTTAATCAAATCTTAATGTTATTAATTATATAAATTCCATCTTAAAAAATATGTATAAAAAGTGCTACCCCATTCGTATAATGTTTTTCCCAGTATATACAGAATAAATGTGATTGCCATTTACTGATAAAATAATTTTTTTATCTTTTGATAGGATATCATTATATATTAAAATGTGGTAACTATAACTAGATAATGTTATTATCATGTGGTTTAGTGCATTATCCGTAAATATTGTAAATAATTTATGCCAATAATTTTTATGAGTATAGCATCATTACTTGTGTGGTTTATATGTAAAAAAAAAATCTCTTATTAAAAATAAAAATATTTCTCAAAATTATAAATGGGACAAGTGATGCTATTTGAATGACTGATTCACTTTTAATGTTACTTTGAATCATAAAAATTTATTAAATATTCTTGTAATAATTTGAATCCAGTATAGAAGTGAACTCATTTTAAAAAAATTATCAACAATTAAAATATTCTTAGTTTGGTCCTTTTTTTTAATTTTATTTTGATTCTTTAACTTTTAAAAATATTTAAATAAATACTTTTTTTTAATTAAAAGTATTAATTCTTTTAAAATTTATTGTTCAAATTTTTTTCTCCTACAACTTTACTTATTCAACTAATTCTCTGTACCTTTCTTCTCCTTTTATTATATTTTCTCTTCCAATATCTCTTCTTTTACTTTTCCTCTTTCTTTTCTTTTCTTATTCTCTTCTTATCTTTGTTCATGCTTCTACAATTTATTTTCCTCCAATTCAAACTCCAGCGAACATGAAGAGAAAATCTCGAAACCAAGGTCATTGTCTTACTTCTCTCCTCCTATGACACGGACTTAACCAAAAATTTGCTAATATATTTATACATACATATATATATATATATATATATTACTAAAAAAACAAACAATAAAATTTTAACAAAGTTAACATTTTTTTATATAAAAAAACTTATTTAAAAACAATTTTAAAAGTTAAATCACCAAAATAAAACAAAAAAAAACTAGAAGATCAAATTAAATAAAAACTATAAATTAAGGGATCAAATATCAATATATTAATTTAAATTTTTTAAAGATTTTATAACATCCTAATTTTATTTTTTAAAATTACAAGAAAACACTAAAATAAAATGTGAATAATAATTTCAATATAAGATAAAAATGTGAGTTTTAAATTTATTACCCACACTAAATTTGAGTACGAGTATTTATTAAAAATGCAATCATAAAAGTATATACTATTAAATCAAGACCTTACTCCTTGTCCTTATTCGATCACTTAACCAAATGATTTTTTTTAAATAGTTGAATTTGAATTTAGAGTTCATTGAATCTCTGCTTTTCAAAATGAGCAGGTTAAATTAGTTTTGCTTTGAATGAAGGGTGGCATTCATACTCGTTGCATTGCGTTCCTTCGGAGCATATACTATTGTGCGGGTTCGCCAAGTGTAAAGTGAGTAACCAAGAAAGGCATACGAACTAACGCAGGAGGGGGAAAATTGCTTCAATATCTTGCCAATAGTTCAAACAAAATTTGGCAGCTCAAACACTCGCAAAAAAATAAATAAAAATCAGACGACATTAAAATACATGCTAAGCTTCGGAAAAGTATCAAGATTGTGTACTATATTTTCTCAGGAACCTTTTCGGCGCCTTTCAGGTTTCATTAATTAAAGAAGCTAATTCTTGGCGAAATGATGGAATTTTGTCTGCCTCAACAGCCATGACTAATCCCGTGGGCCTGTAATTTCTCATCTGTAACAGGCAGAAACAATAGTAGATAGTTCAGAATCATTGATAAAACATATTGCTATCTACTTCTACATTATTAAAATTAAGCAAGAAACTATAATTGAAAGAAAGTTCAGATCAACCACAACATAACTAAATTAAAAAATTTTGTTAGCTTTCCCTGTTAAAAATTATAAATTATTGAGCCAATCTAATCTATAAATATTCTGTAGACCCTTATTCATTCAAACTAGAATTAAGCAGCTAAAGTTCAAAGCTTGTTGTAGCCTACCTAATCCAGATGTTACTATGTGGCAGGAAATGAGCAAATCAGTCAGACGCAATGATTTTGACAATGAAATTCTATTTGATATAAAATTTCTTATTGCTTTGGCTGTTAAACTGAAACAAATATAATTTAGATGATGTCTAATAACCCTAGAGCTTTTACTTAACGACCGAGCTTGTCCAAGAGGGAACAACCAAAGAAAACCAGACAAGAAACAATAGCTATAAAAGGCTAATCCAATGTATCATGTTAAGAGGCACCCGCAGCACCAAATCCCCAAGAAAAAAAAAACTATTTACTGATAACCACAAGGAATAAAAGCAACTGATTTTGTCTCCCAAACGATGTGGGAGACAAGTATGTTAAATACTAACTGAATAACAAAATGAAAAACAGAAAACTAACTGAATTTAACTAATCTGTAATACTACCCCTCAAGTTGGGAAGTATATGTCCAATACCTCCAACTTGGACAAAAAACATGGTACTGAGTAGCCGGAAAAGCTTTGGCTTGGGAGATTTGCTAGATGATGTTGTGACTTTACATGAATTAACTTCAAGAAACCAGAACTGACATATTCACGAATAAAATGACAATTGATATTCACATGTTTTGATCATTCATAAGTTGTAGAATTCGTGTCTAAATGGATGGTAGACTGACTATCACATGTGTGCAGAAACTTGAAAACTTCTCAGCAACTGCCATACCATAGCAGCCACTTGCCACACAAGCTAAAACCCTATACTTAGCCTCAACCAGTGACCTGAAAACTGTAGGCTGTTGTTTCTTCGATGTTTATGATGTTAGAGACTCACCAAGGAAGACAGAAAACCATATTGTAGAAAGTCTATGTCAGATGAGAGGACAACTTCCACAATCAACAACTACAAAGGCTTGAGAGGGAGGTGGCAGGGAAAAACAAGCCCTGATCTGAAGCTTTTTCAAGTACCGAAGGACACGGTTCCCTGCATGATAGTGTGGGGTTTTTGGACTAGACATGAATTGACTAAGTCGATTGACAGCACAACTAATGTCTGCCCATGAATAGTGTACAGCAATCAAACAAAGAGTCATCTAAACATAGAGTCCCCTTTCTTCACTAATGTGAATATCTATAAGGCCCCATACTAATTTGGTCTTCCCCTGGTTGAAAGTCAATAAAATGAATAGTGTTATGATTTGAAGTAGGTTCCATGAATTCCTGAAAAACCACCAAATACTGCTCCAACAAAGCAGCAAACAATTCAGTTTGCTGTTTTGCAGTCAAGTTATTCCCTAAATCTGTTACATATATAAATATATAAGCAGACCACAAAGACCCATTGATCGACAGTTGTAACCTTTCATCCACGCCATATAAAGTTGCTGGTTCCATTAGGCCATTCCCCCTCCCTAATTCAAGGACATTGGCATCCACTATTCTTTCAAATTATCCCACTTTTAAGATTCAAATGAGTACAGTACACTTCCCCTGTGTCACTACTTTATGGCCATCTCCTTTCCTAAATGGATATTAGGTCAAATAGGCTATGTGATACTGACTGAATAACAGAAAACTAACTGACTGAACTAATCTGTTATAGAAACTTCTGATTGAAGTTTCGGGCATGGCATTGTATATATATTGACACCACAACCCCGCAGAAAGCCCATATGACAAAGAGCCAAAGAAGTAAACAAACCTAGTGCATATTGCGCCCACTAACAGAGGTAGCATTGTGTATTCTAAGTTGAGGAAACCCTAAGTGAATCCTCAAAAGTCATTTATTTTAAAAACCTTTGTTAGTCCCCTAATTTTGCAAAATGACATTCATTTTAGTCCTTTTGCTCTTTAATTACTATTTTTTCGCACTAAAATGATGTTTTGCAAAGTTAAAGACTAACAAAGGATTTTAAAATCTCAGGGAGTAAAATGTAAGATCCACACAAACTTGAGGACTAATTTAAGGGTTTACTCATTCTAAGTTGCTTTCAGAAACAGATAAAAAATGAGTAACTTTGAGCAAGTTAATAAGAACATCATGATAATACCATTGAGATTAAAGAATCATAAAACTTGCCTCATGAGGTGCATGCTGCTGAGTTTTCAATGGAAAAAAGAAGGACCACGAGCTTAACTGGAAATTATTTTGTAAATTAATCAGTAATCAAATAAAATAATTAAAATAATGCCAGAAAATACCAATACCTTGTGAAAAATTTCATCCTCAGGCTTCATATAAATTATTGCCTCCTCATTATCATTGATCGGTATTCTTTTCTGCTCTACATTCTTGTGCTATATTTTTCCACCCGAGAAAGTAGCCAAACATCATGAAAAAATTATTTTGGAGCATATTGCAAATAATCACAACCATAAGAGCCAAAAATATATAAACAGAAGGGAGACACCACAGCAGCACACATACCATGTAAATTTTGCTAAGCAATATGTAATGCTTAAACTTGAAGGAATTCCGAAGTTCCTCCGTCGGCTGTTAAACAGAAACAAATTCCAGAAATAATACAACATAAGTTCTAAGGAGCAAATTCATCTCTAGCAGCCAAACAGAAACACATATTAACACCCTCACCCATCTGACACTATCAACATCTAACCTCATCTTCCGTTGCCCACGACACTTCATCAAAAAGGGCACCATAAAGATGCGGCAAAAGCTGTGGAGGAAGGTTCACAACGCGCTGTGATACCAGAAGACCTACATCACACGCTTGTTCTCCCAAAAGCAATCTCAATTGATCCCCAACACCCTCCTCTTGGCGTGCCTTAAGGAGGAGAAAATCCTTGAGTGCGACAATACAGTTATGCTCCTAGCAAAAGTTCTTACAATTACTGAGATACTAAACAGAGAGAAACCAAAATTCACAGACATAGATAAGAGAAGTGAGTTACCTTATATCTGCATAAATTAAGAGCAGTAACAAGAGCAAAAAGCCCTTCATCCTCATCATCTTCTATCTTAACAACAGTGCCTACAGTGGTCTGTCCCAAAATCAATTCTACAAAGCCACTCAAATCCCATTCTAGATCGTCGAGGTAAGTTTGCAGCAAGGTCTTCACTCCATGAAAATCATTAGGTTTGGGATCGAAGAAGGAAAAATCCGCTTGGACAACTCCCTAGAAAAACACGCGGTTTAATTGGATTAATGATTAATATAAAACAGTAGGATTAGGATTAAGAAAAGAAGATGTCTTACGCCAAATTCGTCATCGGAAGAATCGGAGTGTTGGGGTTTGAGAGGATAACGAAGGGGGTTTGGAGAGTGTGTTGTTTTGAGCCTCGGCATAGAAAGAGAGAGAAAGCGAGAGAGAGCACGAGCGAAAGGGGAGAAAGTAATGGGCCAAGATTTGAGACGAGGACGATGCCTTCGAAGGGTTTTGGTTTTGGTTTTGGTTTTGGTTTTGGACTTGAGAACTCGAAGACGCATAATAAGAAGAGAGAGAGGGGGAGAAGCTGAAGAACCCCCGTGCGGCGGTGGGAGTGGGGGAATGGACTACGGACTATGGACTAAACAAAAGACTCTTCCATGAAATAGGAGTGCCCGGGTCGTCCTCTCCATTCGGATTCTTTTTAAATATTTTTTCTTTTAATTTTTTTAATAATAAAAATATTTGATTTACATGAGTGAATTATTCGGTAAAAATTATTTTGAGTTTGAATTTTAATTGATACAATGTTAAATATTTTAAAAAAAGTATTATACGGATACTAATTTTGTTCAACTCGAATAAAATTATTTTCAGCAAAAGTATATATGGTATAGACTAGAAAAAATATATTCATTTATTTTTTATTTTTAAATTTAATTTTGAAAGTTTGTATTAAAAATACTTTGAAATTTTTAATTCTGAAAATACACATAAAAATCTTAAATTTTAAAAATAAAAAATTTATAATTTAAAAACTTAATTTTTAATATTATGAAAAGCTAATTTTAGAAATTAATTTTTAAAATTTTAATTTTTTAATTTCAAGTTTTGATTTTCAGAAACATAGAATCCTAGTTCTATAAATTTATTTCTATAAATAGTTATTAATTCTTAAAATTTCTTTTTAAAAGTATAAACTTTTAATTTTAGAAACTTATTTTTAGGAAGGGTATAATTTTAATTAAGGGTACTTATTTATGAAAAAGATATTTTAAAATTTTAAAGTCGTAGAAGCTTAATTTCAAAAATTAATTTTTGAAAGAGTGATAATATAGACAAGTAAACGAATATGTTATAATAAATCAATTGTTTATAATATATTAAATATAATAGATGTATTTGGATAATAGCGATGTTTAAAATATTCTTGAAAATGATAGTGACGAAACAACAATGGAACCCGAAATAAAGAAGAATTAATTAATTACTTAATAACAAAGCATTGTACATGTAGCTCTCCTGTACACTTTAAACAAGTGAGTTTTAAAAGTGATTTTTTTTTCATTTGGGTTTTGCTCAATTATTAGATTATAACCATTGCGTGACTTTATATATATATATATATATATATATATATATATATATATATAAAATTTAAAATATATATAGTTTTTATAATTAATAATGTATTTAAATAATTTAAATTTTTGTTCTGTAGGATGTTTTGGTTCTTACTATTATAACATTATTAAAAAAAAAGTAACTTATTAAATAATAACTTTTATTAATAGTATTATAACGTTGAAGACTGAGATATAATACAATATTTATATAGAAATTAAAATATATATTTTATTATAGTAACTAATTCTTTTAACTATAAGAATAAATACGTATCTTAACTTAAAAAAGATTACGTTGTATATGACATTGTGATAAAGATAGTTGGAGAAAGGAAAGTATAGTGCTAACTTGTGGAGCTAAAATTGTTTCATTATTTTTAACACAATTTATCTACAGTGGTTTTCATTGATGAAATGCAGAATTATAGTAATTTGAATTTTATTTTGTCCTCATCATGTATGCACAAAACATTTTATTATTATTAAATTTTTTTGTCAATAAAATACATGTGATCACTTAAAGTATGTTTAGAAATAAGTAAAAAAATTATAAAGATCAATTCAATATAAAAATAACAAAGAATAGCAATAATAACATTAAAATAAACGTGAATAATCATTCAAACATAAATTTAAGTACACATTTACTTTTCATTATTGAGAGACAATTAGGCTTTTTTTCCTGAGTATTCTCAAGCTTGCATTATTGTCAAGCTTGTGGAATAGATATCATTGGAGTTGATTACATTTTTCAATGTGGGGAATTTTATTTTGAAAACAATAATACAAAGCATAAACCTAAAGTTTAGTTGACTCTTCCAATTTACAACTTGTAAATTACCACAAAGCAAGGGAGAACAGCTCTAGGATTTAAAACATTGAGTTCTTCAATATCTGATAGGTCATTTATTTTTTTTATGACGGAATCAAACCCTGAATGGGTCACTTCTTGAATCTCTTGCAGAGGATTATGGATTTTCCCAGCTATTACTCTGCACACTATAACAGATTTTCTCAACACCGATTTATTGGATGAGCCAATGGAATCAATGGCTTTTCCACTTGTAGAAGTAGTGAAAACCCCAACTGTACCTTGAAATTCTTGGTTGGCCGAAAAACCGTGCCTCAAAATTTGACAAACACCACATTGGTCTAAAGTGCATAAACTAGAAGACCCATTAACACCAAGGGAGCATGCAATAGTTGTACCATGAAATCTCAACAGCTCATTTCCATCAACCAGACATCGAGGTTGCTCATTTTGTAGCTTTTCAGCATTAATCCTTACCATTTCTCTACATTCCTCAAAGCAATCAAATTTTTCTTGCTTGTTCTGGACTTTCAACACACATTCAATTTGTGTTGCCTTGCTTTCAGCATCGTGACAAATTTGTTCGATGATCTTCCAAGATGAATCTGTTTTTTGAAGTTGGATGACTGCAAAGATGTGCTTGTTTAGGTTTCATATTAAAAATAAGTTCCACGCTACCACTAAGTAAAAAAGTTTATACTAAAATAGGAAATTGTTTCTTTTAGTTTCCTTCGAAGGTAAAGATTATTAAACCATTAGATTGTGTGTGAGACCAAACTCAGATTTTCTCTCAATTTTTTTTTCACGTATAAAGCAGTTTTTTGGACTAATGTACAAAGCATGCAGCTTTTAATACTAATTAAACATTCGAGATTTTTTTTTTCAGAAACAGTTTTGGAAAAAGAAAAGATAAAAAACCCTCCAAGTTTTTAATAAATTTAGAGCATGTTTGAATTTTATTATTTTTCAATAAATATCTCTCAAGTGAAATATTTCACTGCATCGAGTGCAGTAGAATATCTAATCGTTCCTTTTATCAAAATATTATGTTTATGATTTTTTAACAAAATGAATTAAATATTTGAATGATCCTTATTCAGTGTTCTATTCACTGGAGATAATCTCAACCTAACTGATGCTAACACAGAGACATCATCATATGATGTAAAGAAAATTAATCTGAAGAACAATTAACTCATAAACCATATATAAGCACATCAACCTCATACATGTTAATTCAACTAGAAAAGGTACTTGATCCTTACCAGAATGCTCGGGAATATCACGTTCTTCAACAGTGTCAATAGATTTTAGTTTCTCACCACCTTTATAATTGCGAGTTGATGTTGGAGGATCAGTAGTAGAATCTTTTTGCCGTGATCCCTTTGACTTTGAGAAGACATTACATTCATCACAATGAAAAAAATGCGTTTTTGACGAAGGTATAATTCGCTTGGTTGATCTGTGAGGATGAGACCCTTTTGCTCCTTTACCATCTTCATTGCCTTGGGGACAAATTTTAATCTCACCACTTATGCTATCAAGGAGAATTTCATGGCTAACATGTTTGACATTTGAACTATCAATGGTGCTTTGCATTTTTCTCTGAGTCCTTTTACTTGCCTTCGGATCATGAACTTCTGATGAATGAGGTTTGCAATGAAGTGATTTCTTCAGAAGATGCCAAAACTGTGACATTTTCTTGATATGTTTTCTTTGTGAAACGTGTAAAGTTTCGTTCTTCACAATGGATTTATATTATTCCAATTGCAAAGGCAAGAAAACAATCAAGGAAACCCAATTATTATTATTATTATTCAATTACCAAGATTCTTTATTTGTCAGATTGCTTTCCTTGTTGACCATTCACAAATAGGAGGAAATTCACGAGGTGCTTATTCTGAAAACGAACATGATATATATTGGCAGCTTTCTACAGAAAAATACAAAGAATTTCAGGCTTCTCATTTGTTTGTCAGCCATAAATATTTCCCTTTCTTTGAAAAGATAATAATTATTATAAACAGTAAAATATATAATTATAAAAAATAAGTATACATACATGGAAAAATACTTTTTATTAAAAAACTCGTGTCATTTTCTGTACGAGTTTAAAAGTCATGTTTAATTATTGGCATGCAATTTAATTTACTGATATTATGATTTTACTTTATGCTATTTGTACGCGTGTGGGTGATTAAAAAAATACATGCTTAAAAATATATATAATGTACATGTAACAATGTGTTTTTTAGTTAATGATTTTATTTTATTCCTTAAATAATGTATTAAAAATATTTATTTTAAAAGTTATATGTTTTATAAATAAGTTAAACTATTAATATTTGCTCAGTTAAATATTTTCACAAGTTCTATCATTTTTTAAAATTATTTCAGATCAATTTTGATAAAAAATAATAATTTAATTTTAACAAGGAGAAAAATGAAATTTATTATTCAAGTTTTTTTTAATATATTCAAATACCCTATAGTGTTTAGAAAGTAATAAATTTCATTTAATTAATTATAAAACTAAATGCCTTCTTAAAAAATGTAATAAAAAATGTATTCATTGTGAATAACAAAGATTCTATTTTATTAACCAACAATAAATTTAAAATATAGAACTTTTAAAATTAAGAAAAATAATATAAAAGTATATTTTTTTAAATAAAGATACATTATCTCTCTATATTCATTTAATATAACGTGCTAAAATTGAAATTGACTAAATATAAACATAGTGTTCAATAGAAATGTAAAGTATTAAAAAGAATGAAATATTTGATATATAAAAAAGATTATTTCGTTAAATATTTTTGAAATAAATTATAGACAGCTCATAACTCTCCTAAATTATTTTTAATTTATTTAAAAAAAGTAATTTAAAGTAACATCTAACTTTTAAAAATTAGCCACTATTATTTTACTTCTCTTTTTTTTAAATTAACTTTTATATAATTTACACTCACAAGTACAGTAATTATAATCTTAGCATTTTTTTTTATAATGTAGCAAAATTTCTGTTGTCACTCTAGAGATAATCACCACTTCCATTTTTTTTTTGGGGCTTTTTAGTTATTCTCCCCCTCTTTAATTCATTTTTTATATTTTTATTATTTAAATAAATATTTGATGATAAATAAATAAATTTTATAATTTAAAAAAATGAAAAACTCATGAAATTAACTTCTGACTTATGCACTTTTTTAAGCTTTTATTTCACATTTTTCTATAAATAACTTATTAAAATGATTTATTTTTATCTTGGCTTTTTTAAAATTTTATAAAAATTATACATATTAATTTTTTCTTGTAGAAGTCACAGATAAATTAAGTGGTCAATATAAGAACAATTATTAATAATAAGGAAAATAATAACTCTTGATTAAATATATTTTTATTTTAAATAACCTTTAAAAATAAGATATTAAGTTTGTATATAACTTAATTCGCCTCAACTTAGATTCTCTAATTTCATCGTGTTGCATTATTGAACTAATTTTTTAAGAGAAAATTTATGTACATTTTTATTGGTGTTTTGATGATATTTTTAAATACAAAATTTATTTTGATAACTTATGGGAACTTTAAATATTCATGTATATATATATATAATTTAATTTAAAAAATACAAAAATATTTAAAACATTGTACTTAAATTTTTATTTAAATTTTTAAATAAGAATTCATAAATTCAGAATTTATATGCTAAAATAACTTAAACGCCTCATCCGTTTTTAATTCTGTTTGTTATTTATTAATAAATTATCAGAAAATTAGTTAATTATATATATTTTTAATGATTTTTATTATATAATTTTTTTGGGTTTATATGAAGAATAATTATATATATAAAAGTTTTTTTTTTTTATAAATAAGTTTATTATTGAAGATTTTTTATATATATAAAAACTCAAATTCGAAACTTTACCTAAAAGATATCGAACAACTTACTACTTAGACTAACTTCTATCGATATAGAAACTCTTTTTTTGTTTGTTTATATTATTGCAATACAAATACAAATCATTATAAACTATCCATTCAAAATTTAACTTTTGATTCACTAAAATATTAAAATGTTAATTTTAATTAATTTCAATAACGTAATGTGACTTATGTAAAATTTGAGGATTATTCTAATTTAAAATTAATATATATATAAATTAATGAAGTTTATACATTTAAAATAAGTTATAACCATTAAGTACTTACTTTATATTTTTAAACCATTTGGTTAATTTTTAAATTTAATTATTTTCCATTGTAGGAAACAGATTTAATTAAAAATATTTTTAAAAGGTAAAAATTAAATAAGCAGTACAATATAAAAATTTCAAAAATATTAAATAAATATTAAAAAATTAATTTTTTTAATGTAATAATCAAAATCATAAACAAAGTAAAGGAAATTTTTTTATTGAAATATTGATAATAAATTAAACAATATATTATATTAATTAAGTATAGTATTTAAGAAGTATTATAAATTAATGAAAGAGACTTAATTTTCTATATATCACTATTTTGATGAATAAACTTAATTGAATAAATTACAATTTCACTGAAACAAAAAGAAAAAGTTGACACGTATTTTCAAAAAATATTAATTATCTTAAATTAAAACTTATATTAATTATATTAATTAATATAATATAGATTTTAATACGATACGTCATGTGTGCAATGAAAACTGTACACGTGTTGAAAGGGTATTCGGTGAAACACGTGCTCCTTTCAACACAACCACCCCATGGTATTTCCGTTATTCCGGGGAAAGAACGAGGTCAATTTCAGTAAGTCAACTCTTTGAAAGATCAAAATTCCCTTTTAAATTTCTCCTTCTTCTTCCGTTTCCTTTCTCTTCCGCTTCATTTCCATCACTTTCTCGTTTTCCCCTTCGCATTTCTCCACCGAAAGAGACGTAGAAAATCAGGTTTCCAACGACGACAATGGAGGAACAGCACGCACCCATCGAATCCGCTCACAACGATTCCAACAGTGTCTCTGCTCCGAGCGCCGACCATGGCTGGCAGAAGGTCACCTACGCAAAAAAACAGAAGAAGAAGACTAATAACACCACCAACGGCTCCGATTCCCGCGCCAATTCCAACAAGCTCGCCGCCAACGGGACGTTATCCGGCGCCGACAGCGTCTTCCGGTCGCTTGAGCTGCAATCGGAGGACCGGCGTCGCCGAATTCTCGAGGCGCGGAGAGCAGTCGATGATGCATTCGACGAAGCGCCGGTCAGATCGAAGCAACGGTCTCGCGACGACGACGAAGACGAAGATGACAATGTGGAGCGTTCCGCGGAGAACGGGAAGGCGGAGGAGGCGAAGAAGGTGAAGCAGAAGAAGCCGAAGAAGCCTAAGGTGACGGTGGCGGAGGCTGCGGCGAAGATCGACGCTGCTGATCTGGAGGCTTTTCTCGTTGATATATCGGTAGGGCATCTGATTTGGTCAATGCATTGAATCACGCATGTTTAGGTTTTGTGTTTTCTATGCATGAATAAGATGTTCTGATGCCATCATTCACCAAATGTCCATTGATCCGTTGGTTTTGTGATTTGAATTTTCACAACAGGCATCCTTCGAGAAGCAGCAGGACATACAAATGATGCGATTCGCAGATTATTTTGGACGTGCTTTTTCTGCTGTGACCGCTTCTCAGTTTCCCTGGGTGAAATTGTTCAGGGAGTCAACTGTGGCTAAGATCGCTGATGTGCGTTTTGAATTCCTTAGTTTTTTTTCTTCTCTGTAAATATTTGAATTCCACATTTTCTTATTCCAAGTTATATAAGTCACTATAGTCCTTTGAATATTTTAGTCCTTTCCATTCCAGTTTTTAAAGATTTTGTTACTGAATTAGTTCCACAAATTTGTAAAATAGCACCAAACTTGTTTCTTAAGGATTCTTTTTATAATCACTTTGGATCTCACTAAAGACCAATATGGTGACATTTTAGATCATTTCTTCAAAGCTTTAATCAATAGCTTAATTAGAGGCTATAAAGATTATTTTTTTCCTCCACTTTAATCCTTGATTAGGACCAATATGGTGAAAGAAGCTGGTGTCAGCTGCCAGCATTTGCAAAAACAATATGTTTGGAGTTTTTAATTAAGTGTGAAAGTGTGAAACCAATATATTCATCGTACAGTATTTGTATGGGGAGTTGTTCCTGCAATTTTTCAATAGCACAAGTTCTTATTCCTTAACTTGTGAATGCTTTAGAATGTCATGCTCCCAATTCATATTTTAGTTATATTGCTTCATTCATTCTTTCTTGTTGTGATTTTCTTTCTTTCTTTCTTTCCTTTCTTTGTCTTTTGAGTGCATATTTATTTTGTTTTAACTTATGACCAAGGTAGTTAAAATCCCGATTTGAATCCTAAAATCCTACAATTTTATGGTTTTGGAAGTTTTACCAATTTAAATTGTGGGTAAAATCATGGTTGAGTAAAATCATTGTAAAATTCCAATTTAAATCATAAAATCCCTCAAATCGTGGGATTTCAAGATTTCACTTTGATTATGAAAATTCCTTGCAAAGCCTCAGTTGTTGAACCCTATCAAAGTTGACGCCTCTTTCATATATCTCCTTTTTATTGAATCCAATTTGCCTCTATCAGCTTTGAACCCTAACGTCGTTGTCAACATTCAACAGTCCTCCTAGTGCGTGCAGCATTGTCTGCAACTAAACCCAGCAGTGTGCTGCTCTGACCTCAAGTATAGTGCTGCTGTTCTTGCATCTTTTCTGTTCTTGTCTAATTTTTACTTATGTTGATGCATTACATTTTTATGGAATAGATTATGATTTGTGAGTGCTACTTTGTTTAAGTGCTTTTACTGATTTAAAAGTTTTTTCCCCTAATGTATGATATTTTATATGAATAATATGAATTTATATCATATATATGAATTTTATAAAATTTTACAATTCGATTTACGATTTTACAATTTACGATTTTCACTCTCCTTTACAATTTAAAGTAAAATCCTGATTTTAACTAACTTGCTTATGACCATGCTTGTTATGCTATCATTTTAGCTCTTTACATCTATTAATTGTTGATCTTTGTGTAGTTCAGTCACATTATTCTTGGAATAATAGATTATGAAAATAATTGTATTAAAAGGTTTGCAGTAGTGAATCATTTACTATATTTGTTATTTGTATATAAATTATTCAAATATGTTACGTACATTGTGGTATTGATACTATGCAAAGCCAAATATTAGGATCTTTGGTGTAGTGAAATTTAATTCAGATGCATATTAATGCTAGATGTTCCACTAAATAGGTTATATTGATGATTTATGACCTTGAGGATCATAGTTATGACTTTCTCCAGTTAATCTTTTAATTAAAGTTTTAATACTTGCCCATATACAGTACTGAGCTTTTTTGCAAGTTTCTGCATTTTCTGATTGACTAATTATGTTGGAATTGTTCTTGTTATTTAATGAGTAAATTGATGTTCGAAGAATGTTTGATAACTATTGTACAAAATTCCTAGTCTATCTATGGTGTTTATCAAAATCTTGGTTCTAGTTTTTAATCTTCTCTTGGTTTATTTTTGCCAGGTGCCACTTTCTCACATATCTGATGCTGTATATAAGACTTCAACAGACTGGATTAACCAACGTTCTCTTGAGGCACTTAGTTCCTTTCTGCTTTGGTCTTTAGATAGCATACTTTCTGACTTCAGTAGCCAGCAAACTGTGGCCAAGGGTTCCAAAAAGGCTGTGCAACAAGTGGCTTCAAAATCCCAGGTAACTTATTCTGAATACTCTTCTTTATCAAGCAATAGCGGTCTTTTATTTTCTTGTTTGTTTTTTGGAATAACTGAAGTAACTTCTGTTAGAAGATAAGTCTGGACAGAGAAGGAGGGTGGAAAATGAATCACTCTTTAAGTAAAAACTAGCAGGAAGGTCACTCACCAAATCAAAACAAAGATAAGCTTAAACAGAAATATCAATACGTAATAGCTCTCTGTTCACTCTGCAAATCTATCCTGGGGACTATCTAGAAGAACCCATGTCTGAACAGCTAAGAGAGGTCAAGCAAACAAGCTTGTCCCAAAGCATGATTAATTAGCAAAGGGCATCTTCCTTTATAAATCATAATATTCTCTGTTAATCAAATGTAATATTGATGTTTGATTAGTTCATGACTATGAAATTCTCTGATGAGTGCCTTAGTGCAATTTGATATTTTAATTTATTTGCTTGTGATAAGTCATTAATTTTGATATGATAATCTCGACTTTTAAGTTTTAAGTGTTCATATGACTGTGATTGGCATAAAATTTCAAGGGCATGGGAGGAGGCTCAGTGTTGCTATATTTTATTTTTGGTTAGTCCTATTTTTTATGTTTCCAGTTTCTGTGGAACCTTCTTTTATCTGCATATTTCAATTTGAATGAATAGTCAATGTCAAGACAGATGACTCAAATAAAGCACTTGAGATAGGCAGTCAATCACGAGTGCATTCCATCATTCCATGTATGATTGACAAACATCAGAATGTACATATATAATTCATATCAATTTATTTTTTCGTTGGGGAATGGGCATTATAATATATAATCAATGCTCAAGAGATCAAATATTCATGTTCTTAGATTGCCATTCTTCGTAGTTCTGTTTTGGGAAAATGAGGTAGCTTGTTTTGATTCCATAATTCAATCCTTATGGGTTTTTTTACCCTGTAGAAATTGAATGCACTTGAAAATGGAAAAAAGTGAAAATGAAAGAAAATGCTTCTATTTGAATCTCCAATATGTTATGTTTGATTTAGACGGTTTATTTTCATTGTATTTTGTGTATCTTCTGTTTAAATCATCTTGGTTTTGTGATTTTCTTATTGTAAAATTTGGCAACAAATTTTTTGGTGATTTTTGGTTCCTAAATCACATTCAACCTTCATTTGATTATTTGTAGCTTTTGAAATGAAAATATACATTTTTGCTCTTCTTTTCAGCTGTAGACTGACATTGAATTCACATAACCTGCAGGTTGCAATGTTTGTTGTTTTAGCAATGGTATTGCGTCGGAAGCCTGATGCTCTTATTACTGTATTGCTCACATTGAGGGAGAATACCAAGTATCAAGGGCAAGATAAGCTTCTAGTGATTGTATGGATGATAGCTCAGGTGAGGGGTAGATGCCAAAATAACTAAGAGATCTTATGAGATATCCCTGAAAAGGAACTTCTGTTTGACCTTTTCAACAGGATAATTGGAGTGTTTCATTTTCCCTTCATTTTGCTTATTCTTAACATTGAAACGTTTCTGTGTAGGCTTCTGTAGGAGATCTATCAGTAGGTTTGTATGCTTGGGCACGAAATCTCCTACCTATAGTGAGTGGCAAAAGTGGGAACCCTCAATCCAGGGATTTGATTTTGCAGCTAGTGGAAAAGTATATAAATATTGAATACTTTCTTCTTTTATATCCTTATATCATCATTGCTATTGTAATCACCATCGCATTTTGTGTGATTTGTGGCAGAATTTTGTCTACCCCAAAAGCACGGCCTGTTTTAGTAAATAGTGCTGTGAGAAAGGGGGAGCGATTAATTCCTCCTTCTGCATTTGAAATTTTGGTCCACGCTACTTTTCCTCCATCTTCAGCTAGAGTAAAGGTAGATGTTAACCTGAGGTCATATGTTTGTATGTGAATGTATCATAGCCCCAAACCTTCCAAATTTATGTCAATGTGCTGCTTTTTTATAGGCTACTGAAAGATTTGAGGCCATATATCCCACTCTGAAAGAGGTGGCTCTTGGAGGTTCTCCTGGAAGTAAAGCAATGAAACAAGTTTCTCTGCAGATATTCAGTTTTGCTATCAAAGCAGCTGGAGAAAGTATGAAAGCTTGATTTTATTATTTTATTTGTGCTTCTTTTCTTATTAGATGAAATACTTGTTTTAGAGGGTATTCTGAATCAAATCTGTATTTCAGATAAACCTGAGCTATCAAAAGAAGCAGCTGGTATTTTTATTTGGTGTTTGGGCCAAAACACTGAATGCTACAAGCAATGGGTAAGCAATTCTGTCTTGAAGCTTGCTGTTTTGAGTTTATTCAAGTTTTTTGGCAGTATTTTTTGATAGAGCAAGAGAAGTTATTATAACTTATAAGAAACAATTTTTTGCTGTTTCTACACACACACAAATTTATTGACACTTGGTGTAAATTTGGACTTACACCAAATCTCAACTGTTAAAATTAATGGATCCAATGTTTTAAAAGATGCTGGTTGTCAAATTTAAAAAAATAAAATTATAGGCACGTGAAAACAATTTCTTTCTTCTCCTCTGTTAAGGGAGTTGGATCTTCCCCCAACTTCCTTGCTGCTCAGAATTGTTGGATATTTCAGCCATCCACTGTCACTATCTCTCTGCAAACTGTAACCTCATCGTCTATAATTGCATACGGATGCAAGTACTGTGTGTGAGAGCAAAGATTCAAAGGCATGGATTTGTTACCTCCTGCAAAGTGACACCGCAAGAGCAAAGATCCTGAGATTGAAGCATCAATGGTTCAAAAACACTCCCTGGTGGTGATCTTTTCTCATGGTGCTGGTGCTCCTTCCTCTTTCTGATTAGAAGCAAGGCAAAGTTTCCCTTTTATTACAACTTTAAATAACTTGTTGCCCCAACCACACAACCAGACAACTTTAGCTCTTTATGATGTGAAACAAAATTATCAAATAGCTATTAATTTTAAATGGTAATGTAATGTGCAAGGTGTGTGTGAAAGTTGTGGGAGTGGGGGAGTTTGAAACCTCCAGTACCGGGATTGGAGAAGGAACTCCACCCCTTACTTCCTTCATACGTGTGACTCTTTCTGAACATCTAAAGGAAGAAAAGACACACAAAATGTAAAGTTCTGTTGATATATTTAAACCATTGGATCTATTAGTTTTAATGGTTGAGAATTGGTGTAAGTCTGAATACTTACACTTGGTGTCAATAGATTCTTTTTCTGTCTATATCTATTTCTTGTATGTATCTATATATATTATATGGCAATCTGATAGATAATGCATTTGAAACTGAAAGAGAAGGGATTGCATTTTGTTGTGGACTTCTCCCTTAGCCCTGGATAAGTGGTGAACCCAGGTTATGAAAGAGAAAGAATGAATACAAATTGTTCCGCTCAAGATTTCGACAGCCAGATATCTCTCCCTATAATCAATCTTTTAACTAAACCCAATATCCGTAATCTGCTCTGCCAATCTCTTCCAAATTCTGATAGAATTCTAACAATCACTTGTTTTTCACTCCCTCAACTTACAGAAATCAGCCCGATGGGCTTACTTAACACAATCATAAAATTAGATTTACTAATTTGATCTTGTTCCTTATTGGATATGAACAGGAAAAAGTTTATCAGGACAACATTGAAGCAAGTGTTTCAGTTCTGAAGAAGCTTTCTGATGATTGGAAGGAGCAATCAACAAAATTGTCTCCTCATGAGCCACTGAGGGATACCTTAAAGAATTTTAGGCAAAAGGTAGTTTTTCATTAATCTGTCTTCATGATATACTTTCAGTTTATTGCATATGGGATTTGGTTTCCAGTCACACTGACATGTACTGATTAAATTCCGTTTTATTGTACTGAAGTAGCTGCATGTTTGAACTTGGGTATTTAATGATATAACTATTTTTGGCCGCAGAATGAGAAAGTATTGGCCACTGAGGGTGATGCTGCTCGTCATGCGCTCTTCAAGGATGCCGATAAATATTGTAAGATAATATTAGGAAGAGTTTCGCGCAGCCATGGGTGCACGACTTGTTTAACCTTTACAGTTCTTGCTTTGGCTGTGGGTGCTGTTCTTTTGTCCCCCAATATGGAATCCTTGGATTTTAAGAAGCTTTCTGTACTTTTCAACTCTCAGTATTGAGTAGTCTGCAGAATATTCCGCACTACTGGCAGTTGGTTACTCCAATCAGCAATTTTCTTTTCAGCCCATCTCATTCACAATGGGTACAGTAACTCAATAGCCTCAAATAAAGTGCATAATGCGGAGGGTGTACACTTAGTTCAGATGACAGAGAATAGTTGAGGCCAACACTGCTTCGAGGTTTACTTTAGTTTGACCATTTTATTATTTATTTGATGCTCTATGTTAAGTTAGTTATCTTATGCCATTACATTAACCGTGCTGGCAAAAAGCCAATGAGGTGACTACATATGTATTCTGAAGTTAATCGAGTTTAATCAAAGGAATTTTGGAGATAAACTGCGAAAACTTTCTGTAGATTTGGCTATGTTATCATGGCATGTGCCCTTTTCTTGTCTATTTCCTGGTTTCGATGCTTTGCTTTTCCTTTATTGAACAGCATTATTGACCTTATCAGATGGTCGATATAAAGCAGGAAAATAGAGCTTTGAGTGAGAGAAAAGGAGAAGTGGATAATTGCTTTCAGTAATACATTTGAGGGGATAAGCGCTTTCATTTCAGGAAAATACTGGCACGCTAGATACAATCATTTTCTTCCTGAGTCACTATTTATTTATAATTCTTTGACCTCGAGTTTTGTTCAATTTTTCCGAAATTTGGCATTGCACGATTGATATCAATATTGTATATCCTTTATTGATTCCATGAAAAATTGTGTTAAATTATTACGTCAATGTCAATTAATTCCCACATCACACCTTAATTTGAACTGCTAGACATTACATCAATATCAGTCTTAATAGATTAGTGAAAAAAAAAGAAGCCATTCTTTTTCCTTTTGGATTCCGTTGGATATCGTTTGACATTGAAAGTGAAAATCTTACGGATTACCTTCAAATTTTGCATCTGAATCCCATTCAATAAAACCTTTTTTTAATAAAAACAGAATAGGTATAACCATAACCCAACACTCACAACAATGTAGTTTTGAAGAACTGTACGATCGAACATCTGATTTTTTTGTGCTTTGGCCTCAATTTCATGGATAATCATAATCTTCAGGTTCGGCAAATGGGTACTTTGAGTACGCATTTCTAATTTTTGAAGGATCTTCAGGCGTAGACCAAGGGTACTTCAAAGATGGGTCCCGTGGGAATTTCCTGTAGTTTAAAAACGGTGCCCAAAGGAGAACCCTGCAGGACAAGAAGGAAATTATTTACACATTAGTGTGCTTTTAGAAATATGCTGCCAATTGTTAGAACAAATAATTTTAAAAAGAGAACAATCTTTTCAAAAAGTTAGAAATATAATAGTACTGGTTGCAGTACATATATTTTGCTTACCCTGGGAAGAAAATGAAGACACACATGAATTGGAGATACATCTCCAGCAACTTTCTTCTGTACCATCTTTTCCAAAGCCAGTACATAATTATTGGCTGCAATTCACGCAGTTATGCTCACTCACATTTAAAGAACTCAATTCAAATGCTCCTGTTGATTACATAAGGACAAACTTCAAAAGTTGTGAAAGGAATGAACTTACTGGCACGACAATGAAATAGATAAAGAGAACAATCCCCCATTGTGTCAAAACCCATGTGAGTTCTGGCTGGTTATTCTCTCCAGTGACTGCTAATACTGGTTGCTCCGCCTGTTCAAATAGCCACAGTCAACTTTTCTCTATGAAAACGAAAGGAATAATGTTAACTAGTTTCATAAAAGCACTAATAAAGGAATTAAAAGAATTTTTTTAAGAAAGTATATCGTTTAGTGTGACACTTGTTGGCTGGACCCAAGAACAAAGACAGTGGCAAGAGCTGAATTTTTATGTACAAGAATCTACCAAGGCCAAGAGAGCTCCTATATGCAGTGCCAAACTTGGTTTCTTTAGACTGTCATAATCATTGGGCTTCTGGCTGCTGCAAGTTATTCTCTGCAATTGAATTCATGGGTTCAAGTTAGATGAGTTTTTCAATGAAAGGAGTTAAGTAAAACTAGTGAAGTATTGTATTGATGGGCAGAAAGAAAATTGAAGTACATGTAATGATCGGCAAGGGTTAGTGTTGTTGTGGTTTGATTTGTGTTCGGAAGCAATGAAGAGAGAAGAAGCCCCGCGTGCTGAAGTGGGAAGAGGAGGAAGAGCTTTGGGAACATGGAGGCTGAATGAGTAGCTCATTTTTGTGTAGGCTCTCTCGGTTTGGTTTCTTATCCTTTTCATCACTTCAGTTCCATGGCAACGGATGAATGGCTTTCTGAGGGAAAAAATGACAAAAAAAAAAAAAAAGATTGAGGAAATGACACGTGGAAATTAGACTCATCCACTACCACTCCTGTTTCTTGTCCATTCAAGTTTTGATGAGGCTAACACAAATTTCCTAAACTTGTATTAGTTGGTATTCAACACAATGGCAGTCAGTCTTGGAACAAAAAATAAAATTTTATAAGTCTTAAACGAAAATAAAGCTTGGACTGTTATTTCTGATAATTTTTTTATATATTAATTTGTTTAAACTTTTTTATATGTGCATTAAAGAAATTATAATTTTTGTTGTCATGTTGAAGTAGTCATTTTAATATGAGAATGTTGGCAGGAATTCAGTTGATGGGTTTCAGATCTTCCAAAGTGGTGAAAATTAATATGGTTTTAATTCCTCGTGGTTCAAACAATCATCAATATTTTATAGTTGAAGTTTAGTCAAAATTCAATAAGCATTATCAAATAAAAATAAATTCATATCCACATGATACATTTTTCTTCTCATCAAATCTGATAGCTTCGATATTTTACCTACGAAAATTTTCAAATGCAATGCACTTCTCGTATCAAGCATTTTCAAAGTTGAAACATTGCCTTCCAAATGGATGAGGTCACATCTTCCTGTTCTGATTTAAAATTGAGATGATGCTCCAGTTCTTTAGAGATTGAGGCTATGCCAATGATTTGAGGAGTTTCAATTCTTTGCATGATATATGATACTCACTTTCATGTGAAATTCTCAACCTTTATCGGTTCTTGTGTAAATTTTAAACTTAAATTTTATTGTTTTTGCTTAATTTTTTTTTTCACTTTCACACATATAAAGTCAAGCACAAAATATTTAATAATCCTAAACTGTTAAATTTCCCAATATGAAATGATTGCGAAAAATTTTCTAGCATGTTACTATCAAATAAAACAAAAATAAAAAAATTCATAAATTCAGACACATTATTAGTACAAAAAAATTCATAAATCAAATTTGTAATAAATTAAAACGCCTTTAAAAATTCATAATTAAAAACACTTAATTCACAGTGTAAGAGTACAATTGAAAAAGCCAATATCATCATATCTTTCAATTTCATTATGCAGTCAAGTTTGTTAGTTTCTTTAAATCACACAACTAAATTCAGACACATTATTAGTACAAAAAAAGAAAAAGAAAAAGAAAAAGAAAAGAGAATCTGATACATTATAACTCCTCAACCCAATTTTATAATTTTTAACTATAGTTTAGATAGTGCGAAATTATATCTGAGGTTGGATCATAAATCAATAGTGGTTATAGACAGCAATTCCTTAATAGCTAATTCGGTTGTGATTGGAGAGTGAGGCCAACCGCACAATTACTTGTCATCAACTAAAATTCACTTTGATGACACCCGCATCCAATTAATAATCACTACTAATTACCAATTATTACATTAACAAGACACCCACTGTGCCCACACATTTAAGTATATTATTAATCTAATTTTTTTTTTCTATGCTTCTTAAACAATTCTATTCAAAATATACTAATTTTTTTCTAACTAAATTTAAAATTATTGATTGTTTAAACTTAACTTTAAAAATTAAATTAACATTTTCCAAACGAAAAACAGTTAGGAAAAAAAATAAAAAATAAAAAAGGGAAGAGGATGCCCAGCGAAGGAGGGGCCGCAAAAAGCCAAGGTTGTCGGAATTGTGTTTGATTCTTCCTTCAGTTGAGTTGAGTGCAGTCGCAGCGATTCTCTCTATTTGATCCGAGAAAACCGAAGAGAGAGAGAGAGAGAGAGAGAAAGAGAGAGAGAGATCGGCGCTGAAAATGGGTACGCTTCAATCTTGGAGAAGAGCTTACGGTGCCATCAAAGACTCAACGAAAGTGGGTCTTGCCCATGTCAACAGCGATTACGCGGTAAACTTAATAAGATCTTTTTCTAAACATAGAATCTTTCTTTCTTTCTTTCTTTTCTGATGAATCCCTAATTCCTAATTTTAGGATTTGGATGTTGCCATAGTCAAAGCCACGAACCACGTCGAATGTCCACCCAAAGAGAGACATCTAAGAAGTGAGTGCCCATTTTCTTGTGATGATCTTCAGATCCCAATTTCATTGATCTTCTGATTTCAATTTCGATTTCATTTTTTTAGAGATTCTGTTTGCCACTTCTGCTGTTCGGCCCAGGGCTGATGTTGCTTACTGCATTCACGCCCTTTCTCGCCGCTTGGCCAAGACGCGCAATTGGACCGTCGCATTGAAAACCCTAATAGTCATCCATAGGTTATTGAGGGAGGGTGATCCTACTTTCAGAGAAGAACTTCTCAATTTCTCACAGAGAACACGGATTCTCCAGCTTTCTAATTTTAAGGATGATTCTAGCCCAATAGGTTATTTTTTTACCTTATTATCTTTATATTTTGTTGTTTAACTGTCATCTGGGTTTATATTAGAGTTTTTAAATGTTATTCTCATGCCTATGTGATTTCATTTGCCTGCAGCTTGGGATTGCTCTGCATGGGTACGAACTTATGCATTGTTTTTGGAAGAAAGACTTGAATGTTTTCGGATTTTGAAGTATGATATTGAAGCGGAACGTCTACCCAAACCTGCCCCAGGGCAGGAGAAGGTAATTTCAATGAACCGTTGTTCATTTGATGGTCAAGTTTTGAAGATGTGTATGTAGCACCTAATATTGTTGTCTTTATGTGGACTGAAAAGTGTTTGTGTAAAAAATAAATACTATTTTCTCTGACAGTTATAGGTTAGTTAGTCTGAGTGAGTGTTTATAGTTAAAACAATTACTTACTCAGACAGGTTGAAACAAAAAAAAAGGTAGGGATTTAGCTTAAATAGGAGAAGGGGTAGAAAGGAGTGGCATTGAGATTTGTTACTGGTGACCAGTGCTGTGGCTCAGTTGTAATGGGAAACCATTGGAGATAATTTTCTCCCTGTTCTCTTCAATTTTTATCCAAGCGATTAAATATCTCTTTTCTCTATTTCTGTTGTGGGTTCCCAACTCTGCATGTGTATGGTCTTCTATTTGGGTTCCTAGTGAACATTCAACATATTTTTCACCTTTTAAAGGTTTGCTAGAATGCAGCTGTTTGTATATGCATAAGCATATTTAGTGGGGGTGTGCATGGGACGACTTTATCTTTGTTCTTACCTGGCCAGAAATTTTGACAAGGTCTTTTCTTTGCCCAAATTCAACCCAACCAAGACCCAATAATATTGATTATTGAAACAGGACCATGTCAATCCAATTTACAAGCAAAATATATTAATCTTCTTAACATTATATATAGTTAAATTATAGAATTAATAAAGTATAGAACTAAATTAAAGTATATTTTTCAATATATATTTTAAAACAAATAATATTGATATGAGATTACGATATGCAAAATATCATCTATCAAATTTTGTAGTCTTATTACTAATACATAATTGCTTAAAAAAAGTTTATGTTTTAAAAGAGAAAAGAGGTTGGGACAAACGAACTATAACCTGAATCAGTCCTCGTAATACACTAGGTTTAATTTTAAAATCTCAAACTGTCAAAATCAACATCAGACAGGACCAGTTGGTGGGACAGGACGAGTCTTGTACTACACCCTTAATATTTAGGGTGTATTTTCATCCTAAACTTGGTAGAGTTGCATTTTTAGCTTTAATTTGGTGCTTTGCTAGTTGATGCTTTAAAGGAGTTGGTATCCTTGATATGGAAATAGTTTGAGCTGCAATATGCTAAATTCTTAGTGTTTGCTGTCCCTTACTTCTAATGGTTTTTAATTTTTTCCTTAGAGATGGTCAACCCCTTCTAGTTGGATCAGACTTGCTTCTTATTGTGATCCAAAACAAAGTTGGGCCTGGCATGACCATGACCTTTGATCTTTTAACTGTACTGAAATGTTTTTTTGGATTAAATGAAACTGTAGGCCCTTTACTTTTTAAGGAGTTTTCAATAGAGTTCGAACATGTTGGAAGTTTCTAATGTCTTTATAGTTTGAAAATTTCTAGTTGGGTCCTAGTAGATTGCCTACCATTAGAAGAAAATTTAAGTTCTACTATATGCATGCAACCTTACCCCCACAAGCGGAGAGCCTATATATATAGTATTTAACTCATACATAGGTCACAAGGCAACAACTTTATCGTTGCACCAAGGCTCACCCGATATAGAGGACCTGACTATACATTTTTGAAAATCTACAAACAGTTAGTTATCCATGGATTAACTTGAGCCCTTCTTTGAAGCATGTTGCTTCCTTAGTTAAAACTTTGTTTATAATTTGGAAGTTTTCATGTTTATTTGTTTTTCAAGCAGGGCTACAGCAAGACCAGGGATTTGGATAGTGAGGAGTTATTGGAGCAGTTGCCTGCTTTGCAACAGCTGCTATATCGACTTGTTGGTTGTCGGGTAATATCGTGAAATGTGAATATTCATCATCTTTTTTGTCTTTTTATTTTTAATTTGGTCACTTTATATCAATTTGGTTTAGTGGTTTTTATCTTACTACTGCTTTTTATTTTTGGGGTAGTATTTTTTTCTTGAATAGTAGAAACTGATTGGGTGTTTAATTTTACAGCCGGAAGGAGCAGCTGTTAGCAATTATGTGATACAATATGCTCTGGCTCTGGTATGTGTTGTTGTTGGTTTATCTGAAGAACTTTGTATTGAGCTAGAGATCAGAATTTAGCAATAGTATATATATACATGTTTCAGGATGTGCCATCTATTTTAGATTTTTCTGAGCAGAGACCATGTATAGGGGAAAGATGGGATTCTGTTGTTGACTGTAACTGTATTGGTTGACCTTAAGGTTATGAAATACTTTTTCTTCTTTCTATTTACATGGATTAAAACAATGAAACTGTGAATATTGGACTTAGAAATTGAACTTTGAATGGAATAACTTCCAAAATTCTGCGACCATGGCATTTATTGATGCTTCTTCCATTGGCAGTGGGACTCCATATTAGGTTAACGATAATGTTGGAATTGATTTTTAATTGTCTGCATTTAAAGATCTGTTTAGGATAGGGACAGCAGCTACGGTGACCATTTGTCATCATGGTTATGTGGTCTCTTGTTAAATAGTTGTAAATTTGATGTTATTGATCAAGCACTTGATTGTTTATGTTATAAGCTTCATATATATTAGTTATGTTCATAACTAGTGTTGGAGGTATATAGTTTTTAAATTTATTATATTACATGCATTTAAATTGCTTTTGTTGTTGATCTGGTTCTTTTGCTCATTCTAGGTATTGAAAGAGAGCTTTAAGATTTATTGTGCTATTAATGATGGCATTATCAACCTTGTTGATAAGGTAAATTGACTTACCATTATCTACTTGATGAGTATCAAGTTTAAATAAAACATGTTTTATTCTGGAAAATGAAATTTTCTTGTAGTTTTTTGAGATGCCCAGACATGAAGCTATTAAAGCCCTTGAAGCCTATAAACGTGCGGGTCAGCAGGTGATATTTTGAAGCTTGTATTTCTCAGTTAACCACTAGGCTTTTGCATTTCAATTTCATGAAATGATGCTTGTATTAAATTTACCAAATTGTTGCAGGCAGCAAGTCTATCTGATTTCTATGAAGTTTGCAAAGGTTTGGAACTTGCTAGGAATTTTCAGTTTCCTGTCTTAAGAGAGGTATGCCTTAGTGATTGTGGCAATCTCGTGCTTTTATTTAATGAGTTTTTCCTGTTACATTTTTAACATGGGGTTACCATTGTTTTTATTGCTGATCTTTTCAGCCTCCACAATCTTTTCTAAACACCATGGAAGAGTACATTAAGGAGGCACCTCGAGTGGTTACAGTTCCAAGCGAGCCATTGGTTAGTACATCATTTGTTTTGTTTATGTAGAGCATAGTTGTCATAGTGCATTTGTAAATTGGGTTTATTAGGATTTTGTTGAACAATGATTAGGCAACTATATGTACTTTTCCTTTATTTCTTTTACATTTAAGTTCTTCTAGCCACTAACTTCTTGTCCTGTGTCAACAGCTTCAGTTGACTTACAGACCAGAAGAAACTCTTGCAATTGAAGACACGAAACCATCTGTTGAAGAACAAGAGCCATCAGTTCCTGTTGATAATGATGTTGTTGCCGAATCTGAACCTGCACCTCCTCCTCCTCCTCCTCCTACATCTCACAACACCTTTGAAACCGGAGACTTACTGGTAGCTTGGATCCCAATGTTATCTCAGTTTTTTAATTTATTTATTTTGTATAATTTTCCTTATCCTGGCCTTGTTGCAGGGATTGAGTGACACTGCACCTGATGCATCATCCATAGAGGAAAGAAATGCTCTTGCCCTAGCCATAGTACCCTCTGAAAATGGTGAGTTTTGTTTTTGGCTTCTTCTCAAACCCTACTGCTAAGCAAGGTTTAGTGGATTGATATGCTCGTGACTTCTATGAAATGTGACTGTTTTGTGCATATAGGCACTACATCAGCTTTTAACTCAACTACCACTCAAACAAAAGATTTTGATCCAACCGGATGGGAGCTTGCTCTGGTCAGCACTCCAAGTACTGATATTTCTTCAGTCAATGAGAGACAATTGGTACGACCTTCATGTGACATTTCTAAGTTGTTTATGTAAATATACATTGATATCAGTGTGAAATCAAAGCTGACAACAACTAGAGTGTTGATCATGCACGGAATTTGGAATTAATAAGAAATTATTTTGCAGTCCATTAGTTGCTCCTAAAATTATAGTTTTTTAACTGTCCAGTTTTATACTGGTAAAGATTGAATTTAGTATGGCATGCATGCTAAACATAAATACTATTTCATTATTCAACAGTTTAAGCAATGAAAATTATGTTCTATAAATTAGTTGATGGCGTCTTCATATGAAGTTTACACTGGCATCAATCTGTTGCATAACTTTGTGATGCCTAAGATTTGGTGTTACTGTACTGTTTTGACAGACATAAATATGCATAACATTCAGGATTCATGGGGTTTAGGTTATTTGATTGTTTTGAACCACGCTCAATCTTTTATTAGTACAAGTCATTTGATACGGTGTACATATGCTTTTTCTTATACAAGTCTATTTATTGTCACTATGATAAAAGTAAGTGTAGATGGTCTATAGAATGAATGATGAGAATAACATAACCCTAACTTAAGCTGTGTTTATCATTTTGTTGGCATTGAATGTCAGGCTGGTGGATTGGACTCCCTCACTCTTAACAGCTTATATGATGAAGCAGCATATAGAGCTGCACAACAACCAGTATATGGAGCACCAGCCCCAAATCCATTTGAAGTGCAGGATCCATTTGCTTTATCAAACAGCGTCCCTCCCCCACCAGCTGTCCAAATGGCAGCAATGCAACAGCAAGCAAATCCATTTGGTCCTTTCCAACCATTTGAACCACAGCAGCAGCAGCAGCACATGTTGATGAACCCGGCAAATCCCTTTGGGGATGCAGGATATGGAGCATTTCCCGGCAATCCCGCTTCTCACCCACAGAACAATCCATTTGGAAGCACAGGCTTGTTGTGAGAATGGCTCTCTTTTTGGAGATATAGAATGTATTTAATCAATCAAGTTGGTTTTGAGTTGCAACATGAGTTCTTCATTTGTTGCTAGATAGATGTTTTCTGGAATGGAATGTGTGCCTTGTAAAATCGAGACAACAACACACACACATACACAATGAATTTATCATTTTCTGTTATACATGATGGGGGGAATGTGGGATCGCTTTCTTTGGATATTTCTCCACTCAAATACTTGGAACACTTACACATGTTCTTGTACCCTGTATTGTGTGGTTGTATAGATAGTGTGTGTCGCACTGTTTACCGCTGCATTGGAAGTTTCTAGTTTATAATTTTTTGGGGAGGGTAAAATAAAATTTGATGGAGCGGCCTGGGGTTCTTGATGTTTGGTCATGTCTAAGCAATGTCATTGATTTAGATTTTGTTTAACATTTGAGCACAAAATGTATATGTTTGATTTGATATTTGCCCCCTCCATCGATTAAGAATTGTACTTTAATATATAAGGTGCAACATTAATATAATGGTAATTTTTTATCATGTAATATATAACGGTTTGAAGTTATGCTGAATGCATGTCTTTGGGTAATGAGCTATATATTAGAAAATTTGCTTTGCATTTGTTATTAACTAATAATTGTAACTTTGTTTTACGAAGTGCATCATTCCTTTTTGGTCGATCCAAATTCGATTTGCATTTGGCCTCTTCCGATTGTGCAATCCTGTGGCTCTCGGCATGCTATCTCATGATTAGTAACCTGTTTAGGTCGGGGTATATTGTGATAATTGTAGGGTTGAACTAAATTTTCATCCATTTTGTTTTGAGTGACATATCAACACGTAATTAAATAATAGTATAAAATTCATCAAAGTTGTTTCTTTTTAGTTCTTGATTACAACTGAGCACAAGCAAATTGTTCTGATTTCTTTGAAATTTTCACTGAATAGATAATTCAAAATGAACCATTAAAGAACATTGACTTGCCATCATATACAGGTTAGATGACGTAAAACAACATAAACACAAGTAAAAGTTGTCATTAAATACTTATATTTATATACACAACGATACAAACAGCAGGTGTAATTTTATTTTTTATCATTGCAAATAAATTTTATATTATTATCGAATTATATGTTACTATAATTTTGAAAGAATTTTTTCACCTCGTAATGTATATTAAGCAAGTAGTAACGGGAAATCATCATAAATTGTAAGATATAGAAGAATAATAAAATAATATGTAATTTAAAACAATATGTCCCTAGGCCTAGAATGTAGGTGTATCCCTGCGTACAGTCAAGTAAAAAATGAAAAAACTATTGTCTCAAGTTGAATGATTTGAGCATGCTTAGTTGCTACTGCCCAACAAGTACTTAAGCACATGAACTTATATCTCGAGTATCTCCCTGTACGGTGCATGCACATTACTTTCAGAATAATAGTTACCTCTTGTGTCCCCGTGCGTGTGTGCGTGTTAATATTTGAGTGGCATGGCATCAAGCGGGAAAAGAGTGAGAAATAAAAAGAAAGAGAGAGGGTAGGTAGAAGAGGAGGCAACAAAGAGAAAGCACAGTTAAGGGGCAAAAAAAGCATGGTGAACAGAGAAGGCCTTGTCCCACATATCCTAACACTTCGAAGTCATCATCATTGCTACCACGTCCCTTCATGTAAGTTAGATTTCTTATTTTTGTGTCCTTTTCCCTCCCTTAGTTTTTTAATCTTCATTTTTCATAGTTAAGGAACAATCAGTAGTATCCTATCATTAGCCAACACTTCCATCATTCTTACTTTCTCTCCATTGTGTATTTCTAATTTTTATCATAACAGAATCCTAAGTTTTAAAATAAGAGAAAAGAAAAAGGCAGTATTTCTAGTGCACCTTTCTGCCCAAAGATGAAAAAAATAACAGTTTCGAATCTTGCAAAAATCTAAGTATATCGATTTGCTTTTCGAATGTTCATGATATCTATATATCCGTACATTAAAAAGAAACATTTTGCTCTCACTTAAATTATATTTTCCTCACAAGAATTATGGCTCCGCATACAGCAGATACTTCAAATTATTGTCTCGTGTATATTTTTTTAGAAAATTGCTTGAGAAATAATTGTCTTTTGATTTTTTTAACAATTATTTTTTTGAAATAAATCAACTCAAATACATACTTATTATCTTTTTCAGCAATAAATAAAAACTCAGAATGTACCACAAGCATTATTAAGTGATTCCTTGGATCCGTAAACTTTGGATTACAAAAGGAGGGAAAACAATATGACCCTTTAAAGTTATTTCTCATTTTGAGAAATTATTCTTTTTGTTTTTTTTTATCCTCTACCTTTTTCAAAAACTATTCTCGTTGATCTATTTAAAATTTCAAGATGACATTAATTATTATTATATTCTCAAATGTTATAAACATTTATTATAAAGGAGAGAGAAATAATGGTAGGGGTCATATTAATTAGTTTAATTTTTCTTAACATAATTAAGGTGAATTTTAACGTGTTATAAAGTTTGTTGTTTAAGTTTTTTTGTTTAATCCCAAAGTCTACTATCTTACATTATGAACAATTAAAAAAATGCATAACTACAAAAAAAATAAAATAATACTTCCAAAATTTGAATAACAGCAAAGAAACATCTAGTATAATCATTTTAAAAAAAGTGAACTTAGCGATCATAACATTATTCAGATTTTGTTTGTTTAACTGGTTAAACAGAATTTACACACTTCTCCATATAAAATAGCACTGCCTGAAGTAATTTTCACTAAAAGGGAAGGGGAAAAAAAATCATTGAATAAATTTCGTTTCAAATTGCATACAAGCAAGCACTTGAACTAACACAAGTTAGTTTGAAATGCTATGTTTTGTACCATAATTGATCATGAACTTTCATAGCAATTTTTTTTCCTTCCAAAATAGACATATACAATCAACTACAGTTGAAGCTAGAAGCCACAGTGAGAATTTTTACAGAAATATTAATTAACTTTAGAGTCAAATGGCGTACCTTATGGGAAATTGCGATATTTCCCTCTCCTAGAGTTCGAATCTCAAATGTGTGTGTATAATTTAAAAATTATATATATACATATAACTATTTAATTACTCGTTGTTGGCGATTCATAAGAAGCTTTTTAATTAACAATGTTTTATTACAATTATAAAAAACATAAGGTTGAATGCGTGTAACTAATGAATTTACTGAATAATAGATATGGGTAGAAATATTATTAATCAGCAGTTGAAATTCCTTACATTTGTTGTGTGGGTGTTATACGAGTGAATAGAGTTTCATTCCTAGTTTTGGTCTTAAAAATTGTGTTAGAAAGTCAACTGATAAACTCTTTTAATTTGAATAATTCTATTCTATAGTTAACGGGATTGAGGAATCGGAAAAGAAAGAACTGTCTTTTGTTATAGACCGGTATAGGATTATAGTTTCTCCTGTAAACTTGAATAGGTACCTGACAAATATGATTCATACTTAAACGTTGTGTATGTTTATATGCAGGAATTTTGTGCTAGATTTTTTAATACGCTGTCTCTAACATTACAATTTCGTTGATTCTTACGAAACAATAATTAAAATTAGTTTAGTTTGAAAATGACATAATATTTTAAGATTGTTTTGATTGCATTTCCATTTCAAACACCAAACAGCTCAATTATATTCTCTTTAGGTTTGAGCAATTTTTGTCCCATCTGGGTGATCTGACCTAAAATGTTTGCTGATTGTTGTTTTGAAGAGTTAATTTTTCAATGAAATGATTAAGGAATGAAATTGTATCTGATTAACTTGTTGGAGTCTAATTTCACTTCATTCTTCAGCTAATTTTAAAAATAAATTTAAAAAATGTTAAAATGATATCAATTCAGAAATACAAAGCATTGAAAGAATTAGTCTTTATCGATCAGTAGATGTCCTTTCACTCCTCTGTGATGTTGTCTAGACATGATGTCGGTATCATTCAAGTTCATGATATTCGGTGCCTAAAATCGAAATTAAAAAAGATAAAAAGAAAGAATTAGAATATATCAATCAAGGTTTTATGTTAACTCACTTTATTGGTACTGATATTGTGGATACACATAGATAACTGCAGGCCATCTTTCCGTAACCAAAGAATAAACTTATTGTGGGTTCTTTGTCCATAGTCCATACGTGAATATTTAGTTATGATTTGAAAGATTAAGGTAGTATAGCATGAACATTAATCTTATCACCGTTTCTATCTTAATTCTTCAAAATGTTTTTTTCATTCCTCACTTTGTAGGTAAATAAGAGATTATACCCATAAAAGCAGAGACTTTTTTTAATGATATATTTATGGGATTCGTCAATATTATATATCTATATATTTAAAAAAAAAGTATTTTAATAAGTTATTTATTGATGTTTTATAAAAAAATCAAAGTTATAATTTATTAATATATTGTTTCTAAAAAAGTGAGTGAGTGTATATTAACAGTTATAAGTGCATATACTTGTTTCTTTTAAAATTGAAATATGTTAACAAGATACCCTTTAGTATATTTTTAATAATTTATAATTATAATTTAATAAATTACTTTAAAAAATTATAATTTTTTATATTTATTATTATATAGTCTATCTCAAAATTACATTGTTAAAAATTAAGCCCTCTTTATTGGATGATTATAAATGAAAATATAAGAATAATTAATTATAATAAATTTCAGTCATTCCAAAGGAGTGATAATTTATTTTCTAAAAAAGAAATTTTTATTTTTCCCATTCTTATCCTAGAACCAAAGATTTGGACATTCTAACCATCACCCATGCTTATCTCAACTATGATAGGAACCGATAATTTATCATCGAACTAGTTAAATAGAGTCAATGAGATATATAAACAGTTCAATCTTTGTAGGCCATTTAGCCTTTCCAAGTCACTCTTACTATTAGGACTCAAAATCAAAGACACAACAAAACATTATATTTAGTTAGTTAATTAGAATATTAGACTTGTATTAGTAAATTAACTCAAAACAGTGATGTTGTAATATCTAAGATTTGAATGCAACATTAATGTTGGACATTTAATCCTTCATTATGTCACCATCATATTCTATTCAGCACTTTCAATATACCATGTGTTTTTATAAAAAGAAAAATTAGATTTCTGCAACCCCCTCCCACCCCAAACCAAGATCCAAAACTGGAGTTCAATAAAAGAGGTTATGTTCATGATATAGCTTAGGAAAAGGTTTTAATGGTTATCATTGAAAATGAAAAATAGGGTCCATTTGTATGATTAATGTGCAGGATTAAGCAAAATACTTCCATACTCATTTCATTATATTTTATAATTTGAATTTTGTTGGGTAATGTCTTTGTACCCACGCAAGCCGTTTAGATGAAGCCTACCGGTCCCATTCTAATTGAGCAATTAGATAACAAATGCAGTTTATTTTTAGCATAAGTCGCCAACTTTGAAATTTTCAAAAAACCTTTTTATTAGGAGCTATCAGACCCATAAATTAGACTATTTTAAGAATGAGTGGATCTATATAGCCTAATCTTTTGCATATATGATTGTTATTCACATTTTCCTTTTTTTACTTTTTAAAATCAAATTTCTGTATCATGTCATGTGCTCGAAGTGTGGGATTCGTTAGTCTCTTGAATTGCCAAGTTGAAGAACATGGCATTTTTTAAGCTCCACTTTTGTTTTAACATTTAAGATTGTTGATAATCTTTGGATCAGAATAAGAAAAAATAAATTTTGGGATGAAGAGTAATTGTGAGCGCTCCCAGCAGAAACAATGACATCTTATGATCCATTCTTTTGTTTCACATTTTTAAATGGTTAATGGTGCTCTGGTCAGAATAAAGGGAAAATTAAGATTTGGAAGAGCAATTGAGGGCTCCCACCAGTAATTAACTTTAAAAAGTGAGTTTAGCTTTGATGTTCCTTCCAAGAAAGATAGTCTAGCTTTGAATTTAAAACTTTTTTTTTTCCGTTTTGTTTACTTCTTGAACTTTTGCCTAATCAACAATACATCATAAATGGTCCCATCTTTGCATCTAGCCTTCATTTAATTGTCATATACTCTAATACCTTTCTCATAAAATATTTAAATTACAAAACTACTCATAATGTAACCGATTAGCACAAGTTTTTTATGAGAAAACATAAATAAATTTAATATATGCTACAAAGCATTCTATGAATGAACTTTGATGAATAAATCAATTAATTTATTCATATTGCATCCATCAAACATTGGAGAAGTTGCTTTACTCCTCTTCAATTTTCCCCACCTGCTTACCTTAATGAAGAAATATCTATTTGGCTACAATTTTCCCATCTGGCATAGCCATAATTTGCCTCCAAATTTTGTACTACTAGATATTTGGATGCTTTCTGCATTCAAATATTATCATCAACAGGAGCAAAAGTGTGATGATATTTCCTTTGAGCTGGCATAAATGTACTAAATAAATTTTATAATGGCTGCCTAATTTAGGTTAATTATATTAGCATTGGGGGTGGGGGAGGGGAGGTATCTGCTCAATTATAACCAGTAGGGCCAAATGATACACTGAAAAACTTATTGTGGACTTGACTAAAGCAAAAGTAATTTGGAGGGCCAAAGCACAACATTCACTAAGCTAGCCATAGATTCCTTTTATAAAAGAGATATGGAAATGTGGATATTATTTTGGAAAGTACATATGAATGTGATAACGTATGGGAACAAAATTTAGAATAGTCATCACATTATTTTAGAAAACATAGAGTGCCATGGCGAATTAGTCGGTGAGTGACGGTGCAGCCCAGACCCCAAAAGCCAAATTCGTCCTTGTTGGAACCAAACAATTACGTGTAGGTGTTTCGGCTCTTTAAGGCCACCCTTTTTCTTCTCTGGGTTTAAATTGGATTACCTGATCAGTGAGTCATTTTATTGTACATCCAACATTAATTTAATGGAAAGAGGACAAAAATACAATAAAAGTGAAATAATTGAATAAATTATTTGCAGAGATAAGTTGATTTTGACATAGAATTTCACGAAATTATATTTAAAAAAAAAGGCAAGAAAAAATTTGTGTTATGGTTATGAACCAAAGTTAGGTTAGTTATTTTATGTTCTTGATTGAGGAGAAATATATAAACATCCTTCTAGTACGTCTCATTTGTGGAAGTTATTATCAGCTTTGTGTTAAAAGGTGTCACCCCTGATATAAATTTGGCACACAACAGGCTTGTTGACAAAGTAAAATAAGTGAAGTTTTAACTTTTAAGCAGCTATCTGGCAAAACAGAGTTTGATTTTCTACATGATTTAATTGGTTTGAAGGAGGGTATATTATATTATATATTCTTGTAATAAAAAAACAAAATTTCTTAGGAAGCATACCCACATAATGTACTCAAGCATCTGTAGTCATAACAGGCCCCACCCGTTACTTTGGGACTGGTCCACCAGCTCATGTGTGTGGTTTGGTGGGCCATTCCATTTGTTGCCTCAATAGAAAAAAATTGAAGTGGAGCTGGCAGGATTATCAAAAATGATATTTTTTAGCCACAGAAAATTCTAGACTTCGGAAAAACTCATTGTAAACTCAAATTATTCTCGAACTTTGAAGTAAGATAAATATAAATTTCTTGTAAGTTGTTTTTAGTCGTTCTCGCATTAGAATTTGGTGTTATCTTCTCCTTCTAAAATCTCAGCAACAAAAGGGAAAACAAAAAAAAAAACCATTTTGATCCCAAGACACTAATCCACATAAAACAATGATTAAGGAAGGACTGTTTCACATTTTCTGTCTGAAAATTCCTATTAATCTTGTAGTAAGGCACAAGTGTTCAACTCTTAATTGCTATTGTGAAACTATTGAACTGTTAAAGTGCAATGCCTCATTTTTGTCAAAAAGCATTTCATAAACAATGCTTAGAAAAAATGTAACATTCTTTAATTTTCTTTGACTCAAGAACAATTCTTTTTTCCCCTTAGTTCTGTCTTCCTTGGTTGCCATTTTATTCAATTCAAACAGCCCATTTCTCACTCAGTCTAAATAAAACCACTTGCTCTCTACTTCTCTTCTACTCTCTCTCTCTCTCTCTCATTACACACTCAAACTCAAAACTCTCTTTCCTTTAAACCTTTTTTCTCTGTCTCTCATTCTAAAATTTTCTTAGATTCCAATCTGATATTCCAGAAAGCCTTTTCTTTGTACATATTAAAAAACGAAGCATCATCAACCATGGCTGCCAACAAGTTTGCAACCATGGTGCACAGAAACACCAACAAAATCACCCTTGTTCTAGTGTATGCAATCCTTGAATGGATTCTGATCCTCCTCCTCCTTCTAAACTCTCTCTTTTCTTATCTAATCATAAAGTTTGCCGATTACTTTGGCCTCAAAAGGCCATGCATATGGTGCACCAGAATCGATCACATCATAGAGCCTGGGAAGGACAAGAATTCCTGCAGAGATCTTGTGTGTGAAGCTCATGCCTTTGAGATTTCCAAACTTGGGTTCTGCTCCAATCATCACAAACTTGCTGAATCACAAGAGATGTGTGAGGATTGCTCATCCTCATCCCAACTGGACTATGTTAAATTGTCTCGGAGTTTTGGTTTCTTTCCATGGATGAAGCAAATAGGTATGATTAAGGATGCTGATGCTGATGATGACAAGGAAATTGTGAAGGTGGAAGAGAATTTGAGGTGTTCTTGCTGTGGTGTCAACTTCGACAACAGGTTCTACCCTCCTTGCATTCTCATCAAGCCTTCTCTCAACGATTTGGGATATGATCAGAAGCATAATTTGGTGACACAAGGTGGGGCTGGTGTGGAAATTGATGAAGGTGTTCACTCAGATCATAGTAGATCGGATTTTGTTCTTGATCATCATGAGGATGAACATAGCACTGAAGAAAACAAGGGAAGAGACATGGTGTTTGAGGTTGATCAGGGTTCAGATAGAAAAGAAGAGGAAGCAGAGAAGAGTTGTGCTTGTTCTGTGTGTGATGGTGGCATAGAGATTGTTTCGGATGAAATTTGCAAGTTGGATTTGGATGTGGAGAGAGGGAAAGAAGAAACCTTAGAAGAGGAAAGTTTGAATGTCCCTAAGCCTAAGGATGATGATGATCAAGTTTGTGAGAAATCCACTGCTCAAGTTGATTACAAGAGAGAGATAACTATGGAAATTCCACCCAAACATCTGGAATTTTTCGTTCATGGTGATGGTTGCAGATTGATTCCTGTTGAATTGGTGGACTCCCCCGCCGCAGAAAATAGAAATCAAAGCAGATATAAGGTGGGGGGTGAAGGCCTCAACAACAATGAAGATTTTATTTTGGATTTTGATAAGAGTGCTGATGCAGAAGAAGCTGAACCGGTTATTGAGAATTGGCACATCTCTGGTGATATTGTGGCTGAATTTTCATGTCAGGGGAATGAAAAAGTTTTCAAGGCCAATGGAGTTGAATCAGTTCAATTAAGGACCATAGGGAAGTCCTCAGGGTTACAAGTAGTAGCAGAAGAAGAAGAAGAAGAAGAAGAAGAAGAAAATTTGGAGCAGAATTGTCAGGATTTGAGTTTTTCTAGAACAGCTGAAGATTTGCCCAGGGATGACAATGCTGAAGCAAACTTGGAAAGAAGAGATGGAGAACTGTGTTCAGATGCTTCTCAAGGTTGCAACTATTTTCCTCCTTAACAAGTCTTTTCTGTTCTTATACTATTCTTAATTATTTTATATGCAACAATCTTTAATGCTTTTATTATTCCTGCAGCTTCTGAAGATGCATCACAAATGCAAGGTGAGGAATTTGAAGCCGAAGTCTCAATAGGGACTGAAATTCCTGATCAGGAGCAGGTGGATGAGTATCAAAGCCAAGATGTTCTTTTGGATGCAAATCAACGAATACAAGAAGATCCATCTACTAGCACAGTCAGATTTCACATCCAAGATGACAATGGTAAGCCTCAATTTCTTATCTTCCTTTTCCCTCAAGTTCCATACTTCGAACTTTCCAATAACTTGAGCTAATTGAAATTTATCATTAGGTCATGACAAGGGTGAAGAGTTTGTAGAATTTAAACCCATGTCACTTGAAGTGAGAATGCCAACAGTGAATAACCATTTGCCATCATCATTGGAGCTTAATGAGAATGAGGAAGAAAAAGTTCCTGATACACCCACTTCCGTGGAGAGTCTGCATCAGCTACACAAGAAACTACTACTGCTTGAAAGGAAAGAATCAGGAACAGAAGAATCATTGGATGGAAGTGTCATAAGTGATATAGAATGTGGAGAATTGACCGTTGAAAAGTTGAAGGCAGCATTGAAATCTGAGAGGAAAGCTTTAAGTACTCTATATGCAGAACTAGAAGAAGAGAGAAGTGCATCTGCTATAGCAGCTAATCAGACAATGGCAATGATAAATAGGCTTCAGGAAGAGAAAGCAGCAATGCAGATGGAAGCTTTGCAGTATCAGAGAATGATGGAAGAACAATCTGAGTATGACCAGGAGGCTTTGCAGCTTTTGAATGAACTTATGCTGAAGAGGGAGAAAGAGAAGCAAGAGCTGGAAAAGGAACTTGAAGTATATAGAAAAAAGGTTCATGAATATGAGGTACGAGAAAAGATGTTGATGTCAAGAAGAGATGGTAGCACAAGAAGCAGAACTTCATCTCTATCTTGTAGCAATGCTGAAGATAGTGATGGATTGTCCATTGACTTGAATCATGAAGCAAAGGAAGAAAATGGCTTTTACAGCCATCAAGAATGCAGCAGCAGCCAGAACACCCCCGTAGATGCTGTCTTGTATTTGGAGGAATCATTGGCAAACTTTGAGGAAGAGAGGTTATCAATTCTAGAACAGTTAAAGATTCTGGAAGAAAAGCTAGTTATATTGAATTATGAAGAAGAAGACGAAGAAGAAGAAGAACACTGCTTTGATGATACTAAATCGATAGAACATCTTTGTGAAGAGAATGGGAATGGATATCATCATGATCATGGTGATCACAAAGGCCAGGTAAATGGATTTGCAAATGGTCATGCAAAGGAAATAAATGGAAAGCATCATCAAGGGAGGAAAATCATGGGCACAAAAGCCAAGAGGCTTCTCCCCCTTTTTGATGCTATGAGTTCAGAAGCAGAAGATGTAGAGTTGAGTGGAGATGAATTAGATTTTTCCCCTTTGCAAAATAATTCAGCTGAAAAGGCTTATTCGGATAAGAATAAGCTTGCTTTAGAAGAGGAGGTGGATCATGTTTACGAGAGACTACAAGTGTTGGAGGCAGATAGAGAGTTTCTAAAGCATTGCATCAGCTCCTTGAGAAAAGGGGATAAAGGGTTACATCTTCTCCAAGAAATTTTACAACATCTTCGTGATCTAAGGAATGTAGAACTCAGAGTAAGGAACATGGGAGATCTTGCAGTGTAAACCGAACTGTGCCAAACAGATAATTGGTAAATAAAATGCGTATCTTCTTTTACTAAAATGATTTTCCTTTATTTGTCAATTAAAACATGATTCATGTATGTATCGTGCAGATTTGTTATATTGGAGTAGATCCACAAGCTGCAAATCAAGCATGCATGAGCACCAGTTCAGTGGTGTACATATCATCATATATATATACAGTGAGGAAACCAATGCATCACTTCATTTTCAACAAAAAGTAAGGGAGTTCCCTAATGGAGAGGGGAGAATCCTGGTACGGTCTGTCTGATCCAATGGTGGACAACAAAAGTGAAGTTTGCCATTCTCTTTTTCTCTTTGTTTTGTAATTTCTTGTTTCTTTTGTCCAAGTAAGCCCAATTTTTTTGTGGGTTGTCCATCATCATCATTTCCTTTGTGGGAAAAGGAGGAGGATGAGTATATGTGTGTGTAGGCTAGTGAGGTGAAGCCACCCTGTCACTTGTATTTTGTGAGCAAAAAGACCTGGCTTGCAAAGCTGGAGAGATCCAAAAAAGATTCCAGTGCCAGGTATATAGCATTAGTTTATTAGACAGACAGAATTAGGGCCACTAGTTTTGTCATTTCTTTCATTTTTTCGGTGAGAGTGAAGAATGAGGTAAGTAGCCTTTTTCTTTTTCTCTTTCTCATCTTTTGCATTCCTGCATATCCTTTAATGTTTGTTTATTTCTGAGGGGAAAAAGTTGAGTCACTTGTATACTACATGTATTCATTTGTAATTATATAAAAAGTGAGTGTTTGTTTATAATGCTTGGATGGAACTAACTTTGCTTATTAATTGTTATTTCTTTTTTAAAGCTTGTGACTGAGATAGATGTGTAAGAAACAACTAAAAATAGAATAAGAAGCACACGCTGCTTTCACATTTGATTGTGCTTTAAGCAAAATGCAACTTCTTGTTAGATTGAAAACAACATGAGTGAAGTAAAATAATATTAATAAACTACCCTGAAAACAATAGAGGGATGGCTCAGGGATATTATAATAAAGGGCATAAACTTATTTATTGATAAAGTGAGAACTGTTGCAAATGTTTTATGAAGAATGAATGGCTACACAACATTTGCCACCAAAGCAAGAAATTTCCTCAATGAATACATGGTGGGTCAATCATCTGTCACCTTTGGATCTTTGTGAATTGAAGTTGTTTCATATTCTGGTTCAAAAATTAAAAAGAAATTAGTCGCCACTTCTTGCCTGCAGCCACCGGAGACCTCTACAATTTTATATAGAGCCTTGTTAACCAATTCAAGGTTGTTAGTAAAATAATTAATTAACATTTTTTTTTTATTAAAAATCACATTGAAATATATTAAAAATTACAGTGAGAGCATTTGTATTCAAGTTAGTATTTGTCAAAAATAATAATTATATGTATTCAAGTTAAGATAAAATACAATAAAGCCTTGAAATTAATTTATTAACTAGTACAATGGTTAGCATTTGTCTAAAATAACAATTATTTGTATCTAAGTAAAGATAAAATGATATAAAGCCTTAAAATTTAAATATATAATAATAGAGTTGAACAATGCTAACTACACACTCTTTGATATATACTTTTAACACACATTTTATTATTAGGTAATAATAGGTAAAATTGTGAGTTTCATTCTTAAATTAATGATTTTTGTAATTTTTTATAAATTTTAATTAATAAAATGTGTTAGAGAATATATATATATATATATATATATATATATATATAAGAGTGTGTTACATTATTCTTGTAAGGTTTTATGACAAGTGAGATTATTGATGGAGGGCACTCATGATTCGTCTTCCTCTTGCTGTTAAAACTTACTGTGATTAATTATGCCTATGTAGTCATAGGGGAGCACAAAGGGAAAAGTATAGTACACACAAAAATAAGTTATATAGAAATTTTTTAAGGACATGATATTCCTTTCTTTTGGTGATATATTCCTGACTTCAGGTTTTGGGCTTTTGTTAAACTTAAGTTGTGGGATTTACTTTTACTTTCGTTATAGAAGCCCTAGCAAACTTTGAAAATTCCCCAAGCACCGAGATCATTAGCTATTCCTATTGCATTATAACTTGTTTTTTTCTTCAAAAATTTGTTAAGACTGACGAATTTGTGTAAATATGTTCAGAAATTAAAAGTTTTAAATATATTTTAGTGTTAACATTTTAGTCCTTATTTTTTTTACGAATTTTTGTTTTTAGTTCCTATTAAAGATTTGATCTACTAAAATGTTATCAAATATCTATTTTTATTAAATTATATAAGTTAGAAGGACTTAAAATAAAACTTTATTAAATCATAGAGACAAAAATAGTGTAAAGAATAAAAATATATTTAAGCAGAAATTAAATATGAACTATTATTAGCAAGAGGGAATTAAACCTAGATCTATTCACGAAATCCCAATGTTATTTCCAATTTCTGTTACGTTCTACTTGCAATTAACTGTTTTTTGTCGCATTAACCGTTAGTAATTTTAAATCGATTATTTTAACAAACCTTCTTCTTCCATCGACATGAACCTTCGTCTTGAGAGGATCAATAGTAGGGGGAGAATTGAACCGTGGGCTTCTCAAACTCCACTCTTATGTTTGAGAGTATTTATTCATGCATGCCACTCTTTGGAGATTGTTGTGAGAATAGAAACTGGAGTCTTCCCCAAACATGGTGTCAATTCAAAGTCACGAAAAAACAAAAACACTGAAACATAAAGGGAGATACCCAGTGCTTCACTTTTAATCAGAACACAAAATCATGGACAAAGTTTAAATTTTTCCATTAAAATAACTCTCACACACAAATATGAGATCCTAAACTCATTAACGCTTATACTAATTGTTTAATTTTTACTTAAAAAAAACAGTAATGAGAACTAACTCAACGTTAACTCTGTTCTTTTTGTAATGATTGTTGTCAATCACGCGTCACTTTATTATTTAAGGCAAATTACATTTACACCGTTTAAAGGTAAATGAATCTTCACTTGACAATCCTCTCTTCTTTGATATTATTCTGACTTCACTTTGTTAATTATATAAAAGAATTAGAAAAGTATTGTGTCGTTGTATGTAAATAAACAATAAAAATGTATTAGATAAAATGTTATTAAACAATGAGGGGTATTAGGTATGTTTTATATGCATTAATTAAAAAAAATAAACAGACCTGTTCTCTATGCAAAGTCAATGAAAGGTGACGAGTATGCATAGATATATAGTTAAGGCACATTGTATCGGCCCGAGTAATATTTGCTAATCAAATCAAATTAAAAAGATCAAAGCAGGGAAACGTTCCCGTCTTCAGGAGTTCCCTTTAAGTTACGCTAACTTTAAAAGAGTAACTCCAAACCAATAGTTGAGGGTTGAGGAGTCCATTTTGTGATGAAGATACATTTAAGCACTCTATTTTTTTTCTGGGTCCATCGTTGACTCTTTCACAAGGTGTCTTTGTGACTTTGTTTGCCTCAGCCCTCATCAGCAATGACAGCCCCTTAAATCTTTTCTATTTTCTCCTTCCATCTTCTTTGTTTTATTTGACAAATCAACACTTACTCTTTTATGACCATTTTTTTTTATATATAATCTCTTGATATTCATAAACTAGAATTTTGAGATGGAGAGGATGACAAAATAAATTTGAATTAGTGAATGATTAATAAGGCAAAGCCATGACACGACTTGAGGTTGACAAAATAAAATTGTATAGTTGAATGTTGTTCTATAGAAGGGTAGGCTACAAAACAACTTTAAACACATTGTACAATTTCTTATCACGAAACAGTTAATGTCCAAATTCCAACATGGGAACGCGCTTCTGTTAGTAAAACATGAGAGCTTTTACACTGAGTGAGTAGTGACTCGTGGGGTTGGAACGATTGTGACAAAGTGATATATTTCTCGTAGAATTAACGTTGTATAGTGAAACAAATAATTGCGTCTCGTGTTTGCAGAAGCAGTGACGATCGAGGTGTTCTCTCTTGACTTTTGAGGCAGAGGGAAGAATGAAAACACACTACATTCCTTGCACTCGTTAAGTACTAAATTTATATCTTTGAATTTTTTTATAAAGCACTTTTTAAAATTTTTTAAGATACTTTATATTTTTTATAAAATATTTACTATATTCTTTTATTTGTCTTTAATGGATAGAGCAGTAAAATCCTAAATTAAAATTGATAAAAAATAAATGTTAAATTGTAAAGGTAAGTTTGATAATATTAAATAAGAGTAATATTGTTTTGTTATAATATTTTTAATTTTTAATTTTTAATTTTTATTAATTAATGTAATTTAGTTAAATGTATATTCTACAAAAAGAATTAAGGAGTCGACCGTGTTTATCAATTTCCTATGTATATTATTTTTAGTCAAACGTACTTTTATAAACAAACTTATTTTACTATTATACAAAAAAAAAATGTCTTTAATTAATTTTTTTTTCATTAGAGTATCTTTTCACTCAATAAATCAGATTGGTCTCTTAAAATATATCTAAGACCTAAAGTGAATACCTCGTCTAATAGTATTTTTAGAAATACATAAATTTCGATGGCAAATTTTAAATTATAAGCTTAAAATATATGGATATCAACTGGGATAAACAAAATGATTTGGGAGACCTAACTTCCTTTCTATGTATAATTCATCCATGCAAGTTTTATAAGGTTTGTTTAATTGACGTATTCATGAGTTCAAATCATAACACTAAGCAATAGTTTGGATTGATTGTCCTTCACTCGACCAAATGAATAAATTAATCAACGCGTAATCAAGATATGTCAACCTCAAATGTTACCAAAATGCAATAAGATAAACACGAAATCGATTACTTTTAAGAAGAAAAAATCTGTTTAACATATTTCCTGTGTTTTATAATAAAAGTTTGATATTTCATATAGCATTTATTTTTAAAAAAATAAGCTACTGTTATGTATAATTTTGATTATTTTACAATTAAATTATGAAAAAAAAAATCGTTTTAGTGTTCAATATTTTTAGAGAAGTCAAATTGATCTATAAATTGAGTAAAGGACTTATAATAAAAATAAGAAATATAAAATTTTACTTAATATTATTAATATAATGTATTATGTGATATCTTATACCTTTTAATCACAATCATCATTGCTTTATATTCATTATACAAATCTAACCACTATCACATTGGAACCCAGGCTCACAATTATGATATCAAATTGACCACCTCATTAGTAGAACCTATGAACAAACCCTATCAACCGAAAAGAAGAGGAAATTGAAGGTTTTTTTCGCCCCCTCTTTGTATTTAAGGTTACCCAGACCAAAATTGATTGATTATAAATCATTGAGAGACAAAATTGATAGATTTTGAGATTGTGTATACCAAATTAATAAATTTTGAAAGAAGCTATAAGCTCTAAGCCATATCACAACACTAGGTTGTCACACATGTTACCTTTCAATGATACATAACACGTTAAATCAATAATTTCTATGGAATAGACTAGAATGACAAATGCAATTTGTAGTAATTTGAGTTAATAACATGTGCATTAAATACTACTATACAATTTTATGTAATTTAAGGACTAACTTGACTTGCCTTAAAAATGTTGAAAACTAGAACTAGAAATTTGTGATCACATTATTTATAATAAGTATGTGATATTATTAATTTAACTAACTTTATTTTTTATCATAAATAATTTTTAAGTTGTATGAGATAATTATAAATAATAAAACTCTTCTTTCGAATATTTAATTGCTATTTTAATAAGTATCAAACATCATGCAATAAAAAATTAATAAATAATAATTTTTATTAAAAATTTATAATAATATTATTAATATATTGATATTGTAATATTTTTAATTTTTAATTTTTAATAAAAAATTATCTTATATAAAATTTTTATTATATGTCCTTAAATACACATTACAAATTTTGCTAAATTAAAAATATTTTATTAATTTCAGATCTTTAAAAATGACTTAAAGAACTGAAAACGGTGGGTGTTAGAGGGGTTAAAGGAATGATGAGATTCAAAGGATTATGTGTGTAATGATAATTATAAATGTTACTATAAATATTGTACTAAAAATAGAAAATTTGTCTTTCAAACTTTCATTCTAAATTACATTTTGTTACTTAGTTTTTAATTATTTTTAATATTTTTGTGAGAAAATGTTAAAGAAAAGGAAAAGTAAAAAACAAAAATTTGCTTAAGCCAAATATTTTTACTTAGGCTAATTTTAAACAAAAGTCTTGAGTTCTCCAGCATTAAAATTTGCTTAAAATCATTCAAAAATAGTTTAAGCAAATCTCACACCTAGAAAAACAAAGAAGTAATTTGCTTAGGTAAATCTAAGGTGCTTAAGCGAATTTAAAATAAAAAAACACTTTTTGTATGTCAAAGCATGATATAAATACAAAGAAAAAATATTTTCTAGATATCTTTGAAAATGCTAAGAAGAATACTTCCTTCCATTATCCTTGGAGCTCGAAGTGAAGAACTTTACAAGTTTCTTCCTTTTTTTCTTTTTTATTTGTGAGGTTGCTCTAATCACAGAGAGTATATAGTATACTCTTAGTTGAGATTGAATGTAACCAACCCATTTTCATATATATTTTGAAATATATTTGTTATTATTTTTCTTTCTTGTCAATGTCAGTGACTTTTTCCTTTTTTGTTCTTAATGCTAGTTATGTTTTGATCATTTGAAGATTGAAAAAAACACCTCTTTAGAAAATCACTCAATGAAACATGTTGCTAGGAATAAGTCGTTATTTTATTAGTTGTAATAAGTGTAATACATAATGTGAGAAATTTTAATAAATATTTGTATAAGTAACTCATAATATTAGTAGTAAGAAATTAGGTTAAAAACATATATATTATCACGTTAACACCGATAATAGAATGGATATTATTTGTGTGTTTTAAGATATTTTTAAAAGGGAGGATAATTGAAGTTGAATCTCAATGTTACTTTTCATTAATATTTAAACTTAATATTTACATCATTTCTTATATTTGTTAATTTGTATTTTATTTTATGCAAAAATATTCAAATGTTATGCTATTGAAAACCTTTTGTATATATTTCATTAGACTTATAAAAATAATGGCATAAAAATATTAAATGTCAAGCAAGTTTATGTAGATATGATGTTTTTATCCTTATTAGTTATTACTAAAAAGAAAGTTTAATATGTTTGTCCAACATCACGTGTGGAGTGAGTTAGTAGAAAAATTTAGATTTAAATGTGATTTTAATGAATGTGTTAATAAAAAAAAAGTTGATAAATAGAATTTGAGTCAGTGAAAACTTTAACTTATTGGATTGTGTTAAAAAAAATAGAAATTTGTGTTAACAAAAAAAAAACTGTAAAAAGAAAATAAGAATAATGTCAAATGGAGAAACTTTGAAATTAAATATTATTGCAGTTTAAAAAAACAATATAAAAGAAAATAAAATAAAGATGAACTTTTAATTATTAATTTTAGATATTAAAATTTAAAATTTTAAAGAATATTTTCAGTTAAGTCGCATGTATTAAGGATTAAAAGGAATGCTTGTCATAATTATTTTATTTCTTTAAATTCTCCAAATCTAAACAACACATTTTGCAAAATGTTAATAGTGTATGTTGTGGTGGGGGAATGGCAGAGGAGAGTCAAGCGCGCGTCACTAGGTCAACAAGAGCAACACGCTTTTTTCTTTCCATTGCTTTTGCAGATATCTACGTTTCTGTTCTCGCTGTACCAGAGAACAAAATTTTCTTCTCCTACTCTCGCTTTCTCCTCACCTCTCCATTCCCCACCATCCCAATTTCGGTTCTCAACAAAGATCGCAACTTTGCTTCTAGATTCCCTCTTTTTCTGTTCTCCGATTCATGGGCTTGTCTTGGAATTTGGAACCATAGACACCTCCATGGACAAATCGCACAGCTTTCTTCACAGTATTGTGAAACACTTCAAATTCGGTTCTAGTAAAGGTAATTCAACAACACTCCGTTTTGTTTCTTTTCTTTGTTAATTCGAATTTTAAATTTAATTTTAATTTTCTGGTTGATGAGTTGTCTGATTATAGTAGGATTGTGTTCTTCTGTGTTTCTGCTCTGTTGTGTTTGATTAGAGCGAAACAATGAAGCTGACATACAGAAAATGGCGGCACAGGAGCAGAAGGTATTTGCCTATGAAACCTTGGTTGCTGTCACCAAGAATTTTAGTGCTCTTCATAAGCTAGGCGAGGGAGGTTTTGGACCTGTCTACAAGGTAAAATCAAACACCAAATTTCTTAATTTTTTTGTGACAGAAAAAAAGCTTTCAATTGGTTGAAGTACATGTTTTCTGAGAATGAATTCAATCGCAGCCTTCAATGGATGGGAATTTGGATTGTAAAACTCGATTGCTTCTAGTATTTGCTCCCCTCCCTTCAGAAAATTCCTCAAAAATATATATTAAAAATGGTTCCTTTTTAAAATAAGAACCCAAGACCCATTCTAATTAGTAAGACTTGTTTTGAGTTTTTGGTTTTCACCCTTTTTTCCTCACAGGGTAAGCTGAATGATGGGAGAGAGATTGCAGTGAAGAAGTTGTCGCACACTTCAAACCAAGGGAAGAAGGAATTCATGAATGAGGCCAAATTGTTGGCTCGTGTGCAGCATCGGAATGTGGTGAATTTGTTGGGTTATTGTGTCCATGGCACAGAGAAGCTACTTGTTTACGAGTATGTGTCTCACGAGAGCCTTGACAAACTTCTATTCAGTAAGTTTTTTCGTGCCATTCCTACTCAGTTCAATAAAATCATAGATGAATGAAAGCCATTCGCTTTTTATAAGAATCCTTCAACTTTAACATGCTTTTTGTCAAAAACGCTAAATTTAAATGAAATATTTGGCGTGCTGGTAATTGAATCGATGATCATTATTTCTAAGAAGTGAAATTAAGTTAATTTAACAGCCTAAATTAAGATAACTATCGGGTCTTTATTATTTGCCATGCCTATGAATGATGTGAATGCGTTTTCAGTTTTCCCTTCACATCAAATTTCATTTGGTCTAACTGACCATGAAACATGGAATTTCCTTACGTACCCTTCTCTTTTGACGAAATCTTCAATGGGCAAACAATTTTTATTTTCCACGGCTCCTCCTCTGCCAGAAGCAGTTTTTGTTCATTCAATGTTAACTTGTTCACATTTACCAAGACCATGTACCGCCAATTACCTTTCTTCATACATGGATATATCACATGTGTATTTTTTATGTCCACTTCTAATGGACCTGAAGCTCTGAAAGAGGCTTCACTTGAGGGACCTTGACTTTTCAAATACATAAATTGTTTAGAGTTAGACAACAGCATGTTGTCGATCCAACCCCTCCTCTCATGCATCTTAGCCAAGCCATGAAGACTTATGTTAAACGAACCATCCCAACCTTTTCTCTTTTCTTTTCAATTAAGTACATGGGTCATCAATGCAAGGCGGCGTGGGGAATTAGAACTTTGGATTACCTTCTACTTTCTTTCTAGGAAGGATAACGGGAATTTCCCAAACTTATGTACGGTCATTATGTGGGGCACTTTTTCATTTTTATCGTAAACAACTAATGTTATTGTCCCAATATTAGAAAGCATATTCTTTTAAATATTATTAAATCACTAAACTTACCCACAAACAAAGGGTGAGGTGGAGTTGAGTTGGGTAATAAGATAATACCTAATCCTAATGGTATAAAGAAAACACTTTGCTATGGCAATTTAATGAATAGTAACAATTAGGCGTATTGTTATTAAAAATGCATGTTGTTTGGTGGAAATGGATGCAGAATCGCAGAAGAGAGAGCAGCTTGATTGGAAACGTAGGTTGGGCATAATCACAGGCGTGGCAAAGGGGTTGCTTTATCTTCACGAAGACTCGCACAATTGCATCATCCATCGTGACATAAAGGCGAGTAACATTTTGCTTGATGACAAATGGACGCCCAAGATTGCAGATTTTGGCATGGCCCGTCTCTTCCCCGAAGATCAAAGCCAGGTCAATACACGTGTGGCTGGAACCAAGTAAGTCTATACATTTTTTATTATTATTAAAATTTTTTTGTCAAAGAGTTTTCAGTGAATTCTTGAAAAATATAGTTTCGCATAAATATTTGCTGTCACTAAAATAAATAGTTCTCTATTCATGCACACACTCAGAATATTCTCGTTAGTAATTTTCATATTTTACGGTAAAATTTTGAATAATTAAAATAAGTTTGAGTTATTTTTAAAAAATACGCAATGTTTTTTTTTGTTGAAAATAAAGAATCACGATGTTTTTTTTATATAAAATATTTAATTGTGTAAAAGTGAATTTAGTATCAGAGTAGATTTATCCTTCTTCGTAGATGCCAATAATAATTCTTGACAAAATTACAGATTTAACTTTTAAAAATAATAAACTCAACTACTGAAGTTTATAGAATTTGAAAAATAATTACTACTTTATCATACCATTTTGTTGTTAAGTGAATTATTATATTATTGCATATTCATAAATGTCTAAATTATTTTAAATTTATTATACAATTATGAAAAAATTGACTTATAAGAAAATGGTTTTGTCAAAATAAACACAGTATATTGATAGCATTCTTCTTAATAAATTTTTTTTTTCTTATTATTATAATCCATGGACACGCCGCCATATATCACAAAATCAAAAGCTTGCGTATTGTTTTACTAAAAAAGAAATTGCGTATTGGTTAGGATGCATGCTTACGTGCAAATGACTAGTCAAGTGTTTGACTTGAAATTATAAAATGTGTTAGTTCTGAGTGTTTTTATGTTTGTAGAGTCATAATTTTGATTATTATACAGTGGGTATATGGCTCCGGAGTATGTGATGCATGGAAATCTATCGGTAAAGGCAGACGTATTTAGCTATGGAGTTTTGGTATTAGAGTTGATCACTGGCCAACGAAATTCGTCCTTCAATTTGAGTGTGGATGCGCAGAATCTGCTTGATTGGGTAAGCGTCGTTTATTATTCTTATGACTGCATTTAATTACCATCTGAGGGTTTAGGTATAATCGTTTCTTGTTAACCTTGATTATCTATCCATATAGAGAAAGCGTGTACGCGGTTATTGACATTTCGATATGTTTTGGGAGACTTTTTATTTTATCTATCAATTAATTAATGGTAACGGTGATTGATTGACATCTCCCCAAAGCACCTTTTCACAAAATTTAAAACCAACGTCAACACCCCAAACCTAACTCCACCTCCACCATTTCATCATGCCTAAATAATCTAATTGCTTTTAGGTTTGTCAATCTGCCTTACTCTCAAACGTGTTTTGACTTGTAATTCAAAAATTTAAGTATCTTTTTATAGTTGACTTACTTGGGAGTTATTTAAAAAATAGTTTTTATTAACTTCAGATAATTGAGAATAAGTAGTAAATAATAGTAAAAATTTATTAAAAAAATATTTATTATATTTTTATAACTTCAATACAATAACTATATATTTTTTTTATAAAATTTTTTTACTTATAAATGTTTAAACTATTAAACCCTTAAAAATTATACATCTTAGACATTCTTATTTAAAACATAACGGCGTTTAATGGTACAGGACTCACTTTTAACGCATAACAAAACAGAGTTATTTCTAAGGATGTTTTTGTGTCTTGTACAGGCATACAAAATGTACAAGAAAGGGAAGAGCTTAGACATTGTAGATCCTGCATTAGCATCTACAGCGGAAGCAGAACAAGTGAGCATGTGCATTCAACTTGGTCTGCTATGCGCTCAAGGTGATCCACAGCTACGTCCAACGATGAGGCGCGTGGTGGTGATGCTGTCACGGAAGCCAGGACACATGGAAGAACCAACGAGACCAGGAGTACCTGGTTCAAGATATAGAAGACCTCGCAGGCACTCTGCATTGTCTTCCACTGCGGGTACCTCTGATTCACACACTTCTGATTCAAGCAATAACAATACTACTGTTACTACTGCAACGGGAACAAGCTCCGCAACTGCTACTGTAGAAATTGACACAAGAGGGAAACGTCCAATGTATTAATTTTGCCATCATGTTATTCTTTTTGCAATGTAAGTATATGAACTAAGTAGAATATTGTAGATATTGCGAGGGTTAGATTAGGAGTGGCGAGGTTTATGTCAATTCTTATTCTTTAATATTTTGCAATTGAGAAATGAGCACAAATTCGGTGATCTCATTTTCCACCGCCCCACCAAAGTACTATGTACTATTCTCGTTCTCACAACTGAATTATATGGAATAAGGGTTGAAGCAAGATTGTGGAAGCAGAATGGTAGCTTTGTAAATTTGCTTTCTTTTTCTGTCTTTGTAAATTTGCATCAACAGCTGAAGTAGAGAGGGCTGATGAATGATAATGTATAATCTTTACATGGACGGAGGCCTTTTTGTTCTTTTCATAATAAAGTATGAGGCCAACCATTGAATTTTATTTTTATTTTTAAAGATGACGGCATCTTTCAGTTTAAAATGTTAGTAATGCATATATTGTTATGGTTAGTTTATTTGTAAAGTTAATAATTTAACAATCATGTAAGTATGCTATTTTAAAACTAAGTGTTAATTTTTTAAAAAAATGATTAAAAATTATGTGAAAACATGTTAAAAATTGTTTATTTAATTGTGTAATTATGTGTAAAAAGATTCTCTCAACAAAATTCTGTAGACCACGAACAAAAAGAAAAACTGTAGACGTTAGTCATAAGTGGCAAAAACTAAATTACAAAACAAATTATTTATGCGCGTGTGTATATATAATAGAATCTCATTAGTATTTATTCCGTTAAACAAAAGGTAAATAATAACCAGTGTGGTAAAAGTACTACTAATTAAGATGAACCACCAATATTGTTATAATCTTCAAATTTTCTTTTAAAATTAGAAAGAAACCTGAGAAGAGAAAAAAAAAATTCAAAATTGGCCAGTACATTAATAAAATTACAATATTTATAAAGTTTCAATTGAACCACCAAAAGAGCTGTCATAAACTTGAATTTTTTTTATCTCTAATCGTTGAATATCTTTTTGGTAATTTAATCTACTAATCTAAAGCTACATTTCTTAGTATTATTCATATTAATAAATTAACAATGATGATCATTTTTAATGATATTTTTATTATAATTTTTTTTTTTGTAAATAACAAAGAAAAATAAACGAAAAAAGGGAAAGCAAGAAGATGCCCTAGAAACCCTAGAGCGAGAGAGAGAGAGAGAGAGAGAGAGAACCATGAGACGAACCCTGCTGAGAAATGCTTCACTCTACACTCGCAACCTTCTCCACTCTTCTTCTACCACCGCCTCCTCCACTGCCACTCCCACCGCACTCGCCGCTTCAACTCGCTTACGACTCAGACTCTTCTCCTCCGATGAAAACCCTCATCCGGTTCCCAAAACCAATGCTGCCCTTGAAGTCGAAGACGTCGACAACAAAGGTTTCTCTTTCTCATACCAAACAATTGGAATTGGAACATTTTCTTGAACCAGTTTTGGATGTTACATTACAATTTGCTTTAATTTCGGTTCGCAGTGCTGAAGACGCAGATCGAGAACTACTTCAACGGCGACGATCAGGCACTTCCGTCTATCATGGAAGCGATTCTGCAGAGGAAGTTGTCGGGGAAGCACGAGGAGACGGACGATGAGTTAATGGACGAACTCAGCATGCAGCCCATTGACGGCGTTGAGGACGAAGAATTCGAGTCCGATTTCGAAAATATGCACGAAACCGATGAGGAGATCGATGATTTATACGATGCTAGGGACGTGGTGATGAAGAGGATGGCTCATGACGAGTATTTCAACATGGATGATAAAAAGTGGGACGACATTGTTGAGGAAGGAGTAAAGCATGGTTTTCTTAGGGATACGAAGGAGTGCGAGGAGATTCTCGAGGATATGCTTAGCTGGGACAAACTCCTCCCTGGTACTATTATTATTATTTCAAATTTATTACTAATTTTGTTGTTGAGGTATATCCATTGATGTTATTGTTATTTGATTGTTATTCATATACAGTGAAATTATCAGTAATGCCTTTGAGAGCATTTTTTTTAATTGTCAATTGTGGCTTTAATTGTGATTTGATGTTATGTCTTATCTAGATGAGATAAAACAGAAGGTGGAAATAAAATTTAATGAGTTTGGAGACATGTGTGAAAGAGGGGAACTTGAACCTGAACAAGCTTATGAGCAGTTTAAGAAGTTTGAGGATGAGATGGTTGCGGAATACATGAAGATTATGGAGAAAGAGGAGGTCCCGCGGTTTGATGACACTGCTGTCCCAGACAAGAAAAAGGATTTAGATGATCCCCCGGGGGAAGGTCCTATTTTGAGGTGGCAAACTAGGGTAGTCTTTGCTCCTGGTGGCGATGCTTGGCATCCAAAAAACAGGAAAGTGAAACTATCTGTTACTGTGAAGGAGCTTGGACTTTCAAAATACCAATTCCGCCGTCTCAGAGAATTGGTTGGGAAACGTTACCATCCTGGGAGAGATGAGCTTACGATAACTAGCGAGAGGTAAAATGCTATTTGTTCTATTTCATAACCCTAGGGTCTGGCTCTTTTACTGAAAACCTGGAAGCGCCCTCGTGTGTATTTATTATCTTATTTGTATTTTGAAGGTTTGAACATCGAGAAGAAAACAGAAAGGACTGCTTAAGGACTCTTCTCTCCCTCATTGAGGAGGCTGGGAAAGCTAATAAACTAGTAGATGATGCCCGGTCTTCATATGTTAAGGAGAGACTCCGAGCCAATCCAGCTTTCATGGAGAGGCTGCATGCCAAGTCCTTGAGATTGCGAGAATCTAATCAGGTTCCTGCTTGAGGTTTCAAGCTCCAAAGTCTGAATTTTTGAACTTGCACTCCCTTTAGTTTGTTGTTGCTCCCAGATTTTATTTTCTTTTATGATTATTATCTTTTTTTATTTATTTGTATCATGGTTTCTAGCTGCGGAAACAACCTCTCTGCATATAGGATAAGCCTGCATACATCTGACCCTCCCAAGAGCCCACAATGATAGGAGACTCGTGCACTGGGCTGACCTTTAGTCATATCTTTCATATTTGGTGTTTAATATCGTGGATGAATTTTTGCCTTTAGCTAATTGACTTTTACACATATTTTAGAGTTATTTGTGTTTTCAACAATAATATCATTTAATGTATATAACTGATGGTCACTGGGATACTGATAATGAAGATTAAGGGACTACTTATCCATGAGCATTTGCTAGTTGACCAGTTATTTGAATTGCTCAATAAATACCGATGCTTAATGTGTAGCAAGAAATAGCAGCTTTGATTTTTCAGAAAGGAGCTTAATTTTGTATATGTTTTTGACGTGTGAATTAATCCGTTCAAATTTTGTTATACATATTGATTTATAATGAATAAAAAATAATTTGAGGTCCGTTCTGCTGGTTTCGATGTGCTTTGAAGAAAGGCAATTTCCACTGGAAAATGGTTTTTGAACCTCAGGAGGGGACGTGTGTTCTATTTGTATTTGAAGTGTATTTTCGAGGTGTGTATATAAATAAGATAAAATAATGATATATAAGGTTTATTTTTAGTACTTTAAATAACGAAATTGATGTTTAATTGTGGCCCAAACACATCCCTTTTGCTTGAAAAGCATTGAATGAGAAGGTGTGGTGTGGTGATTATTACTTAAGCATGTTTTAATGATTTACTTGGCCGTAGACTTGATGGTATGCGATGATAGAACAGAGTATATAGATATTATATTTGCGCAATCTTTCATCAAATTGAGAGTGTAGCTGCGTAGCTGCAGTTGAGCTTGGATGAGAAAAAAACTAATATTGGTCCTAGACTCACACTGACAGTTTGTTGAGTTTGTGTTAAACAGAAAGGTTTATAAAAAGGACAGAATAAAGCCACCATGATTGGTTTAGTGATCTTGAGAGACTTGTATTATAATGATGTTTGCATCTTGTAGATATGCTATTCTGAAGAAAGTGAGTTATGTAGTTTAGATCTTAAAATGTGATGTTATAATAGTTATTGAAAAATCAATGAAGTAGACTTTAAAAACTTATGTTTTGAAATATGAAAAGAAGAGATAAGATGTAAATAAAAATAAAATACAACAAAAAGGATGTACTGTTTGGATGTGTTGAAAAAAAAGTAGTTTGAACTAGTGAAAATGAAAGTGAATAAATAAATAGTTTTAATATAATAATTAAAAACAAATTAACCTTAATTTGGTTATTGAGCATTTCTTAGTTTTAATATAAAATTATTTAATTAGGAAATATCATTTTAAAAAAAACTGATAAATGAAAAAGCAAAAGAAAAGATAAGATTTTGTGCCATTCACTAATGAGTTCCACAGAAATTGTTCTATTTCAGTTCCTATTTTGATGCCAAGCAAACAAGGTGAGTGGACTGAAATGGGAGAATTTGATACTTTCCCACTTCAGTCCGTTCTCTTTCACGTATAACAAACAATCCATTGTTTTCTTTACATTTTTTTTAATCGCAGTCTTAATCGCTATTAAAAAACAATATTAAGATTTAATATTCTATCTTCTTAAATGAATCATTCACTACGGTAGAGTTGAGTCCATATCTACATGATCAGCGTAGCGTAGAGCATAATTGTACCTCGTATTGGCATTAGCTAAAGGCTGAGATTTTACTTCAATTAGTTCCATGGAATCTTGCGTTGTTGCACTTTGGTCAACACTGCAGTTCCGTTCTTGACTTCGGATCATTGATCAGTTAAAAATCTCGGGACTATAAGGAGAAATTAAGTTGATATAAAATTGAGTATTGTGCGTAAAATTATACGCAGTCACAATTTTTCTGACATTGATTCGGATGTTATATATAATAAGGTTAAGCAAGGTGTCTCTTACGAATGGTCACAACTTATTGTGATCTATCCATTTAGGATTAGGGATCTCGATACTGAAAATATCTGCATAATAGGTACCCGTTAGTTACATGGGTAATGGTGGATATTTACGAATTTTTATAAAAAAAATAAAGATATCTACAATTTATTAGAAAAGGTGTTTTGCTTAAAAGATGGTTTTTAGTGTCAAGAATGGGATTCGAACCCATGCCCTTTCGGACCAGTACCTGAAACTGGCGCCTTAGACCAACTCGGCCATCTTGACCTTTGTGCTACAAATCGAGATTGTTTCTTTCTTACTTTTTTTTTATTGCTAGAGGTGTGTTGACACCCTTGTGTATCACTATCATACCCAAGGCAATTATTATTATTATTATTATTTATTTCTTCTATTATTTTTACATAAAAGGTGTAATATTAAGTTAAAATTTTATATAAATCCTTTTCTTTTAATTACTTATCATTAGAATTTATTCCATTCACCCATCCCGATTTTCATGTTCGTGTAGTATTTGTGATCGTTTCCCCATGAATATCTATAATTTATGACCAATTCACTTATTTAATTTTAGAATAGAACAAGTTAATTAATCTTAATAAGAATTGAATCTGGTAAAATTAATTAAACACGAAGACCAAACTTTATGTTTGGTATTATTGATAAAAATTTTCAATTAAAATCTTGAAATTCATGACATTGACAGCTGTAAATATATCTATCGAATAAAAATAGTCTAGTAAGAAGTGCTACAAATAGTCGAGAGACGAAAATTATAAATTTGAAATTTGATGAATAAATTATCCCTTTTGATGATAAAAACTAAAACATGTTTTCTTAACTAATGTTTGTAACTGACTTCGTGTATAATTTTTTTTAAAGATAAAACATTACATAAAAATTAATTAATTAATTAATTAAAGATTCAATTGTGCAATATAATCTGCGGGTTAGGCAATTGTGCTTTTTCAGATTTGATGCCATTTATAGCCAATCATTGATTTTTATTTTTTTTACCAAATAAATTATTGTTTCAATTGGTGCCCAAATATCTCAACCTTCAATAGGATAATTTTCTAATATTATCATTATCTACGCTCAAATATCAGTTCTCTAATTTATATGACCTAGAACAAAAAACTTAGGCTTTATTGTGTTTTTGTCGTAAAACTGGTCATGAACATTCTTATGCTGCAGAACTATTTTTTGGGCCATTGTGAAGATTGAGAATGAACTGGCCCCTTTCTATAGGCCTGTGTTCCAGCGTTTGCAATTGATAAAACATCCAAAAAATTATATAATTTGTCATTTTCCATATAAAGTTAGGCCTAGTTCCTGGTACAACAGACCACTCATCGTTCCTATGTACATGTTTGAAAATATGTTAAAAAAACATATAAATGTAAATTTAACTAAAAAATATTAAATTAATAACGTTAAAATAAATATAAATTTATGATTATTTAAACGTGAATTTTACAGATTGACGGTGTGATTGTATAGGTAGGAAAGGAAACTAGGGGTCTACATGAATGAACTTGTCATTAACCTAAAGTTGTGACTAATGGGTATGTAGTTTTCATGTGTTATTGTCATGAAATTAATTTGTGGAAACTGACATGGAACGCACGATGTGAAATTTGGTGTCAACCGAGCCTTGGATTCCCATAGACAAAGTTTTTGGGAGCCCAGTGGTCACTTTCATGTTTCAATTACAAATTATAATTCCTGTTTCAATCTTACGAGATTTAAGTTAATTATGAACTTGGGGAGGCCCCAACTAATCAATTATTATATACCTTAACCCCTATTGCTTGAATCACAAAATAGACTCCAAGGTTGAAGGTGGTTCCAATATCAATCACTTGTGGCTCCACTCTTAAGCTAGAATACCAACACTTAGAAGCCTTTTTAGACTTTGCTTGTTGGTTCGTGAAAATTAAGAAATTATTCTAATTAGATACTTTGTAATCATTGTAATTAGAATTACCTTAACTCCTATTACTTTCAAACTTTACTTTACTTTTTTTCTTAATTTTTTTTATCTATTTAAATAATACATCTTTTTTTTTATTTTATATAATTTTATTTAGGTGTGACAGATCTGCGTTACCAAATTCACTTTAAAATTTCATAATCTAACAACCAATGTAAAAAAAAATTACTATTGAAGATGCAAAATAAAAATTTACGCCTTATTTAGATACACATTTTATACTTAGATATATCAGGTTGGCCCAAACCCTAATCAAAGTAAAATTCAGATAAATCAAACTAAAAAGTTTACAATTAATTTAGGCCTAAATTTTAAAATACAAATTTTATATTTTAACAAACTTAAACAGACTAATTCAACTAAACTGATTCATTTTACTAATTTCACTTTTTTTAATCAAATTTTTAAATATATTTTTTTCTATGTCACGCGTTATTTTTTTTTTTTATCCAAATAAAATGTTACTAAGAACTGGTAGGAGTCCACATGCAATTACTACCAGAATTTTGAGTAGGGGAATGCCAAACCAAAAAAAAAGCTAGTATTGACTTCAGTGGGAGTATTGATTACTGGATCATTGGTTTTATTAATAATTATTGATTGAATCGATTGAACCATTAAATATGTGTGTTTAATAAATATAATAGTACAAACGCTATGGTACATTGGTAGATGATAGTTAAGTTAATTATTAAATCAAGGATTAGTATCTTGTCAATCAATTTTTACCCTAGTATTTTGTAAAATTAGTCATTATCCAAAAACATCTTTACAATTTAGTTTATATTATTTGTGAACGTTATACCAGTGTTAATTATTTGCAAAGTTAGTTAACATTTGAGACTGAATTGTATTATTATAAGGATTAAATGTAGATTTTTTTTATACAAAACTAAAAAATGTTATTAGATATATGGGCGACATTTTTAGTTTAACCTTGTTTAAATTGTGGTTATGTCATTTTTACTTTAACCCAAGATTTATGAGGTTTAGAGATTACAAAAGTGTTAAATTTACATGCAATAAAGGGTAATTTATTTTATTTTATTTTATTTTTTGAAAATTTTCTTTGATATTTTAATAATTTTATTTTGTTCATTTTTCATCGTTATTTTATAAAATTGATAAACAACTAATTTTATTTATAAGATTACTTTTAAAAATCAGTGTGTACTTGGTAGATATAATAAATAAGCAAAATAATAATTAATATAGTTGATAAAAGATATAATAAAAATAAGTAATTATTTTTTGTAAAATTTAGAATATTAATGATTTTCTTAATTCTTGAGCAAAACTTTTAAGAGTCAAAGAAAAAGAAAAAAAGAAGAAGGAAGGAGCAAACTATTGTCTTTAATGAAAGCTTAGCTTGACTACAAAATGTTGTGTATTTTACATTTTCAAATTTTAATACAGTAAAACTTTTGATATTTATTCAGCTTTTGCACTAAACGAAACTAAGTGTCTTCCTGTATAATCTTAAAGGCGCACCCTTCATAATCTTTATGAATTCGGAGAAATTAAGTTTTCTAGGTGTTCACGCAATGTATTAGCTAAAATATAGAATAAACTTTCCTAATCACCAGGCAAGCTCTTTGAATTAACTAATCTAGCTAGCTGGAGTTGAGACAACCTTGAATTCAATAAAGTATGTCTTACCTGTTTGTCTATTGCCTAAATCCAAACATTAGAAAATATGCTTTGATAGTTTTAAAGAGTATAGTGATGTTTCTTTCACGTACTTCTTCCAAACTTATGTTCAAGGAAGAAAACTAGCGAGTAGACTTATGTGACTTAAAATGATCTGTTGTTTATGGCAAGTATACATGTACAATACTGTAGACATATCTACTTGTATCATGACATTTTTTTTTTATGAAATTACATATTTGATACTTTTGTCAAAGAAGTAATTAAATTTTAAAATATTACAGTAGAAACTCTTTAAATTAATACTCGATAAATTAATAAACTCTCTAAAATAATAAATTTATCCAGTCTCGACTTGGGCCAATCTAAAAAATTGAAAAACTCGATAAAATAATAAGATAATAATTTTTCGGGAGATCCTTTTATAATTTCAGTCCCAAGAAAATCATAAATTAATAATTCATAGAAACTGAAAAAAATATATTACACTCTATTGAAATATGATTCAATAGTTGTCTGTTTTCCTTTAAAGTTCAAGTCTATTTGGAGCTCATCTCTAACTTTTCTTATTGCATCCAATAGCTCAGGTGTTGTATTTTTGTATTGTATCATAAAGTTGTGAAGAGTGTTCGATGCCATAAGTGCTTCCTTTCGCGTAACAGGCTCCAAAGACACTGTATCATCTTCGTCGTCATCCTCTGCATTGTTCTCAATGATAGTACCCATAATATCTTCTAAACTCTGAACCTCCGAACATGCTTCATTTTCACCTGGGTAGTTCATTAGATTGTCGATATCCATCTTATTACGATAGCCACATTGATTGATCATAATCTCGAGGTCTTGAGTTTCTTCATCAAAAGTGGATTCATCTAAATTTCTTGCAACGTCACTATCTGAACGAATTTTACAATGTCGGAAGCAATTCGCTATTGTTTCTTTTCGAACATCTATCGTCCAAGCTGGGATTGCCAAATTGATAGCATCAAGGACATTTATCTTCCCTGGATCAGATTGTCTCACCTCATAACCTTCCAATATTTTGCGGTAAAACCTTCTACGGTAGTACATCTTGAAAGCTCTTATTATCCCAGCATCGCAAGGTTGAATCTTTGATGTCATGTTGGGTGGTAAGAAGAACAACTCAATGTTTCTTAGCCCTTCAATATTTCTTTGGATGTGCTAGACAACTATCCACCACAAGTAGAACTCTTCTACCATGCATCGTTTGGTCAAATGAACGAACATATTCATCAAAAAGCACACTAGTCATCCATGCTTTTTTGTTAGCTCAATACTGACAATTCAAGCTATTCATGTTGACATTCTTGAAGCAACGAGGCTTTGCATATTTCCCAATAATCCATAGAGGGATTTTTTCAGAGCCATTTTCATTGCAACAAATAACTATCGTCAGCCTTTCTTTATCTTGTTTTCTTCCTTCAAGTTGTTTTGTTGCCAGTGAATGATCAGCTTGTAGCCTATAAAACAACCCAGTTTCATTCATATTGAAAACATCTTTCATAGGGAACTGATCAATTTTCTCTCGAATCGATACCAATTTCTGCTCCATGTCTTGTATATCAACAGACCCACTCTCGCCAAAACGACAAAATGACTTTATGCCATGTCGGTGCTTGAATTTCCCAAGCCATCCTATAGAGAAGTTAAAATCTGAATCATCATGAGAGTACACGAGTTTCATTATATCTCTTGCCTTCTGCAAAATTAATTCTCCTGTGATATTCACATATTCTTGATGCTAGAGAAACCACTCATAAACAACCTTCTCCATGTCAGGATATTTTGCTGATTTGTGTCTTTTGATCTCTGCTCTTCCCTTTTCTATTTTAGCAGAGAGATAGTCATCTGACCGCTTAAGTGTGTTTAATATTGTTCCTTGACTAACTTTCAACTGAAATGTTCTCTCAAGCCATCTCTGCAAGTCTTTTTGTGTGCTTGCAAGATTATCTCTCTTATACTCACACAACTCCTTACGTATTTGATCTAACATAGTTGATTTTGCAACACCTTTTAGATGAGAAGCCATCTTGTGAGATATGGTTTGAATACTCTAACACATTCATGTAATTTATATATGTCAAACTTGCTTAAGAATACATTGAACACATTTGTTCCTCTTGTTTACATTTACTGTATTTCAAAAGTCATTATTGATTTCCAATGCATATGTAGTGTAGTTACTAATTTACTATACGTTGAGTCCCAAGATTTGCTGCAACGTAATTCTAAGAGGTATAGATTAATTTGCCTTTTTGTTTGGTATGTACAGTATAATTACTTAAAAACTCTTTAAATTAATAATTATTAATTTATCGATAAATTAATAACTCTCTAAATTAATAAATTTCTCCGTTCCTGACATTATTAATTTAAAGAGTTTCTACTGTAATTTATATGGTTTTCTTTTCTTTCACTGGTCCTCGGGGAATTTTGTTGAGATATCTCTTCTTAAATCTTCTATATTTTTTCTGGAGGTCCATTATGATATGTTCAACCAGATTGTTAATTTCTTCCTTATAGTGATCATATACAATTGGCAGTGTTTGAATGCAAAGAAAACCTTGTCAATGAACCATAAAAAAGAAAGCCAATAATTCGTGCACTTATTCGTCAATATCAAATCATAGACAAAGAGAAACAAGGTGAGGGAATTCGATCTTACCAATATATAGCAAACTAACAAAGCTGAAGTAGGTTCCTATCAGTGACAATATATAGAGGAAAAAGATGATCTGGAAATATTTTTAGACATGTTAGGACCACTTATTGGTTGAGAATTAAAGCTTAATAGAGGACAATCAATATTAATTAGTGATACCAGAAGAAAGGATGGTAGTTCTGTTCCACATGAAATGTAGAGGACCATTCTTAACAATTGGTTAGATCTTGTGTGTAAAATAGTAGCAAGATGCTGAAAGAAGGAATAATCTTGTAAAATAGTTTCCAGGACCCGGGGCCCATTCCTGTAGATATATTCATTTATTAGACAAAAAGAACTAGCGAAAGAGATATAACTCAATATGATCATTTGTTTTGTAAGAAAAATACCTTCAACTTAAAGAGTAACAAATATAATTAGTTTGTCAGTAATCTGGAGACATTGTTGAAAGGAAAGTTCCCTAAATATTTGCTTTAAAGTTGCTATATTATAACTATATTGACGTTTTTTAATTAGGATTGTGTTTAATGGTTAGCTTCTAGCTATGCTAATGTGCAATATCAAAACAGGGTAAATTTTTTTATGATTAATTTGGTCAGGATGTATGTACATCAAACGTGAGAATCACCGTAATAAATTAGCACGTAGGATTAATATACTAGTTAATAAAGCTATAGTTATAAAATGCCATGACAAAGTAGTAACCATATTCTTCAGAGTTTTTGAGGTCCTCATGTTTACTTTTTGAAACATGTAAGGTATGGTATGGCAGAACGATCCTTTGGTACCAAAAGCAATTGAGTCACTTTTTGAAAGTATGAACATTAGGTATTATTTGGCAACTTAAACGTGATCATAAGAAAAATTTAAGGCTGTGATAGGATAGAATAATTTCAAAGTACTAAATTGTATGTATTTAGCTAGTAAATAAAAGTGTTTTAAAAATATTATAAAATTTTAATGAGATAAATTTTATATTAAATAAAAAAAAGTAATGAGAATTTGAAATTTTTTATTATACTCAATTTGTTTGTATTTATTGTTTATATCTCTCCTCATATTTAAATCTTACTTTAAACATTTTTTATCATTGATTTCATACTTTTTAAAATTTCATTCAATGTAAAAGATTTTACTCATAATTTAAGTTTGATGTGAAGCACAAGGTGTACCATCTCATGATATCTGCAACAATGGACCATATGTGGACTACAAGAATTGTGGTGATGGAAATGTGACAAATAAGGGTCACAAAATTGTACTCAACAACCTCAAATAGAAACCAAATTGTTGTCATCCCAAGCAGAAACGCGGCTGATATATTTCTATTCCTCCATAATAATATATCTGCCACTGCAAATTTTGTAACCAAGTTACCATAATCAATTCATGGATTCAAAGGACTTCATTGAAGCTACACAACTAGTTTAGCGTTAATAAAGAAGAGAGAAATGATAAATGACTTTTGCAAGACTAACCATCATGAGTTGCTAGCAAAACATAACGTGGTGCAATATCTAGCAAAGAATATGTACAATATAAGAAAGAAGGATCTTTTTTTTACAAAACATAATTTTTTAACTTTAATTGTCAAATATGCAGTATGTTCTTTATTCCTTTTCTTTTGTTTCATACTATTTTTGTTTGTAGGACTATCCATTGTCCAAATTAATTCATAAAATATAATATCAAAAGAAGTTAACAAAGATGAACTAATGGTACCTTCTCCTTCCCCGAGAATTTGATGTACTGACTTTCCATGTCGAAAGATCTTTACTTGTGTTTCATCAATTACATCATCAGAGTCGGATGATTTATTGGGTGCCATAGTTCCTTCTTGTCAGATAATGCATTATTGTGCTGCCATTTATTAAACCATTTTACATTATTCTTGCAGAAGCAAAAAGATACTATGTCGAAGGTTGCTTTGCATCCTTACTATAACTCTAAAGTAAGTAATATATCCCTTGAATCTAAATGAGTATGCTACGTAGGCATGCAATTTGATTAATTTTTCATACAATCCATGTAAAGTATATATTTTAAACTTGTATATAATTATCCACATAAGATTTTGGTGCTAACTCATATATCATTGTTGCATCTAAAGACATTTAAGATAAGTTTAATAAAGGAGAGTTTCTACGTACTCCATAATATATATATTACTAAATTTTTAAAATTCATGTATACACGCGATCACACATATATATTATTCCTTCTATTTTTTTAAAATAATTAATTCATCAAGACGAATAAAAAATAGTTATGTAAAAATAAATTTATACGTCTAGATATCAATGAGTATATACATCTATACGTAAACTTAAATTACGATAATTAACTAACAGTTATTGTTACATATTATACTGTTTTTACAACTCAATTTAATGACTTGTTTGACTTAACTTATTTTAAAAGAATAATCACTTACTTTTTAAAGTTACCTAAAATTAAACTGAATCAATCATAGTATATTAAATAACAGCATAATGCTTATACCTTCGGGAATATACCCTCCAAACCTTATTTTTATTAAGCTGTGCCAAACAAGGACATAGCCGTGTTCTGCTTCAGGTTCATTGTAAAATGCTTCACTGTCCTTTCGACATAGTAAAGAGACCACACTGTGGAAGTATTATAATTATAATTTGTGTCTATTCAGTGCTTAATCAATCCTAAATCAATACATGTGAAGGGAAAGAAACTAAAGTTAATGTCATCATCAATAATGGGACGCGACAATCGTCAATAATGGGAAGCGAGAATCGTGAAAGTTTGGCTGTGGGGTATTGATTAAACTAACGATTTTTTTTTTTTTTAATCACATGTATCTTTTATGAGAATAATTTTTGTTTAAATTAGGAATATAAATACTTACAATATAACAATATTTTTTTATACATGTAAAAAAGTTAAATTTAAAATTTAATTATGTTAAATATTATTTTTAAAATTTTTATTTAATAATTACATTTGTTAAAATTTAAACTCAAGACCTAAATTGGAACAAATTTTTATTAGTTAATCTATAAGCTCAATAATATTTGTAATGATTTTATTCAAGTCAAGTAAAATTATTTTTATATATAAAAAAGATAAATAATCTTTTAATTTATATATATTTTTAATTTAATTCTTATAGATAAAAATTTGTATATCAAATCTTATATAAAAATTTATTTTTAATTTTATTAACATTTGTTATGATACATTATAACGATATTAACTAACTATTTAACTTGGTAGATTTAAATTGTCTTTTAATTATTATATAAAACTATTTTTTTGTAATTTAGTGTAAAAAAATTGTATATCAATACCTATAAAATAAATTATTTTTAATTTTTTCTTTGTTATTAAAGTGATATTTTTTTTTATTTTTAAGTGAGTATTCTGAATTTTATAAAAAAAAATTCATATTTATTTTATACATTTTTAATTCACAATGTTGAAATTCATTATAAAAATTAATATTTGTTTACTTTAAACCTATGTAAAACCATCTTGAAAAGATTTTACCTCCAATATTTTCATCTTAAATGTCAATATTTGTCTACTTTATCGTATTCTCATAATAATTATCATTTTTTTTTATCATTCTTATCTTAATGTTATTTTTTTAATATAATCAATCTATGATTGCAAAAATAAATAAAAATATGATGATAGTGATAATTTAAATAATAATTTTAATTTTATTATAAATGTATTAATAATTTAAAAGAAGAAAGTTTATTAATTTTGGGCATGATCCAAGGAAATATGGTCGAGATTCAAGATATTAAGATAATAATGATATGAAAATGGATGAAGATTGTGATTAGTTAAAATAGAGCACATAGTGACACTAAAGATGAAAAGATAGAAACTATATTAATGTAAAGATAAATCAAGATATAAAATTAGATGTAAAAAAATCTGAAGCAGAATATGAAGTTTATTTAAAAATTTTGAATACTTTTCTATGGAGATTATGAGAAAATATCACTTGACACTTATATAAAAATTTACCATAATAATATGGACAAATTTAAAAATAAATTTTTAAATAGAAACTAATATATATATATATATATATATATACATGCAAACTAAATTACAAAAAAAATATCTCTTATTTCTTTGAGACAAGCCCTTAAAAAAAGTTTTCTCAGAATTAATCCCTCACATTTTCAATTTAACCTCTATCGATTATACTTTGTTAAGTGACGAGTTAGATAATAAAAATGCAGTTCATTGTTGTCATATCATCATTTTTTATATATTTTATTATGTAATAATTAATATTTATAAAAAAAAGTCTCTAATTTTTTTTAAATGTCAAAAAATAAATCTTAATAATTTTTTTAAAAAAATTATCTCAAATAATAATATTTTTATAGAGATAATAAAATTATATTTTGATTTTTTTACTTACATTTATATTCTTTCTAATTATTTGAATTTTGTGCTGAATTACATAGCAACTAACTAGGGGACAAATTGTAGGTTGAAAATTGAGCTTGTTGTAACATCCTTTTCACATAATCAGACTTGACATAGACACACAGTTGTCATATTTTGTAGGCCATTTGGGTGCAAAAAAGAAAGTTGAAAACAATTGAATTTACTGAATGGTATACAAAGCATTGTGCAAATAAAATTTTAAAATTTCACGAATAATGTAATACAAAATTTTAGAACAAGTGTGGGTAATATTAAAACAAAATTTTACATGGTAACGTTCTGTGATGGTGGTTGTGTGTTTTTAGGGGCAACATTATTGAGTGTTCTTTTTTCATTGGAATCTGGTGCGTTCAGAGTATCGGCCCTTCAAAGATCACAAGGGCTATACTTTAAAAATAAATTATATATCAATTCTTTAAGGATGAAATTTATAAAAAAAAAAAAGAAGTATCAAGATAATACTTACCTAAAAAATAATAAAAAACAAATTTCAATTTGACGTGACAAAAAAATTTCAAATAAAAAATAATTTAAATTAATATTTATATATTAAATAAATATTATTATTCATAATATAAAATTTAATATTATTCAACAAACATTTTCCAAGAATATATCTTAATTTTTCACGTGGCCAATTTTCCTTTTAAATATTTTATATGTATAATTTAAAAAAAAGCATAGATCGTACAGCATGACTGAATTTTGTATTTTGTAAAAAGATAGTACAATGCATTCATTGTTTTTTATGTCATTATTTTTAACTTTATAAAAGTAAATGTGATGAACGTTTTTATATCTTAAAGGACAAATCTATTAAAAATATCTTCATAAGTTAACACAAAAGTCTAGTCATGTTAGGAAGAAGAGACAATAGTAGGTTTGAACTATGAAGCACCTTCGCTACAATTCATTAAACCCATCATATTACTCTCATTCTTTTTCCTATTTTCCCCTTCTTTTCTTATTTCTCACTTATTCTATAAAATGTTATAAGTGCAATTTCTAAATTCAATATAGAAATTCTCACCAGAACAACAAAAATTATTCCTTTTTTTTCGGAAGATTTTTTTATTAATCTTTAGTATGACTTTTTATAATTTTAGAAATCTTTATTATTTTTGTATTTTTATTATTAAAGCTTTCTATTTTTTTAAAAATATATTTATTAATTTTAACAATTTTTTAATTTATGTGATTGAATTAAAAGAATGTTATGAAAAGTACGAGATCAGTATAAATTACGAGTTGCAGAATCCAATCATCTGGTGCTACTCTAAAGTTTCCAACATGTCTCAAACTCTGGGTTGCAGAACACAACACCCAATAAACACAAATCTTACGTCGCTATCTCACGGTTTCCTTCAATGTTCTCCTACCCATTTCACCAACCACCCAAAGAACCCAAATTTCATCACTTTCACGAGGTGTTTTTCCGTAAAGTCTTGTGCTTTTGCCAAGATCATGGATTCTGCTACACCTGCAGCACCACCCATCACCTTTGGGTTCAAGAATTTATTGGAAACCTTCACCATTGATGTGCATAGAGCAGAAAACAGACCGCTGAATGTGCCCTTAATTGCCCCTTTTACCATTGCTTCCTCAAGATTGGACAAGGTGGAAAACGTGGCCATTAGAATTGAATTAAGTAATGGGGCTGTGGGGTGGGGTGAGGCACCAATTTTGCCTTTTGTTACTGCAGAGGATCAATCCATAGCCATGGCCAAGGCTTTTGAGGCATGTGCCTTCTTGAGGAGATGCCCTGCACTAACCCTGGGTTCCATGTTGGGGGAGATTGGTCGTATGCTTTCAGGGCATGAATTTGCTTCAGTGAGTGAGATCAATTTTAGAATAATTCTAATAATCTTTCATTCACTTCTTATGCTTTTGAAGTTGACCTTGCCATTTTTACCCTTTTCTATACAAATTCCTTGAATTTGAATGGCAGCTATAGTTTTCTACTTGGTAACTAATGGCATGAAAGGACAGTTGCAAATTTTGAGAAAATTTAGATCTTCAATTTAGCACTGGATTTTTATAAAATTTACTAGTTTGACTTTTACCTTTGTGTGACTTTCCTCTGGGCCTCTGCTTTGGTTCTTTTCTTTGTTTGATTTTAAGAAAATCTTTTACTACATCCTCTTCGTTTAGTTGCTAGCTTTTTCTGTTTTGGAATCAATATTAAGGTAATTCAAAAGGAGGATGAAAAAAGAGACTTTTCTTAGTGTTCTCTTTGTTAGTGATCATGCTTTCTATTCAGGGTTGGTACGAGAGACCAGAACTGGGCCAAGGATTATGGCAATGTTGAGAATAAAGTTGTTGTATTTTGACATGGCCTTTTTCGAGAGGATACATTTGACATGGCCCTTTACTTTACAAATTCCTTGAATTTTGAATAAGAGCTATAGTTTTTCTACTTGGTAACCTGACATAAAAGGAAAGCTACAAATTTTGAGAAAATTTAGCTATTAAATTTAGCATTGTATTTTACAATAATAACTTGCTTGACTTTTCCCTTAGTGTAACTTTTATTTTGGGACTCTGCTTTGATTCTTGTCTTTGCTTGATGTTAAGAAATATTTTGTTATCCTTGTTTGTTTGAAAGTTGCTTGCTTTCTCTGTTCTGGAATCAATATTAAGATAACTCAAACAAAAGAAGGGAAAAGAGTCTTTTCGTAATGCTCTCTCTGTAGATGGATTTAAAATTTTTAAGATTGGTAATGGGATCCTCATAATTAGAGTGACGATTCACGCATATTTTATTTCTTATCAAAAAGAAAAGATAAAGCATAATCTTGCCGTGAAGACATGAAAGAGAAAAAAGAATAGGAGTCCAGATTTAAAATCTTTCTATTACTGGGAGCATGCATGGTTGACAAGAGCATGGCTCTCACGATTCCGTTAGTGTATATATAGGGAAAAGATCTTCTCATGTTAGTGTAAGTCTAAAATCTCTTACACTTGATCTGAACCTTTTATTTAACTTACATCTAACAATCGGGATGAAATAATGAATTATAACCTATTAGATGTAAGTTAAATAAAAGTCTAAGATCAAATGTAAGAGTTTTTAAATTTACACTATTGTGAGAAAATTCTATCCTATATATATATAAAATAAAGTAAAGGAGAGATATCATGGGAAAGCATTAATGTGCATCCCAAGTTGATTTGAGTTTATTTGCTAAGATGAATCATGGCAGCCTGAAATAAATGAGGTCTTATATGTGAGGTAGCAATTGTAGAATATTATATGTGAAGTCTCAGATTGAATATGGAGAAAATGAGGGGCTTATATACGTGTAGTGATACTTCATTTAATGGTTTAAACCTCGAGGGCTAGTTGAATACTGGTATTAAATGCATGCATTGAGTTCTTGTACATCAGATCTGCCCAATACAGTTCTTACAATGCTAGAAGAGTTTTCTGGAAAACCAAATTAATTGACAATAGTAACTCAATGGCATTTTTCATACGTAGCATTGAACCACTTTTCCCCTGTTTTAATTTTATTTTAAGGAATCAGTTGTTGCTTTTTGATGGAGAAGCAACTTGAGATTTTACATTGGATATTGGCTTCTGAACTTAAAAAAGGTTTCATAAGAAATTCATGTTAATTTTTAATTTCATTTCTCTTGAAGGAACAACTGGCTAATATATGAATAAGGTGGTGAAATCATATAGCATGGAACAAAATCTTTTAGGCATTATGAATTTTATCATTGATCTTTTGACTACAGGATTTCTTAATATATGAGTCAGTTTTCAGTAAAACTACTTTTTATTTTTATCCTCATGGGGTCCCATCTATGTCATATTGAAGGTTAGGGCTGGGGTGGAGATGGCAATAATTGATGCTGCTGCAAATAGTATTCGTGTGCCACTGTGGAGGCTTTTTGGAGGGGCTTCAAATTCCATAACCACTGATATAACAGTTAAGTTCTTACTTAATCTCAAAGAAATGTTTATGATAAAAATAACTTTACAAAAATATGTGAAAAAATTATCTACTGAAAGAAATCTAATCAAGCTTATATGTGTAGATCCCCATTGTTTCTCCAGCTGAAGCAGCTGAATTGGCTTCCAAGTACTATAAAGAAGGGTTTAAGACTTTAAAGCTGAAAGTGGGCAAGAATTTGAAAGCAGATATAAAAGTACTTCAAGCGATACGTGTTGCCCACCCTATATGTCAGTTTATTCTGGATGCTAATGAGGGGTATAACTCTGAGGAAGCAGTGGAAGTTCTTGAGAAATTACATGGTTAAATGCTACATAGTTAAAGTTTTTTCTCCATCCTACATATATATGATCCAAATAATTGTCATTGTCATAAAAGAAAATGCACACATGCACCAATATACTCATGCAACTTTATTGTAAAATTTTTGGCAATTTGGCTGGGAACTTAGATTCATTTTCTATTACAGATATTGGGTTGAATCCTGTTCTATTTGAGCAACCAGTTCATAGAGACGATTGGGAAGGTCTTCAATATGTCAGTAAAATAGCAAGAGAAAGATATGGAGTATCTGTTGCAGCTGATGAGAGTTGCAGAAGCTTAGTTGATGTTTACAAAATAGTTGAAGGGAATCTTGTAGATGTCATTAACATTAAGCTGGCCAAAGTTGGGGTTATGGGTGCCCTGGATATTATTGAAAAGGCAAAAGCAGCAGGATTAGATTTGATGATTGGTGGTATGGTTGAGACAAGACTGGCCATGGGTTTTGCTGGCCAACTTGCTGCTGGCCTTGGGTGTTTTAAGTAAATATCACTATTTTTGAAAGAATTTGAACCATTATTATATTTTTATAACTTCATATTGTTTTCATGCTGTATTGTTAACCTTCTATTTTATTAATGCATTTAATTATTGCATACTCTTTTGTAGATTCATTGACTTAGACACACCACTTCTGCTGTCAGAAGATCCGGTTCTTGAAGGCTATCAGGGTATACTCTGCATGATATCCATATGTTGCTCCTAAATTTTGGGTTTTCAGGTAAATATTGATTTGAATGATGTCTTTGAAATCTGATGACACTAGTTATTTCTTTGAGCAGTTTCAGGTGCCACTTACAAGTTCAGAAACGCAAGGGGACATGGTGGATTCCTTCACTGGGACAATCTTGCATAGTAAGTTGTGATTTTCTTGCCCAATACAGCTTCAGTTAATCCAGAATAGCTACTAACATCTGCTTGGTGATTTCTGGCATAAGATTTCTTAGGATCAGCAATGATTTACACCTTAAAAAGAATTTAAGCTGTTCAAGCCTTATGCTTGCTTGGAAAGCAAAATAATTGTTATAACAAACTTTAAGGAGAATTAGTTCTTGAATTAGATATTTACTAGCCCTATTCGTCAAACTAAATTGAATTTCAACGTAAAATAGAGTGGGACTGTGGTGGTCCAATCTTCAAGCACAGCAGGGTTTTTGCATGACAAGGCATGTCTTTGCATAATAGAATATTTTAGGAGATTTGATTCTCCACTATAATGATCCAAAGGCACGAGCTTGTAAGGCCAAAATTTTCCTACTAATCACCTTTTATCTCAATTCTTTTGTCCAGGAAGGGAGAAAATGATGATTTAAAATCTTGGACATGCTTGGTATCCGCGAAAAGTGTTCCTTATTCTGATTAATCAAATTAAATGTTTTTTTGTCACCCTATAATAAAATGAGTAGTAATAAGATAAATTGAATACTCTAATGGAAAGATAGAAAGAAAAGTGTTGTGAAAAGGTGTTATATTCCATTGCAGTCTTAATCTTACTTATATGACATATCATGACTGGTTATATGTATGCAGACGTTGGAAATGTTTATATGCCAACACACAAATCAGGAAAAGCATAAAGAGACAAGTTGGTCACAAGGTTAGAGAACAGCCTAACAAATAAATAATAATCGCAGAAGGGCTTATACATGAAGATTTCCGATCCAGAATGAGTAGCTACTGCTAGCTAGTACCAAATTACCAATCCACAATTGCTATGTGTTTCAGTTCATCGATTCCTCACCATATTCTGTAAAGGAAAATGCCCAAGAGGTATTGCATCAAATAGTAATTAGTTGCTACTTCCCAAAAGATAGTAGTTTGAACTGATTCCAAGGATTCAATAATCTATTATTTACATTTGCAAATAAGAACCATAGTTTATTCTAGAATTTCCATAATAGTAAAATAACACTATTTACATACGGTTACATTGCATCGTTTACACATTTTTCTAATATCCGTGGTTATGTTTGAAGTAAATTTACTGTTCCTATCTTTGAGGAGTGGATAGAATGAAGTGACTGACAAAATTACTTAGAAAACAAAAAAGTTTTAAGAATTGGAAAAGGAGGTTTTAGACAAGGGGGGTAAATTTCTTCAAATACTTTCTATAAATAACAAGAAGAATAATAAGATTAAGAAAAATTTATTGTTCTTGACATTCTTTTAAACAATTCTCTACATGAGTCTTGATTATTGTTCAAGGTTAAAATGTATCTGATATTAAAATAATATTGGTTTCCAAGGTTTAATTTTTTAAATCAACTATTATTATGTTACACTTTTTCCTCTAAAATATGCTTCACAAGAAATAAACGAAAAACTTATTTATGAAACAATGTACCAAATCTATGAGCAAGTATAATGCTATAGTTTAGTATTAATCATTTCTTTTTTTTCTTTATTTTTCTCAAGATTGTACTTCTCTTGTTATATTATTATTTATTAACACTTTGGACAATATAAAAATGCAAAATAAGTTGAATATATTTATTTTCCTTAATTATGAAAGTTGATCTCTTTTTTCATTTCACAAAATTTAAAACAAATAGCAAAGAATCACACAGGCATCAACTGACAATGCCTTAAATATGATTATGATTAATTAATTATGAAACTAACAAATTTAATATATATATGACTAAAATAACTTGTAAATGTAATTTAAATTAAAAGTTTAGATTGAATTAAATGTAAGAGTTTTTAGACTTATACCAGTATAAAAAGATGTTATTCACATATGGTATGTTATGTAAATTACTGTACACTATTTACATGAAATTCAAAATTTATTTTCATGCTATTTCTCAATACAAATAGTTGAGATTCATCACTGTGAAAACTATATGATCGATATCTTCTCTACAAAGTATTCCACCTTCATCGAGCTAATTATTAACATCTTAGGAGTACAAGAACAACGTACGTCTACCCCACTAACTATGGTATAACAAACAATTAGCGTCTTAAGAGTGTAAAGCTTTTTTAAAACTGCAAAATATTGTACACTACCGTATCCTCTATCCTCTCCTCTCAACAGAGCAACATGTTCATCAAATATAGTGCCAAAATTGACCTCACAACACAGCAAAATCTGAGTGTTTCGCCCATTTTCTTCCAAATCACATCTGTAAATATCTATCTCTAGAAATTAAAGGGATCTCAGCCATTATTCAACTTAAAAGGACAGTCTGCCTTAATTCCACATATCCGTTCTGTGAACTTGTTTTCCATATTCCACTTTTGTTTTGTATTTAGTTTTTCTCCCATTTCACAAGGACCTTCCACTCCTCTGATAGTTTTGCCCCACATGCAAAATAACTTTTTCTTTCATTTTCCCTTTTCACTTTAGCAATCTCTATGAATTCATTGCTTGAGATCAACTTCATCTGTCGTGCTGCTTAGCCATAAAACAAGAAACCACACTAAGGAAGTCCTCGTGTCATCACAATCTCTACAGATGGATGGACTTCTATCAAGTTTGCACCAAGCAATGAACGCAGAAATCAAGGCTTAGTTTTAACCAAGATGATGGAATGACATGTCTCATTCAGTTTATCTATGGTATGTACCATGTGATTTAAAGAACTGAAAATCCGGGTGATTCACTTGAACTAGCCTTAACCAGTTATCGGCAGCCTGCAAGAGGGAATTCACTAGTTGAGACTCGCTAACTCCTTTTTTCGTCCAAATAGATCCCTTTAACTTATAGGAAGCCATTGCAAAAGTAGGTATAGAAATCTTTGGGACGCCATCCATCTCACTGGGATAAACCACTGTTGGAGCATGAGTACGACCACTTCCTGAAATGTAATCAAAAGAATTTTTTTGAAAATAAATTTGTTGGTCTTGCATCAAAGTGTGAAAAGAATTGCATTAATACATTTCATTTTTTTGGAAGAAAGCAAAAAAAGTATTATTTTAGCATAACTGCTGAGATAACATCAACCAGCAAGTTGAGTAATGCACCATTCAAGACTTAACGCTGAGTTTGACTATGTTTTATTTTTCAGTTTTAAAAAACTATTTTGTAGAACAATTTTTAAAAACTAATTTTAGTAGCAGCTGAAAGAGAGTAAGTGGTGAAGGAATATGAGACAGCAAACATGAATAATAGAAAGCTGAAAGTAAAAAACCAAAACAACTTTCTGGTTTTTTAATTTTAAAAACCAAAAAAGAGATATTGTTTTTGAAAACAGTTTTTAGAAACTAATTTTATTATACATTTTTTTGTTTTCTTGCTTCTAACAGCAGGAAATAGTTTAGAAAAACAAGAAACATGCAAGCACTTGGTTTCTATTTGTCCATATTTGTCAATTTCAAATTGAGGGTATTTGAGCAAAGATTAATACAAGTGCATTACAATGAAAATCAATTTGGTTTTATGTTGGAGAGGCATGGAAGCAAAACACTTGCCACAACGATTGATGGAAGGATATTATTGGAATAAAAAAGACTTATATATGGTCTCTTATTGATTTGATAAAGACACGTGGATAGGTCACCAAGAGAGGTTTTGGAAGGCACTAGAGAATAAAAGAGATATTGCATATATTTGATTAATCAAAAATATGTACAAGGTGTCACAAAAGGTGTAACAACACAAGGTGAGATCACAACAAATTTCCCTACAAGTCCGAATCGATGGTAAACTTTGAGCCTTATCTTTTTACCTTGGTCTTCAACATATCTAAGGGTCAGTACATATCACAATGCATGTTTTTTGCAAATGATATAGTCCTAATTGGAGAGTCAAGAGAGGAAATAAAAGCTAGGTTAGAGGTGGAGACAAACATTGGAAGCACATGACTTGTGTGTTTAAGTAAAGAGTATATGAAAAGCAAGATTGACAAGAGAAACATCAATCCCAGTTCAGAGGTGAAAATTGGAGACCGTATTTTACCACAAATCACACAGCTGAAGTATCTTAGAGTCCATCATACAAAGAATAAAGAAATTGAGGGTGATGTAATCCATAGAATTCAAGCGGGGTGTATGAAATTGAAGAGTGCCCCAAAGTGTTATCAATGCCTACAAGGTGAATGGTTCATCTGTATGTAGAGAAGACATGTAGAAACCCCAGTAAGGAGAATAGTTCAGATTTAAGGTAGCCTTGTCCCTAGTGCAAGAGAGACCCAAAAAATTATAGGAAAAGCCATTAAGAAGGAATTAAAGGTCATGGTTTGTCTAGAGACATGATTTACAATATAATTTTAGTAAGATTTAATCCATGCAGCCGACTCTAACTAGTAAGAAAATGGCCTGATTATCGTTGTTGATTTCAAATTACAATGTGTTTCCCCAGAATTCCATGCCTCTATTAAATCATCCTTCATCAAAAGATTAAAAAAATGATGTAGCAGGAAATAAGTTTCAGATTTGTATTCATTCTGTTCTTAAGATTAAGAAGAGAATGCCCTTGAAGGGGGGTTTGTTCTCCAATTCTCAGTCATTTAATAAAACTGATCAATTTCTTTGTTGTTTATAAATTTCTCATGTCTCTTTCCGGGGTTTGCTAAACACACAAAAACATAAATAATGTAATGGGTTTGCGAAACACAAAAACATAAATTATGTAAAAGATAAAAAATCAAGTGGGTGCTGAGCAAGAACTTATTACTTTTAAGAGTAAAGAAAAGTCAAGTGACAAATGAAAAGATGCAGTTCATTAAATACATGCTACTGGAGCAGATGCCAATTTTCATATTAGTTGACAAAAGTGCAATATTTTTTGTGAATACACTGTTTCTGACAGATATTACTAGAGGGGAAAAAGTAGAGAGTAAACCCCTACTTTTGCTCTCCAAAAGAAAGGATCATCAGTTTAGTCAATATTTGTCATCAATTTAATCCCTTAATTATTTAAAGTATCATCAAATTGATCCTTCTTTGTCAGAGAGAGAAATGAAAATAATAGGTCCTAATTTTAGGGGATAACGATTTGCATTATTGAGTGACTAGATTATGCAAAAATAAAATTCCTCTTGACGACTAAAATAACAACACTGAGCATTGTTGAATAATTACAAAATTCTTTTGAAGACCAAAGCAATGATATCCATATCTTTGAACGATAAAAATTGGGGTTTACTCAAAAGGAAATAATCTCAAAATGCACTGTTACATTTAATAACAATATTGAACCAAAATGAGTGCTGCAGAAGCAAGTCTAAGATGCCACTGAAGATCAAACATAGGCTTGAAGTTTCATAATTACCTGTCAAGGGTGTATGGAGTGTATGGTATGTTAGGAAGCATGCATCTAAATCTTTTAATGTTGGACCTGTGGGTATTCGATATATAGGATACCTAGAGCATGACATTAAAATATGTTAACTGACAAAAAAATCAGTACTAAAACATTAGATTGGGTGGTCTTGCCAAGTCTATTCAAAACAAAAAAAATGGCAAAAGAAGTTAAGCATTAGATCACCATGCCACAGACATCCAACTGACTGGCAATAAATCACAACTCCTCAATGATTTGAGGGCAGGATAGTGCCGTGCAAGATCTAGTATCTGTCATAAAGTATAAGACAAACTGGTCAGATTACGAGCAAATAAGCCACACATAAACTAAGGAGGATCTTGTTCAGATTAAAGTAATTGCCTTGTCAGATAATGGTTCGCGACTATAAGGAGGATCATGTGCGAAATACTCAAAAAGCAAATCTTGAGGATTTCCAGTTTCACTGTCATCACTAGAAAAACCTTCTTGCACCTTCCCAGTCTCATGTATAGACAGAGTCCTCATTTGAAATGAGACACCACCTGTTAGATATTGACTATTTCGATGCACCATAAAACGGTCAGTCCTCTTTCCGTATTCATAATCACTGCTTCCTTCACTACATGAATCTCTGTAGTAATCACCATCAATATCTTCACCGGTGTACCTAATGACACAACAAAATCAAATCTGGTTGGTTACAAGCTAACAAATAATAGCACACACTTGTAAGTTCCAAACATAGTCAATATTACGTTAACAAGTTACAAAAATAGCAAAAAAAAATTCACAAATTTATATTATGTTGACTACATACAGGAAGCAGTAGCCAGATAGAGAGAGAGAGTAAAAATAAAATAGGTTAAAATATATCCAATATATTGAGATCCAAAATGAATAACTAGTCAAAAATCAACCAATTATAGAAACAATCTTTTGTGACTCTCCATCCAAACACTTAACACATTAACTCATCCATTAATTATTATTGCTAATGAATACTTTCTCTAGAAACTGTCAAAATCTAATTCAAAAAGTAACTTGTTAATGTTGCAACCCAACAAAAATGCTACACACAAATATATATATGATTTAAAGCCTGACATCACTCCATGATACTGTGACTTCAACAAATTCAATGCTTTAAAGCACAACTCCAAACACTTCTCCTCAAATGAGGTTTTAAGTAGATTTACATGTTTTTTGTGAGTAAAATCCTAAAATTATATGATTTTACTTCAATATCAAGTTTGACAACCATAATCCATATACTAGACCCTCAAGGCAAATCAAGAGTAATGAATAACCTGCAAATTGTTCCTCTTTACTAGGAGGGAAAAATGGGAGGATCAAAACTGGTTCTTAAATTTGATAACAATAATCCATATACTAAAACCTCAAGGCTAATCAATGGTAACGAATAAAATGGTACTCATTCCAAGAGGACGGAAAAGTGGGAAGATCAAAACAGGGGCATAAAATTGTTCCAAAAATCATAGGAAGAGAAAGAAGTGAAAATTAAGAAAGAGATACAAAGCAGAAAAAAATAAAATGGTTATATTTATAAATCGGAGACCCAGTGTACAAGGGTCCCACCAAGCAGAAAGGTTATTTCCAGGATCTAAGCCCATGACCATGACTTCTTGGTCATACGGCAGCAACCTTATCATTGCGCCAAGGCTTGCCTTCAACAAAATCAAATGGTTATAAACTCATAAATTTGAAAACAAAGCTTGATTGAAAACAAAGGCAAAGCCAACTCATTTTCTATTATAACCAGCTAGCAATATCATCTTCCTGGTTTTCACCAATCTGAACTCCTGCAGTTTCAATATCCATAAATAGCATATAATGAAAACTAAAACCACATTGAATTTCTATTTCATTTACTTATCAATTTTTTTTTCCTTTTTCCTTACAACAAGAGCCCGAAAACATAACCACAAAAAATCCATCTAAGAAATTTACGCACGCGCACACACACACACACACAGGATAGAATCAATTGATACCAGGTGCTAAATGCTATACTTATACCAAAGGCTAAGATTTATTCATTAATTCTGTCACATGGCACCCTCTTTTCTCCCCCCCATACATTGATGCTTCTCAACCCAAGACAGCAAATTGATTTCTGCTTAGGTCTAGAAAATTGTAGAGTCAGATTCAATTTTTATGCAAACTGGTTTTTCATGATCCTCCAATATATGTCTGCCATGTTCCTCGTTTTCAATTAGTTTTGTTCTTTCACTGTATAATTAAGATTCAAGAATACCAATAAGCATGCAGTTTCACTACTTTTTGTATGGTTGATAATGAGATGCAGGGAAAGGTTGTCAATTATTCTTTTTGTAATGCTTAATGCATTATCTACTTTCACCGCTCCTCACGACTTCTCTTTATGCTAGCTATTAGTTAGATATAGCGGTTTCAACTATTATTTTATACTTTACTTGGAAAGTGTACAACCAACGTCAGTGCAGTGTTGAAGGGGCAAATTGATTTTGGTCCACAAATGCAACATGACCTTATGCATAACTAGAAGATAGGAAATACCTCGGTTAATAGAAGTGAAGATTCCAGCGACAGTTCTGTTCTATGACAATCCTCTGAATGAGATGACTCTAGATTTTTTTATTTTTGCAATAGATAACATTGTCCAATATACAACATATGCGTAAATCTAATTATTTATTCTTCACATGCATTCTGTTTTCTTTGTAATTATTTACTATTTGTTCTAAACTCTGCTGCTTCTTTATTATTAATCTGCATTCTGATGAACAATTAATTTTTATTGTCATTATTCTCACATATTACACACCGGTGCATCGCAAAGGTCAATGGAAGGATAAGATTTGTTGTAGTAAAATGTTTAACACCTAGTGTCAATCGATCCTAGCATGTTTCCGGTGGCTAGTGCTGCCTTAAAGTTACCGATCGTTATGCACGAATAAAGAGAATGATTCTATGCACAAAATGCCAATGGCCCAATACCTTGGCTTTGCACTTGACTTCTCAGAAGATTGACCATATAGTTGAATAGCTGACAAATACGGAACATAATATTGAACAACAGATTCACTCTGACCAAGTAGCAACGGGACTCCAGCTCCATATGCACTCCACTCCTTAAACGATTCCCAGAGATCGTTCAGTGTGAAGTATGACTGATACTCCACATCACAGGTCTTCCAACCTCTCATTGTTGTCTACATCCACAACAGAATAAAAATGAGTAATAAACCATACAGTGATAACAAGAATTCTGAGAATCAACCTTTGTAGCAATAACCCGAATGAAAAAGAGTAAAAGTCACGAAAACTAAATGTCTTAAACTTGTCAAAACCAGACAAATGCAAAAACTACCAGTCAAAGCATAACACTTTTATAATAATTGTTTCAGTATTTTAAAAGCAACCACCAAAATATAAAATCATGGACTAAAAAGAATTTTTAAAAAATATGATTGAGATCAACCTTGGAGAAATACTGAGCCGGGACTAATGGTGTTGTAGAGTCCAAGAACCTATCAATATTACTAACAGGCTCTACAGATTGAGAAAGAGTTGGTTTTGTTGACAAGTGCAATGATTGGTTGAGATTGTTATTCTCAGAAGCATCAATTTTGCTCTTTGAAGTTAAATCTGTGTTTTCAGCTTCGCCATTCTTGGCTCTCTGAGCTTGTTTACGCTGGTTCTGGCTCTTCCTTGCCTTCACCGGAATGTAAAACCGATCCTCACCACGAACACCCCCAAATTGCAGTGCAGTACCCAGCATTTTCCACAACTATCTTCTCCTCCGTTTGGTCACCGAGAAAACGGAGGAAAGTATCAGATGAGAAAATAAATACGACCCAAATTTCAAAGTCCTTTTTTTTTTCGCCTCCCCTTCTCTTCCCGCACTTTGGATTTTCACAAAGAAACGTTTCCGATCATAAAAACGAATTAAACCCAGAAAAATTTAATCACGGAGGATGAATAGGGAAGTCTAAGACTCTGATTTTGTGGAGAAAAAGAAAAGGGAAAGAAAGTGTAGCAAATCGGAATCAAAGCAATGGAAGATAATGAAAAATAGAGAAGAAAGGAAAGATTGAATATGTTGAAGAAGAGAAGAAGGGAGGAGAAGACAAATTTCAACACTAGCTTTTACAAGAAAACAGAGAGAGAGAGAGAGAGAGAGAGGAATGAACGAGTGCATACCAAGTTTGGTGGGGATTCTACCATTTTTCGTTTTCTTGGGATATTTAACTAATTATGTGAAGTTTTGGGGTTAGTTGTGGAATTAGATGGACTTTTATGGAAAAGAGTCTTCATTGTTATCACTTAAATTAAATGTCAATAAAATAAAATAACACAAACTTTGGACACAACATACGTGAATAGACCCATTCGTGATGGCCTTACATTGAACATAATCTTTTTTAAATGATTAGATAGATGAGAATGTTAAATAATTCTCTTTTTTCAAAAGTTGAAATTTAATGCCTTAATTGGTTAAAGAAATAAAAGTATATACAGTAGTCATATCTGTCGAAATTTGACGCAAATCTTGAACACTTATCATACTTTTTTTTATAAACATATTATTTATTTATATTTTAAAATATATATTATTCATTAAAATAAAATATTTATTAATTTAATAAAAAATAAAATTAATCTACCTAATAAAATTATTTAAATAACTATTTAATAAGAAAAATAAAATGTAAGAGTATATAAAATTCAAAACTGAAAGTTAGGATACGTTGTCTAATTTTTTGTGAAGACGCCGTGAGATTTGGTTTCAGAAATGTGGCATAATTGGGTGTAACGGAGGCATTAAAGATTTGAAGTAGATTTTGACTTGTCTGTTTGTTACTGTTTTCAATTTAACATTTTTTGCTTTCTAAACTCTACTGTCTGGTAAGGACATATCACATCTTAGGAGTAAGAATATTCCTTCTTTTTATCTGTAAATATTTAGTGTGATAAGATGTCCCTTCATCCTTTTACATCATGTAGGTTTTTTTGTTAATGAAATAAAATAATAAGATTTTATTTTATCTTTAGTGTTTATTTCATTTATAAGATATAACAATTTTATTTTATAAGTTTATTCTATTCTACTACTCTTTAATGTTGTCATACAAAAAACTTTAGATTATAAATAAATAAATAACTTTATGTGTCATTTAAAATCGTTTTTTTTATTTTGGTCTGATTTTGAATGTTTGATTCTTTTCTTGGTTAACTAGTTTCTTCATCTATAGGGTCTTGGAAAGTATATAATTTAAAATTTTATATTTTAAATTTAATTATATGTTGCTTTGTTTGAAAAATCGTTGACCATGACAGTAACATGTATCAAAATTAAATTTGGTTACCTTATTTATGTTAGAAAATGGAAATCATCAGCTAGACAATTTTAGTGCCTGTTTAGTCAGTGCTTGAAATAAAAATTACACCCGTTATGAAGTAATTTTGTGAAAAAATATTTCAACTATTCCCGAAACCAAGTTTTAATTAAAATATAAACATATTCTTAGAATGAACGATTTGCTTCAGAAAATAAATGGTTGTATTGATTATTTAGTAGGAAAAAGGAAAGTAGGAGCAACCACGGCAAAGAATAATAGCCATACCAACAACCCTTTCTTTGACTGCAACAACTCCCTCAATAGAATGCTGAAAAAATGTCGTTTTGGCCACCTTAATTAAAGATTATAATAGTTAAGATCCACAGAGTATTTTGCTATTTATTTTCATGCTTGTATTTTAAAAAAAAAAAACATATCTATATTTACACAATGAATAACCTTTGTATTTATGTCAATGTTCTATATGCATTTATATACTTATTTATACATGTGGCTAAATAGTACGAAATTACGCGTTTTTACTATGATGGATATAAGTTAAATTCATTTTATTAAGAAAAATGTGGATTTGACGGAAAATTAAGTATAGATTTTTTATTCAGTTTTTGTCGCTTTATTTTGTTTATTTCATACTATATAATATTTCGCTATGTATATTTTAATTAAACAAAATATAGTGTCTCTTTTAATATGTTTTATTTTCTACAAAAGAAAAAAAAATGTAATTTTATTCCTATAATTAAATAGAAAAAATAACGGAAAAATATGTTACATCAATCAAAATCATAATTGAAAAGTATCTAAAAAAACTTGTATTTTTTTTCTAAATATTTAAAACAACTATATTATAGAATTCAAACATATTATAAATTAAATTAAATTAAATTAACTTTTAAAATTATTTTATTTATAAATTTACGTTATGATTTCTTTTTTAACTTAATTTTTTTTATACTGTGTATATTATAGTTAATTTTGATATCTCTTAACATGAGAAGTTTATATTTTATTTATATAGTTGGTATTTATTGTAATTTTATAATATTTTTAATGATTTTTTTTTACTTTATAAATTTTTTTTGGAGAGATTGTGGGTAATAAAAAAATATTATAAAAATAAGTATGGATAATTTATTAAAATATAAGTCTATAGTTATATACTAAAATACATCGACATGACCCTGCTCATTATCATCTCCATGTCAACTCATTTGTATTATATTATAATATATTTTTATTTAATATATTAAATAATGTATACGAGTGAAGTGACTGTTTTGTACACAAATCATATGCATAGGTCCAACAACATTATAATAATTGTTTTTTCTCCTAGACATATTTAAAACTCATATGAATAAATATGATCTCAGGATCATAGACCCATTGTGTGTGTCCATTACTAAGATTTGTCTCCCCTTGTAAAGACAAGCATAGAAGAATGGTCTTATAAATGAAAAAGACCAATATTATCAAACATGCACAGCCTCTATTATATTGCATCTACCATTAGAACATACATTAACTTAAAATGTCATTTACAAGTATTCTCCCGTCTCACGTATTTGATTAAGAATGAGTCTTTACAAACAGAGTACAATCATCAAGAATTAATAATAAAAATGTTTTAAAAAATGTGACAAAAACTCGGGGAGTTATTGTATGTTTAATTGTTGAATTTAGACAGAGATGTTTGCATCCCATATCGTGAATATGCATGGTGGGGCAGCAGGGTGTTGAATTTAGGCCAATCCTTTGCATCGATCAACATTTCCTCACAAAAGATGAAGAGAGGACAATGATGGGATGGTGGGAACAGGATTTGGAGATGGGTTACCTAATTACATTACACTGAGATTATCATGATCAATAAATGGGTCCCTTAGCATTTTCTGGTTCATAGGGTGTGTCCATGTCAAAGTGAAGCTATAATGACTACTTTTACAATTTTATCTATGGACTCCACGCACCACATGCTCAAGTCATTTTTAAATATATTCCACACCAGGGAGCAGTTTACTGTTTACAAATTACAACCTCAATAAAGTATCAAGTCTTTTTTCATACAAATAAATGTTTTATTAAAAATTTAAAAGTATAAAATATATATGTAATAAAAAATTAATTACTTTAAATAATTCTTTGTGATTACTTCTATATATATATATATATATATATATATATATATATATATATATGAGATATATTTTGTGACAATAATTTTTGTTATAAAATTGTGAAAATTTAAATATTTAGATTTAATTTTTCTCACAATTTTTATTAACATGTTTATAAATACTATTACAAGATTTTATTAAAGCTTATAATAATAAAGTATAGGTTTGTTTCAAGATTGTTTTGAAAATTTCTTTTAAACTCCTAAGTATAAAATCAATCAATGTAAACACATACTGATCAAAATTTAGAATGAGATAACTTCATTTGTTTTTAAACTATATGTACACAGAGAGACAGATTTAATAAGTAGATAAACAACCTGCCCAATCTTTTTGTTTTTTCAAATGTACCATGATCTTTACCATAATAATTAAAAGGCCAACAATAGTAAATTACAAAAAGAAAGGCCCAACCTCTGAAAGCAATTTATTCTATTGATCCACTGGAGAAGTATCGCTTGCAATCTAAGATTGGTTAAGTTCCAAGCTTGTTGGTGATTGGGCCAATAATATACTGAGACAATACTTTAGTTTGGCAGATCTTTGGTGCTAGATTTATTATAAAAAATCCTTCAATGAGGCAAAGCGAACATGACATAATCACTTCGTGTCAGTGCAATATCATCAACTAAATAAAAATGGTAAAAAGAAGAATGCTCCACGTGACGGATAAACGAGGAATGTTATAGGATTGCTTATAACCAAGCTGAAGAAGAAAGAAAAAGAATTTTTGTTTCCAATTCCTGGATGCTTTGTTTAGTCCACACAATGACTTCCTTTTCATACAAACTCCTGTGGATTTTTTTGCATACTTATTCGAGTAAATTATTCAAAAATTGGCATGATGAATTTATTCATCCTCAGCTAACTTTTTCAATTCCTGTAACCGTCCATATCTGCAGGAATTTAGTATGGCTAATGGATATTTGAATTTGTCAAACCTATTGCATAGGTTAGACTGTTCTTGCCAGCCGAAATACCATAATTTTAAACGGTATGATATAATAATTTATTATCAAACTTCAGCAAATAAAACTTCAAACTTTGCAGTTTCCTTAATTTGAAGTCAACATCTTACATTTATTTAGATCAAAATCATAATGACAAAGGAAAAACGATCAACATCCATTAGAAACACCTGTCTAATTCAAATACTCTGATCTTGAATGAAGTGAAGGTTCAGATACAACTTTGAAATATTTGCATATTGATTGAAATATATGTGTCTATACATGTCCACACACACAACAGTCAAATAACATATTAACATTGTAATCAACCTTTGAAGTAGCACCAGCCTCATAACAAACACTAAGAACAAGAAGATACACGGATTTAGTTCCTCTATAAAATGAGAAAGTAAAAAATTATATCCCATTAGTTTTAATTTATATTTTATAAAAATAATTAATTCTAAATCAACAATAAATGAATATTTACTCTCTAATTTTATATATTTCCTTATTTTAAATCGGCCAAATGCAAGATACTGAACATATAACTTGTCAAATCATCCAATTTTGAAAAATCAAATGTCAAAGTGAATATTAAAAAGAGAACCCTGCCATAACTGCGTCATGTGACAATCACTCACTCAGATTATCAACCTACCCCTTCTTTCATTCCTCATTTTCTTGTGATCCTTCTATGGCTAAATTGCTCATGGATGAAACTATTCACATGATCGTCTCCATATTCCTAACATCATCACTCTTCTTGTTAATCACTTGTCCAACATCCATTTGCCAAGAAGAAAACAAGCACGTAGAGTGTAGCAAGCCATACACTTGTGGACAAATATACAACATCTACTACCCTTTCTGGGGGGAGAACAGATCCAGTTATTGTGGAAGCAACCACCAATTCAGGCTCAAATGCGAGGCTCATCAAAACACCTCAATTCAACTTGGCTCACAAAATTTCCAAGTGCTACACATTGACCAAGTGGGTTACACCATGCAAATGGTACGAACAGGCCTTGTCTATGATCATTGTTCTTCTTTGGCCTTAACCAACACTTCCCTTAACTCAAATCTCTTCCTTTACACCTCAAGTGTTAGGAACATAACCATCTTCTACGGTTGTCCTAGCTCCATGCTTTCAAACACTACACACTCTTTTCCGTGCCAAGAGGGCGGTAACAAGAGTGTTTTCTATGGGGATCCCACAACTACAAGAGTACAAGATTGTGAAGGAGTTAGAATTGAAGTGCAAGTAACACAGGAATTAACACAAGATGGAGGAATTGAAGGGCTGAACAAAGCCTTGAGTGAAGGGTTTCAAGTGAATTATATTTCAGATGGTCAATTATGCTTGAAATGCATTTTAACTAATGGAACCTGTGGAGCTAATGATAAGTCTCAGTTTTCATGCTTTTGCCCCGATGGAACTGAAGCTTTAGATTGTTCTCTTCATCAAAGTATGCTTTCTTTCCCTTCTCTTTTCTTCATATGTGTGTCATACAAAGAGATTTAGATATGGGTTTATAAACATTTTAAGAATAGATTTTGATGCAAATTGGTTGCATGAATTGAAGCATCTAGCTTATGTTAAGCTAGAAACTTTTCTAGTAAAGGAAACTGAGGCGTTAACCCTGTCAGAATTCAACTCTTCGTGGTTAACTAGAATCAAAATATTGTTGCTGTTCACAGCTGTGATTACAGGAATCTATGATTAGGTGGGCGTTGAAATCTTCAAAGTTGAAGGCTTTTTTTAAGGGTTACCTCTATCGAATTTGGGAATTTTATTTACCTGATTCTGTTTGAGAGGCTTCGCAGTAATCCTCCCCATATTTCTTCAGAATTTTGAGTCATCACAAAGTGAAAACTGAGAAGTTTAGATTGTGGGCATTTACTATTGTCACGTTTGGTTTATCCCTTGGTGCTAATTTGGTATATTGTTCATTGATCCCTCTTGAATTGACCTCATATCTTCCTCTCAATTTGTCAATGGTCTAATCAATTTTTTTTTCCTGTACGATTTGTTTCGTTTCTTTTCTCCCCTCTGGATCTAAATCTAAATTTTATAAGGTAATCATGTGTGAACGTGTAGTGATTTTTGACTTTGACTATTTTGGGTAGCTTATAAATCATCATCATTATTATTTTTATAAAGTTTAATAATATCTGATGCATACTCGTCAAAATTCAAAAGTAGTTTTTCTTTTTTTTCATTTCGAATAAAAGATCAATTGTTTCGGAAGAGTAACAAAATCAAGCGCTGTTCTTTGATGCAATCATCACTGTCTCATTAAAAATTTCACTTAATGTTGTCAAGCAATTCAAGCTTATGCAGAAAATTAACTGAAATGGAGTATTCTGTATGTTCAACGGTTCAAATTATTAATTTGGAAATCCCAAATGATCTCCAATCACAAACAATTGGTTTTACTGATTTGAAATGGGAAATGAATATGGCATGGTTAATTTCCAAGTTGTGAAAAGCTAGTGCAGTAATTCCCATTTTGCCTGCTTCTAGTGTCTCATGCAACTTCTGATGTCGTAGGCCATAAGTGCTTACATTCTTCGTGAAACCCTTTAGTTAAAACTACATTGATAAAATTGCTTAACTTTCTGCAAGATTGCCTTCAAATGCTCTCACTTATCTGTCTTCTATTTTAATTCTCTCAGGTAATCGATGGAATTGGAAAAGGAAGGTTGGTATAGGTAATAGATCCAACTATCCTTGATAATGATTTTTCTTTTTCACAATGTTGTATTTATTTCATTAATATATTTATAAGTGATTGAAAATTCAAATGCTTCTTCATAGGCGTGGGTGCTGCTGTGATCACTTCAATTACAGTTGGCACAGCCTTTTATATCTATTATCATAAAAAGAAGAAACATCTGGTAGTATCATCATCAGTACTATCTCGGGGAATCTCTTCTGGTCCTTTTTTAGAAGACCTTGAGAAGGGATGTAAATGCATCGGACTCCATTTCTTCACCTATGGTGAACTTGAGGAGGCCACAAACTACTTTGATCCAGCCAGAGAACTAGGAGATGGAGGATTTGGGACTGTGTATTTTGGTAAAAACCCGCATCCTTTTCATTACTTATAACTATTAACTAAAACATCAATTCGATCCTTGAAATTGGCATTAATAATCAATTTTATTCTAGATATTATGAAAATAAATTTAGTCTTGTCAATTTAATCTTTTAACATTATGAAAAAGAAAATTTAATCCACTTTTTGAAAATTATTAATCAATTTGGTCCTTAATGGGCAGAAACATTAAGAACCAAATTAACTAATGCACACCAAATTAGGGATCAAATTGACTAATAGTTCTTAAATTGGAGAACAAAATTTACTATGAGAGAAGTGTTACAAAGACATTTTTTTTAATATACTTGTTAATACATTTTACTTGTTGATCTATTTTTTAAAAAGCCAAATGTTTGTTTTGTAAATTGATTACTTTTCAAAATTGTTTTGATATTTTAAAAACTAATACATCACAAGGGATGTATTGAAGAGTATGTTAATAACATTCCTTTACCTATGACTAAATCGATTGTAGAACTAATTTTATGGACCAAATTGATATTTTCGTAGTGTCAAGGACCAAATTAACTAGTACTGTCAATTTCAGGACCAATATATACTTTACTCAATGACAATAAATGTTTTGTGTGTTTTCAATGATCATTAACCAAGGTTGCTGCCTTCTAATATTTCTTGGCTAGGCAAACTTAGGGATGGACGTTTGGTAGCAGTGAAAAGGATGTATGAGAACAGTTACAAAAGAGTTGAGCAATTCATGAATGAAATTGAGATCTTAACTGGCTTACACCACCAAAATCTTGTGTCACTGTATGGATGCACTTCTCGCAACAGTAGAGAACTTCTACTGGTGTATGAGTACATTCCTAATGGAACTGTGGCTGATCACCTTCATGGGCAAAAATCAAAACCTGGCACACTCCCGTGGAACATTAGAATGAACATTGCCATAGAAACTGCAAGTGCATTGGTATATCTTCATGCTTCTGACATCATCCATAGAGATGTGAAAACCAACAACATTCTCCTTGACAATCACTTCAGTGTCAAAGTAGCAGATTTTGGACTCTCACGTCTCTTCCCAACCCATGTCACCCACATTTCAACTGCTCCACAAGGGACACCAGGTTATGTGGATCCAGAATACCACGAGTACTATCAACTCACTGATAAAAGTGATGTTTTTAGCTTCGGGGTTGTGCTGATTGAATTGATATCATCCATGCCTGCTGTTGATATCTCAAGGCATAGGCATGAAATTAATTTGTTCAACATGGCTATTAAGAAGATTCAAAGTGGGGCATTGCATGAGCTGGTGGACCCTACTCTTGGGTTTGATTCAGATTTCAAGGTAAGGAAAATGGTCAATGCTGTGGCTGAGTTGGCATTTCAGTGCTTGCAAAGTTCTAAAGATGTAAGGCCTTCTATGGTTGAAGTGTTGGAAAGGTTGAAGGATATAAGAAGTGATGGGAATTATAAAAGCAAGCCTGAGGTGTTGGATATCTCAGAAGACGATGCTGCTTTGTTGAAGAATGAACCACCACCACCATCACCAGATTCAAACATTGTGAGCTTATCTATACCACCAAATGGTGGTGAATAAGTGATCAATACTAGGTGTACATAGAATGATTACGGTAAAGATGCATTGATTATCAAAGTTATTAGCCTTTTTAATATATTTTTTTTATTGTTGATTCTTTTCTACCAAATGCTAGTCCATAATAACATAGTAACACATTTATGGATAAGAGAGCTAATTGCCGCGTGATCAAGACACGTTTAGACATCATCAGGGATGATAGAAGCCACCGTAGCTGAGTCATCAACTCATGCTTCCTTGTACTTAATAAAATGAAGTTTGTTATACAAAACTTGAATATGATTAACGCACAGCTAAAGTACAGGAGTGTCCATATGTGGTATAATCCAACAAGACACAATCGTCGAATGTTCTAAAGGCCTCGATGAAAGGACTGTGCCGTGACCTTGTAATCCCCGCAAGTGGTTGCATAGAGAGTTGAATGTTGCACACAAAGGTGCTTAAATGGGCATCGAATAACACTTTTGACCCAGTTGCATGTTGGGCCGCTAAAGGTAAAGAGGTGTTGTGTTCATCCTTAGCTTGAGGCTTCTTACACTAATCTAGAATAAAATTATGAGTTGCTTTCTTAAATATCTATAACAATAATTTAAATTATTAAATAAAATAAAAAATACTTTCAAAAATTAAATAACCTCTAATTATTAAATATTTATGGAACTAATTTTTAGAAATTAAAATTCTACTCTTCCAAAACTAATCATTTTTGTGTAAGTTTTCAAAAAAAATTATTCTATTAAAAGTTTTTAAAATTTAATATTCATAAGATAATTTAGATATATTTTTAAAATTTTAAATTTTACATTAATTAAAAATAAAAAAATTAAATCGATAATTTTTTTAATAATCATAAAAGACATTTTAGAAAAAAAAAAACAAAAATTAAATGGAGTGTGAAAAAAAGGGGTAAAAAAGCAACTCCCTGAAAAAAAGAACACTGTTTATGTTGAAAAAAACATTTTTTTTAAATAACGTCACTTTAACCTTTTATTACACTAGGAAAAGTAAAAATGAGATTTGCCAATTAAGTTAAACTTAATTCTTATTTCAAATAATAATATTTATTTGAATTAATTCTCTTGTATCTTATTTTATATTTTATTTTTCATTTTGACGAATAAAATTATTTTAATGTTATCTTTTTAAAGACATTTTTAATAAAAGTATTTTCTTAATGTTTCTTAAATTAATAAGCATTAATGACGAGAACTTCATTTATATTTCTACTTTTAGATTTTCGTCATTCTGTCACGATTTCGATAGCACCAATTAGAGTACATCTTTTTAGTTTACAATTTTTCTTTCGTAGTTGATGTCTAGTATTGAGAATGACTTTATTTATTTATTTTAAAAGCTTTTAGTTCTAATTTATTAAATCTACAACTCCAATCCGAAAGCTATGCTGCCACCTATATTTTTGACTGGAAATACACAATTCCAAGTTCAATTCAACGGTCCAACGATTACCATTTTTCGTAAGAAAATAAAAGAAAAAGTGCCATTTAGATAGAGAAAATATGTATATCTAACACCTGTTTGTTCAAATGATAAAGAGTTTAATTTTAAAAAATAAATTTTATAAATAAAATACAATTGGTACTGAAATTTTTTTGGTCATCTTACCAAAATTTATTTGACTCAATTTCAATTAATTAGAATGAAATGTAACTCTTAACTATCAACAGTCTTAAATTAAAGTAAATTATGGTGAAATAGCAATATTTTGCGCAACAACAAACAAAACATGTATATTTGCAAATTATAAAAAAATGTTCTCAACCTAATAAATTTCTATATGCAGATAAAGCTATGGTTTAATTCAAAATTAGGTCATAGAGCATTCCATTCCACCTATATTTTGTATTGATTGATTTCAAAGATAAAATCACTTAAAAAGGGTACAGATTGTATTTATATTTATATTTTTAAAATAACAAAATTTAATCCAAATATATAATTTAAGAAAGTTTGATAATATTATTTACATGTTTTTATTTTTTTTCATATGTATCATATTTTCTTTTATAATTGATATAGTATCATTAAATTCATCCTGAATATTATTTCGATTGAGATATTGAGTCATTATAATGAAATCAATTAGACTATATATGTAAAGCTTAGACTATAACTCATCTGAATCATCTAGTTTGATATATTTTCTAGTTTCCTGTGTGTGTGTGCTTGCACAAACCTCCATATGTAATGGCTGCTTGTATTTGAATTTTGAAGTAATCAAATAAGCATTCTAATGAAAATGAAATGGTATAGCTGAGAAATATACGTGAAAAAAAAATGTACATAAAAGCATTACCTTAGCAATTTTATCACAACTTGAAATTAACGATAGATGCATATAAAGATGTTTTGCATAACCCTAACAACAACAAGGCTGAAAATTTTTAAATAAAAACTTTCAATAACGATTAGCAATTAAAAGCTTAAATCTAATGGTGGGAAGTTCAAAACTATATCTTCCAAAGTTCCATCACCCTTGTAATAACCGTCTTTGTGGGTTTGATGGTTAATCTCTTCACAGATTTATCTCTTCTTATTTGTTATGTTTTCCTTATCCTTGTACTTGCACCTTATTATGTCCACTTAACCAAATCTTCGAAAAGATTATTAGATACTTAAAAAACAATACATCTAGAATTATCTATATTTAATCTCCAAGCATAGTAAAATAATACAAAGGAACAGGTTCAATTAGTGGATTACATATTATATTTTGATTGAATTATTGATTGGTTACCCTCATAATGATCACAATTGATATTACGTCATAGTGGAGATTTTGGAGGTTCTGTATTCGAGTCAAACCAAAACCTACTATGCCAAATTCGGGTAATAATTATCCAAAGATTCCTAAATATATAAATAAATTATTAGGAAAAAAAAAGAGAGCAGCCAAACCAATTTCTCAGGTAATCCTTTTTGAATATCACCCATAGGTTCATATGTAGTTGAGTCATTTTCTTGCGAAAAGTCATTCAAATTACGAGTGTCAAAAGATTATGACATTTCTCGTGTAGTCTCATGCCACTTGATGCAACAGTCTCAAGCACTAACGAAACTTGTCTTCATCGAGTGATTTTCTTCATGAAAAGTTATTCGATATTTCATATTTTTCCTACTTATCCTCTTCCTTTGCTCCTCCCACTAATATAGACAACTCTCTCCTTGCTTAACAATTTTTATGATCATACAACTGAATGTCAAATAGAATATAACATCACCACTAATTATTAGCATTATTGAATAAAAGGACAATCTTCATTGAGTGGAAGGAGGGAGTTGTAAAGAAAGCGACCCACTAAACTACCATATATGAAATTAATTAATCTATTGAAATCATTTTATTATGATAATTGTTGATACTATTGTAATTGTCATCATCAATCAAACCCCCCCAAGTGGATTATGTAGTGGCAGAGAATGAAAGGTGAAAGCAATCTAGAGCATTTTCCATCCACTAACATTCTATCAGAAGGAGCCAAGAGGAATATCAATCATATTTTAATAGAGCTAAATCATCAAATAAGAAAATTGATCAAAAAGCAAGTAGTTAGGGAGACAAGCACGTGATTTTTTTCAGAATTTTCAAAAAAAATTATCGTCTAGATAGAAATACTAATTGCCATGTTCATCTTATTACCGATGCTGCTTATTCGGATGAGAATCATCCACATTTATAAAATAACTGCACATGACGTTGTCCCTCAAATAATTTGTATAGCACTGTAATTTTTTTTTATATATAAAAAGAAACTGTGAAACGAATATTTGAATGGTTTTTAATAAAATTATTGGGAAATATATTATAAATTATAAAAAATACGTTAATAATATTTTTTGATATAATTTTTTTAACTAGTACCCACAAAATATTAATTAACATTTGTCATGAAATTATCATGAATTGGAACATGGACGAATGAAATTACATCACTTGGCTCTCACCTGGAGGTGGCAGCTTGTCCTTTATATAGATGCTTCTTAAGAAGCATCTGATTATTGAATTGAAACAGTAGAATAGTAGATGTGCAATTTTATGCAATTCTAGAGATAAAGAATTAAAGATTATTGGGTTGTAGTTTTTATATCTAGGATACCCTTTAGTAACGTGTTAGAAAAATTTTCTTAAAAAGACACCTAATTAAGTAAAAACGATGATACACATAGAATTTTATTTTATTTTTCAGAAGAAGGATTCAAATTTCTTATATTGGGGTGGATAAACATTGAAGAAAAAAATTTAATGAATTAAAGTTTATATATTTAATTGAGAGTGCTCGTTTTTAATGAATGAACAATAAAATAAATTTATTCATGAGAAAGGTAATTTCCTATTTTCATTCTATATAATATTGAGCAATTTTACGTGATCAGATTGACTGAATGGCTAGAAACTCCATGAGCAAGAGTTTTCGTTTTAGCAGAACTAAAATATAAATATGTATTATAATTTCAGAAAAAATAAGACGATATTCATGCAAAATTAAAACTAAAGATAAGTTGAAAATAATATCTTAAATTATTTATATTAGTAATATTAAGTTGAAAGAAAAGTCTTATTATACAATAATTATTTTATTTGATAATAAATATTAGGTTTTAAATAAATATTGTGAAAAAAAGTAAAAATAATTTAAATAAAAACAATAAAGTAAATAAACATTGACACTATGAACAAAATAAAAAATATTTGATATATATATATATATATATATATATAGATACAAGGTATAAGTCTTTTTAAACTTATATCAAATTTTAACTGTACAAATTAATAATCTAACAGTTGAGAAGTTACATGTTATTTGATTAAAATAATAAAATATAAATATATAGAAAGACGTAATTTTTTAAGTATATATTATTAATTTATACGATTAAAATTTAGAATAAGCTTTTTAAATTTATAACTAATGTAAATAAATTTATCCATATATATATATAAAATTTAAAATCCAAAATAGTACTAGACCACTCAGGATTTGACCTCCAAAAGTTTTCAACAGCCCATTCTTGTTCTTCTTGCTTGATTTCATTCATGTTGGGTGGTTTGCGCTGAACAAGACTTTGAAAAACTTAAAAAATAGCCCCCAAATGGTAAGTGATAATCAAAAGCATATATCCACAAATTGGCCTCCCATTAAAAGAATTGACCTCAATTAAGTTGTAGCATGATGTCTTCCAATAGGGTAAGCAAGGGTTCACCAAAAAACAATAGGGTTGAAGACAAGACTTAGTGCGTTTTGATGAAGAAAAGAGATGAAGGTGCCTCCAGCTTTACCCACAATTCCAACAATACACTGATTCATGACTTCAGCTGAAGACCCAGAAATCTTTTCGTTACAGTGATTCATTGAGGGGCAGTCAGCAATACAAAACACTGCTTGCCGACAAAAAAAAATCTATATGTTGAAATGAACAGAGAGTATATTTGAAATTATTTCATCAAAATTAGTGGAGAAGAAAAGGAGTTATATATTAAATTAGTTTTTAATTCATAAATATCAGTTAATGTAATCCTTTAAATTATAAAAATGTTAGTTCACTTTTTAAAATGATCATATGCCGCTTATATCAGCCTTTATTATAAATTTAGGTGTTGAAACTATTGTTATTTAATATTTTTCATTAGTAAAATAATATATTTATAATTTTGGAAGTTGAATTGGTTGATAAACTTTACTTTAAAGTTTAATTTGATATATTACTTAAAAAATAAAAATAAAAAACACTTCCTTTCACTTGTTACCTCATAGTGATATTTGTATAGTAATATGTGAGGGCTCCCATACGGACTTACTTTCATTTCTTATTCTAAAAAGTTAAATACATGATTCCATTTCTATTAACAGTTGTCCATATTAATTTGATTTGTGTGTGTGTCATTTAAGGTGTATCTAGTAAAATATTTCAGTTACTTAAAATTTTATTTTACTAATTAATTTTTTAAGCAAGATTACCCTAGTAGTTAAACTAGTTTTAAATTAATAGATAATAGTTGAAAGTAATTTTCTTCTTTCTATCTTTGGCATTTTTTATTCCTGTTTTACTTATTTAATTTTATAAATATAATATTTTTTATATATTGCATTTAATGCCTAAAGTGCTACTCGTAAAAAAAATTAAAATATAAAAAATGTTACTTTTTAATAGATATTTTTATTTAATAAAATAACCAAATTATGTTTCTTTATAATTTAAAATTATCAAACTAAAAAGCATACATTTTTTTATATTGTATCCTTTTATTTAATAAAATTATTTATAAATAAAAATACAATTTAAAATCATAGATGTATAAAATTTGATCACTGATGATGATTTGACAATGAATGAGGAGCATTTATAAAAATTTCGCCTTTTAAGTTTATTTTATTACGCAAGTATTTAAGTTAAAAATTATTTAAATATTTTACTAATTTTACAAAAATATTTTTTATATATGTTTTATTTAATTAATTCTTATGAAAACTATTAAAATAAGTTTGTTTCATCATTAAGTGCATATGGCATACATTTTCATTTGATACTTTTTTTAAATAAATACTTGAATTAATTATTATTTAAATACATCTTAATTTCACAGTCAATAATCTTTTATTTGAACGCAAGAAGAATTTTAAAATAACTGAATTATACACGTCAAATTATTTTTAAAAATAAGAAGTTTAAATTGCAAAAAAAATTAAAATAAAAACTGAAATGGAATTAGAAAAATGTTTAGATGTGTCATGAACAAGTCTAAGTATACATGATCATATATATACATCTCGCCTCCTTCTCGCTTTCTCCTTCTCTTTTTTTTAACACAATTTGTTTATTTCTTAATTAATAGGAAATTTAAAAATATAAAAAAAATTTATAATTAAATTTTTATAAATTAGATAGTCAATTTTATACATAAATATTTGTATGATAAAAATTTAGTGAATAAGTAGTTAATTAAATTATTTACTTAAATATGCCTTTAATATATAATATACTATTTAACACATTCAAAAACATATAAAAAATATAAAGTAAGAAAGACTATTTAAATATAATAATGAGATAAATAAAATATTATATATATATATATATATATATAATGATATATTATTGAGCATATAAATTAATTAATAAAAGTTATTTTAATTTAACTTATGTTCTCAAATTAGAGTATCAATGAAATTTAGTTGAAGATATGATTGTGAATATAATTATTGTTAGGTATTTTTTTTTAAAAAGATAAGAGTTGAATAATTTATTTTTCAAATTAAATATAAAAAATCAAAACTGTATTTTTTTAAAAAAATTAAATTAAATTATTTTAAAATAAATTAAAAATTATTTATATTATATCCAAATATATTTTATATTAAATTTTACACTTAAAAACTAAAATATAAAATCACTCCAAGGAAGCCCTTAATTTTTACTTTTAACCCGTTTATTAATCATTCAAAATTTTAATCACGCATATTTTTTTTCATTTTTAAATAATTAATTAAATAATTAATGTAAAAATAATGTTAAAAAAATACTGTTTCTGTATTTTAAAAAAAATGAAATCTGACGAGCAAGTCTCAGGTGGGAAATGGGAGTCAAGAATGAGCTACTTTGAGGAGAGAACGAGTGGGGTCTACAGATGTGGATTTTTTATGTTCAAAGCAGAAAGGAAAAGCATTTGCTGGCGACCTTGTAATTCTACCACAACCATTTGATGCTTTAGAAAGATAAATCATAGCCAATTTCACAACTGTTTCTCTTTTTTCACTCTTAATATCAAGGTAATCACCTTATTTCATATATATTTTTCTTATCTTATTTCTTTGTTATTGAAAGTATTATGAAGATTTTACATGTAAATAGTTGTGATAATACTAGCAAGGAGTGCCAATATGGAAAAGGAGAAGGCAAAATTAGTCAGTGAAAATGCACAAGTGGTTGCAGATTCAGGAGTCAAGGGGATATAGTATATATATATATATAACACCAAATAAACTCGACCATTCAAATTTTATTGAAGTTCATAATGATTATGTACATAATTATCAAAATGGGACTAAACCATTTTATTTAATCGATTGGAGTGGAGACTAATATAGTCAAGGATCCATATAATATAAAACACTGGACGTGCAGAAAATCGATATAACGATGGATGTAATTTTTAAATCTTTGAGTGTATTAGCGTAAAAAGAAAAAGGAAAGAGAAAGTGCAGCATGCAATGTACAAGTGGGAAAAGATGGGAAAGTTATGGGAGTCCATATGAATATGACAAAGGTGGCTGGGTCAATAAATGGTAAAGAAAAATATCCTGTATAGTTCATACTCATAATACCAGAAAAACAAAGCTAAGGTTAAATATTGAATAGGGGGGGACCACTTATTTTTGGTAGTGGATGCAAAATGACCATTAAAGATTTATATTAAATTATTTTAAAAGCCAAAATAGGGATCCATATTTATACTGTTGTTGAGTCTATGCAGAGGAGTGGGACCATATGAGAATATGTGTAAAATTATTAACCAAACCATACTTGATATTATTAGCTATTAACGTTTCTGTGTAGTAGTAGCATGAGGAAGCGTCTGGTTGAGTAGCTGGTGGGTCTTGGCAGGTAAAGTAGTGATTGCTTTTCTTGTCTCTGCTGTTTGGTCATTTTTAACATCTCACAGACACACAGGGACACAGACACAGACACATTCACACTTAGCCCTTATCAGCTAAAGCTAAACACTGGCAAATACAACCTCAAATTCGACAAAAGAAGTGGTTCATGTCTATGTGTTATCTCACTTCTCTCTCTCTCTCTCTCACTTTCCTCCATCATCATCATCATCATCATCATCCCCATCTCTCTCTCTCTCTCTGTAATCTTATCTCCTTTTAATAATTCACTCACCCCTTTACTTTCGTTGATGCTAAAAAAACATGGTACCCTATGTTGTTGGTTGTTGCTGATACTCTTCCCGAGTAACAAGTACATAGCAATAGCATATCACTGAAGGAGCCTGCAGTTTATCCTACTGTACTATATACTATGCTATGTAAGTACCTCCTTTTTCCCATCTCATCACCTAAAGATTTGTTTTTGTTATGTACTTTCCTTTAATTCCTCCATGCATTTTAAGCCATTTTTCCTGCTGCTTCCTCACTCTACTTTACTCCTTTTCTTTTTTAATTTTACCTTTTTTTTTCTTTAATTATTGTATTGCTCTTTCTTTTGTTGTGTTTTGGAGTTTCTTGAAGCTTCACTTTAGCTTGTAAGAAAAACTTTTTTTCTTAATGTTGAGGACTTTGTGTATATTTTTATGATCATTTGGAATTTTTTGTGATGGGTGGTTGTAATATCATCAGTTTCCTAACGAAGGAGAAGGATTACGCCTACTATTTGAGTATAAATTTAGATCTACGTTGTAAGGGTCAAAGGGAAGCCTCTAATTTGATGATTTAGTAACTCTTAATTCCCACTGTTCTTTGTCTTATTATCCTATAATCATTCCTCACCATAAGTTTTTGAGTATTTGTAATATTCATGTTTGCTTTCCTTGTTTTGGAGTAGTTTTTGGGTGGTTAGTTCACTGCAAGAAATGCTTTTTAGTAGAGTGTATCATGTCAATTGATGAGTGATCTTAGAACTATTTGGGTAATCTCTGGTGACAATTTAAGTCTATGCTGGCATGGAAGAGTTAAATTTCCCAAATTTATGTAGATAAATCCTTTTGAGTGTTCAGTTAAACCTATCTGATTTAATTAATAAATTTTTGCAGTCTTAATTTTGTCTTAAAGTAACTCCTGAAAACTTCCTGCCATGAGTCTTTTTATCTAAGTAGTTTTAAAAATATCATCAACTTTTGCCAGCAAGTAAAGAATCTATGACTGTAAAAACTGACACGGTACTCTACCTTAAAGACTCATGATTTGGGCAGGACAATTCCGTAATTTACTCTTGATGAATGACAGAATAGTTTAAGTTCACAACAGACAATACAAAATGCTACTTTTTTGCTTTTGCATAATATAGGGCATTTATAGAAGCACCTTATGTTCTGCTTAGCAACTAGAGGAAAAATGAAGTGTGAATCTACAGTGTGATTTGTACTCAAATCAAGAGATGGGCCAGGTTCTACTTACTAGAAGAAAAGATATGAAATGTGTAACATAATGCTCATTTAAGTATTACTATGTGATAAGGACCATTGGGTACAGTTTGCATTCAAGTCTTGTCTTGTATCCAACATATGCTTCTTTTTGTCATAATAAATAACAAAAAAGACAAGAAAAAGTTATGTTTCTTTAATTCTTATTCTTGGTGATTTATTCTTGCATTAGAACACATTTATCTGAAAACTATTTTGCGATTCATGCATGGAATCTGATTATGTATGCCTTTGGAGTCTCTCCAATCCCCTCTCCTCCTCTTCAATGTGCTTATTCTTTTAATTTGTCTTGTCATGGATGCATCGATAAACACTTTGGTTTGTGTAAGGGCCCTTTTATTTTGTTTGAGGGAAGGACTGAATTTTCTTTGTTGCAATCAAGTTTCCAATTCTTTTGCAAGATGGATGGGTTACTGGTAATGTGATAATTTGAAGGTTATTTTCTCTTTTGGATAAACAATTACATTTTGTTTACCCAAAATATAATTGCGGGCCTTCATTTTGCAATTTAGTTGACTAGTGTTCATGCCGGTTATAGATCAAAGTTTTTTTTTTTTTTTCCAGATATAAGTTTTCAGTGGAAGGTGTCGTAAGTAATCATCACTTAATGTTTGTAGGCCTGCAATAGTGGCATATCACATAAGCGGACATGAGAGAACAATTAACTAGCATGAATGACTGATAATTGATCAGTTCCTTGAGTTAGTGGGTATTTGGTATGAACCTATAGATGGTGATTGGTAGTAGAATAGTAAAAGTATCAGGTATGATATACATGATAAGTTAATATGACAATTTTATTAAATTATGGTACAGGTACAACAATATATATTAATTAAAATGTAATTATATTTTAATTTTTTTAATTTTCTAATTTTTTATTGATTTCTTTATTTTTCTCAATTAGTTGATATTTATATTAGTTTGTCATTATCATTGTGTTGCTATTTGTCTGTAATCTCTAGAAAATTTAATTAAAAAAAGCATACTTGTAATCAAATTTAAATAAAAATGTTACATTCAAGTTATGATTATAATCCCTTCACTATCTAAAGAAGACATGTAGAGGATTGAAGATAAGACAATATAAATTTGATATAAAGGCAGCCTTATAATATGCGTATTGGTATCTGGTATGGGTACAATTCATAATCACAGATACATTGTCAATTTTGAAGTATCTGTGCATCGTAGACTCTTTTACTTTGCTCTCGTTTTAATTTGTGTTGGGATTAGACAAATTTTCTTGTGTAAGGCGAGGTATTATAGCAGTAGAAGGGATAAACAAGAGGGGATTAAAATAGAAGGCAGATTCAATTTGGAAGAAAATCTTGAAGTGGAACTGATCAAGGTGATGAATCACCACCTAGTTTGTCTAAAGACTACCAAGTTAAAAAAATGAAATTAAAAGCACGAGTTAATCTAGTTTGACAATACATCAACTAGTTTGTTTCTTTACCTATAGATGACACAAGCGATACTAGAGCAAAAAATTATATGTACATTGGGGTACAAGCATCTATTAATCTTTCTCCATTACCACCATGATTTCTTTCTAGGAAAAACCATCAGAAAGTCAGCAGAAATTTGTGTTTTCTTTGTACATTCTGCAGTTTGCAGTGACCCAAGTTGGTCATTAAATCTTCAGTAGTCTAGTTCTTTGTGTAGAAAACTTCGAGACAAGAGTTCTTTGTAAATGGTAGAAGGCAATGTTTTAATCCGTGGTTGCAATTATGTCACAATCCTTGATATTATCACAAATGTGGTTGATTCAGCTGCCATTGTGGTTGCAGAGCAAAATTTAAAACAATGGTAAAAGGACAACAATGATATGAGAATATGATAGGCATGCATGACATAAGGATCACAATTATATCAGTAGCACATTTAATATGTTTTCCATCTTTTGACTTTCTTTAACAGAGGTAGTGGCCCTCCTTTAATTTATGAAGAACTGGTTAGCAAGCAATAAATGAACATCTATCCGAGATGGTTTGTGTCAGCTATAGGAAACAAAAGCTTGTCTATACTTCTAATCCTTAATAAAACTTCTTTTGGTTTATTGGCTTTATTCTTTCCTATTTTCTCTTTTAACTTTCATTCACCAATGTTTGTTTCTATTACTTCCATATATGTTATTACATGTTTTCTCCTTAATTTAATATTATTTCTATATTGGCTTCCCAACTCCCAGTTGTTATATTGTTATATCCTAAATGCTTAAACAAGCATAATTCTTTTCTGCTTTAAGTTTGTTGTTTATCTGAACTACCATTCAAATAGTAAATATATTAGATAATTGGTTCATCATGAAAAAAAAATACTTAGGTTTGTCTAATAGGAATTATTTTAGATAAAAAAAGTATACTACATTAACCTTATGTTATGGACGCTAAGGGATTGTTTGAAAAACTGTTACTGATATTTAGAAAAATACATGTGGTAGGAATGTTATTTCTATGGTGCATTATTCACTTTCTATCATCCATGATTTTTAAGTCTCTATGAAGCAAGGAAAAACAGATAAATGTTAAATAACAAGAAAATTGGGGAACTTCTTTTTGGTGATATTTTGTTCAAAGAAGTACTACTGTAAGTGAAACAGTTATATGTGATTTGTGTTTTTTCTTTTAAAAATAAATCAATTCTTGAAGAGGTTATACTTAATCCAATGAACCAGCATCTTGTTGATATTCACATGGCAATGGTTACTTTTGCAGTTTTACTCAAGATTTGAGCTATGAGAACTCTCTTAGAATCACTTGAATAACCTGATGCACATTATGTTGAACGGTAAACATCTTAAAATTTATCTGATTTCCCTTGTGTCCTAAAGGAATTTTCCACACATTTATCATCGCCAATATAGTGATCATAAATTCATAATATCTCTTTATGTTTCTGCAACAGTATTTTTCTATTTTATTTTTATTAAGTGTATTTTTTTGCTCACATGATGGACAAGCACAATGGGGGCTAATGTATATGATGGGATTGGACGTGGTTTTCTCTACTTTGATTGCATATAAGTACCAACATCATATTAATACTAGAACTTTGTATGTTCCATTTTACATTGATAAACAATATTTCCATTTTTACTTACCTAATAATGTGTTTCTTCGTAATGTAGATGATGGTGTCATGGTAAGCTGACCAAAGTGACAATTTTGTTCCATCCATTTGCCTTCTGGGGAAGAAGTTATCTCTTAGCAAATCCATTCAAACATGATGACTCCAAACTTGAACTTGGAACCTGAAAACCATTCAGAAGGAACCAGCCAAGTGGCTTCCCCTGATCTTACCAAGGGTAGCACCACCACTTCTTCCTCTCTTTCAAAGGATGAAGCTGATCCAGCTCCTGTTACCCTTGACTTGACACTTAACCTCAATTCAAATAGTGATTGTGAGTTGAAAGGTTCAAGTGATGCTAGCAGTGAAGTAGGAGCTGAAGTTCATGCTTCAGCATCAGCAACTCCCAGGGTTTTCTCTTGTAATTACTGCAGGAGGAAATTCTATAGCTCACAGGCATTAGGGGGTCATCAAAATGCTCACAAAAGGGAGAGGACAATGGCTAAGCGCGCAATGCGAATGGGAATGTTCACGGAGAGGTATACAAGCTTGGCATCTCTACCTCTTCATGGTTCACCTTTTCGGTCTCTTGGTCTCGAAGCTCACGCCGCGATGCACCGAAGACAAGTGCCATCCTCATTGATGGTTCCTGATATGAAAGCTGGTGCAAAATTTGAGAAAAATAATTTTGGATCACTAGTTTTCATGGATGATGATGATGTTGGATTCTTTTGGCCTGGTAGTTTCAGACAGGTAGATCAAGGAGCTGGTGTTAATCTAGGACATGCTCAAAGTTCTAATGCTAGTTTAGTTCCAATGCCACCCCCTTCACCGCAAGCTTCTACATCTCCTGATCTCACACTGAAGCTTTAAGCACCAAGAAATGATACATGCATAAGGAAACCCCTCACAAAGTAATAAATAAGTGGCTAAGAAGTGACTCTTCCATTGCTTTACACCCACCCAAAATTTCTCAACCACTCATTTTTATTGTGAGGGGTTCATTGAGAGATTTTTATGTGTATGTATCTCATGATTTTTTAGTCTTTGATTTCATTCTCTTTAGACATGAGATTATCAATTAATAGGGCGTGCATTGTACAGTGAGACGTGTATTTCCAGGGGCGATTTTAGCTTTGCTTTAATCTCACATTATTAACGGTTTCCTCTCATTTCTATTTTGCTTCATTATCGATGATATTGCATTCGGTGTGTTATATCTATAATGTTTTTGCGATGCACGGATTGTTAGAAACATTATGTATTAATATGATTCAATTGGCAATAAAAGCTTCTACGTGGGTTGATTTCGGTTGCAGGAGTTCGAATCTTATTAGAAACGCCAATGATTAAGGTCACATTAAGCAGAAGAAAGAAGAACAAACCTCGATAATTTTACGCTATAATTTAATACGATCTTTATAAGCTTACCCCCTAAGGAATTAAGTTTTGAAACTGTCTAAGCATGCATTATTTAATCTTCAACAAAATGTTCATGCAATGTAATTGTTGGCTTATGGTTAAGAATCGTGAACTTTATAAACTTGGAATATTTATTTTGCCGTCCAACTTGACCTGTGTAATGTATTATTAGGCTATTATTGCAAGTGTTTATTCGGCTTAAAGTTGTCGTGAAGCCCATGCCAATTGAAAGTGGACATCTTAAGCAACATTTTGATATAATAATTCATAAGAATCCAACTTAAGAATTTATTGCTGATTACTTTCGTTAGACCTTCCTTTATGAATCCTTAGCAAGATCTTTACTTAGAATATGATAATTTTGTTTCCAAATCAAATTATTGTGGTTCAAGATTCTCATCCATGTCCAACTCGACTAATGATGGTTTAAATGGGCATAAGTGTCATGGGTGGTTTAATAAACCTATGTTTTTCTCTTCAGTTATTAAGTTAGTTTACACAAAGTACCAAAGTTAATTGTTAATTTTTTATTTTTATTGCAATTTTTTTATAACATATTTTTAATGTAAATTTAAATAAAACGAAGAGCACAAGCGACAGCCCTAGAAAACAAACAATGAAAATAGTGTCAAATGCGAAAAATTAAGGAAAAAAAAAAGTATAATTTTTTTTTCCTTCTTGTATTTAGATATTTTATCTTATATGATTGAGAAATAATCTTTTATGTGAGGTTCACTATTTTATTTTCCCACATATAGATTTTGAGTATGGAGGAATGTGAGATTTTTTTTATTTTTATCATAAATAATTTTTAAAATTATATAACAATATTTAAAAATTACATAATTAAGAAAAATGTCATCTTAATTTTTTAATATTTTATTAAAATAAAATATTATTATTATAAAAGTATGTTTTCATATAAACTATCTTTTTTGTTTCACTCTCTTTTGCATTCATATAAACAAGTAAAAAAAAATTTTCAGTTTTTTCTCTCTTATTTCTCGCTATTCAAACAAAACATCTTTCTTATCCCATTTTTCATCTATTTCTTTTTCAGTGTTTTTTCTTTTACTTATTTTATTTCTACTCATTTTCTATGTCTAATATACGAAGGATCACTGTTTGCTGGGCCTTACTGGTGTAAAAATAGGGTAGAAGTGGTGGGCTTAAAGCCTGGTAATCGGCTACGATTATTTCGACTTAAAAAATATATGTAATTTATTGAAACAAAAAATTAATATAGTTGTACTTTTTTCTCGTTTTGTTTTAAAAAAACAACATAAAGTTATCTAATAAAATATATTTTTCACTGGAGAACAATCAGGCTATCACTCTCCAATCTGCAAACCATAGATAAAATTTAGGGTCTTGTTTGTCACGACGTTATTGCATTAAAAATTACGAGAAAATAAGTTACTAATATTTTTTCATACTTTCTTACTTTTATAATTAGTATGATTAAGACATTTATTAACTTTAAAAAAATTATAATTATCTTTATGAGGGATAATGGACCGATTAATGTTTTTTTTTTCTGACTTAGTCAAATATGGTAACACATTAACGTAAAAAATAAAAATGTTTTTTCAATCAAAATTAAACATGTGACAATATATAAATTATATAATTTCATAAAGTACTAAAAGAAAAAAATAACTAATAACTTGTTGTTTAATCAAATTTTATTTTATATGGACTTTTTCTAACAAATTGAATGCACAGTTATTATGAGTTTACATAAAGCATAAAAATAATATTTAAGAATTTAGTTTTCTTAAAAAAATTATTTTATTTCTTATTTTTAATTTTTTAAACAAGTCTCTAAAAAAATACGTATTTTTCATACAATTTCTTTATTAATAATATTCAATTTAACTCATATAATATAAAATAAAATTAATGTGAATCTTTATGTGACATTTACACTTTCATTTTTAAAATTTTTAATTTTTAATTTTAAAAGTTCTAACTTTATAATGTAAAAATTTATTTAAAATATAAAAGATGTACATAAGGCTGTTAATAATAGTTTAGTTTATATTACACCTTTATCAAAACAAATAAGTTAACTCAAATATTATACAAATAAACAATAAAATAAGTTGACAAATTATTAACCGGGAGACTAAGTGAAAATGGAAAATAATTTTGGAAAAACTAATACTTTATTTAAATAAAAATTATTATTATTATGGTAATAATATTATATAATATAGTAAGAATATATGTATATATCAAAATTTTAAATTAATAAAAATTATTTATCAATATAATTCATCGTAACAACGATATTGGTTCTTATAATTAAATTTTTATTAAATAAGGTCTACATGAACGAGATGAAACCTAACTATAAACCAATACTAAAGATATTTTTTAAATAATGAAATAAACTTTCATTTAATTGTGAATGAAATGAAAAAAATGCACAAAATCTGATGATTCAATTTTTACGCAAAGATTGAGTTACAATGGACAAGGTTTACTTCTTAATCAATTTGAGTGAATTGAATTATTCATTTTCTTCTGCTGATACAATATCTGATGGCAAAAACTAATCATAATTTGAACATAAAAGTTAAAAAGGGAGGGAACATTTTCATTGACTTTTTGTTTGTGGTACATAATATGATCTATTTATGACGATTTTCTTGTCTTACTATTCCATTCACCTCACTTTGCATACCAAAAGCGTCAGAGCGTTCGGCACCATTTGACTTTGAAGCAACCAAACCAAGTAACGTCCCATTTTTAAAATAAAAAATATTTTATTTAAAAATTATAAAAATACACTTTTATATTATTTAATATAATTTCAAAAATATATTATTTATTAATGTTCTAACTGATTAACAAGAATCATGTTATTTATAAAAAACTTTCTTTTGATACAAGAGAAAATAAATAAAACTTTAAATGTTATTTAACTTTACATTATTACATAATTAATAATTTAAAATCCATGTTTAGGATATTTTTAATTGGTTAATGTTATCAAATTTTGTATACTGATATTATGTTAAATTAAACTCCATTTATAAATACCTTTGATAAATAAAAAATTGGATTCGTAACTTGTATATTTAAAACAAACTATTGATATTAAATTGTCTTTATGTATTAAACTAAAATGCATATTTTTAAATGTAATAATTCTTTATAGCTAAATTTAAGAATATTCCTAGGAAAAAAATCATCGTTCTCTTGAATTCTGGACCCAAAGTCTTTATCTCAAGAATCCAATTAAATGACTTTCCCAGAGGGAATTTGAACATTAATAAGGCTTAAATAATCTGTATATCTGTTTGTCTTATTTTTAGCAACGAGACAAGAGGAAAGAATGAAAAGAATAAGTTCAAATTTTCGTGTATTTTATAAATATAAATAATATAAATTTAGAAATTACTTGAACAAATATTATTTTAATGATAACGTAAATTTAAAGTAATTATGTGAAAATGTCAATGGTTTAATTTTTAAAATTAAAGATTTATTTCATTAAGAAAATACTCTTTATGTATAATTTATATTATAATTATAATGAAATACTTTTTATATATAGTATACTATAATTATAATGAAATTAATTTTTCCTCTTTTTTTCAAAATTTTAGTTGAAAAAATTACTCTCTCTTACCTTTAAAAAAAGAATATAGTATACTATGATTTAGTTTATTTTAACGTTAAGGCTTTAGAAAATGAAATAAAATTTAAGTGAGTAAAATTATTATTTAAGATATTATTTATATTGAAATTCTAAAATCGATAGAATAATATTCAAAATTAATTACCTGTTACCTAAGAAATTACAAATAAAAAAATATTGAAAAATTAATTTCATACATAATTGTTTGTCATCATTAATAGATTTGTATATTAAAGTACAATATAGATAAACTTTTATAAAGAAATTTTAAAAATAAGAAAATACTGTCTGATTTAAATTATTGTGAAAAGTAGAAATAATAATAATAATAATACGATGGAAATGACAAAGAAGGAGTAGAAGATGGGGTTCATGGAAAAGGAGAGTTGCTTGGTGAGGGGTGTGAGCTGTTTGGTGGGGAAGCAAAAGTAAAGTTGCATTGCAGAATGCACAATGCAGAGTCAAAAAAGAGGTCCACTTGGGAGTAATTATGTTCATTTCCAAGGGTTAAGACTGTAATCTCTCGCGTGCAGAAAAAGCATCGCCGTTTTTTCATAGAACACAGTGTGAAAGCTTGAAAAATTGAAAATCCATCCATATGGTTGTGTTGCCCATTAACCAAACCCTTTCATTTCCCATTATTTTCTCAATTGCCCCTGTCAACCTTAGTTGTCTGTTTCTCTGTCTTCGTTAGCCCCCTCTCTCCCCCTTCTTCCTCTGGCCATGATTGCAAGTAAAGATCTTCGGAGTGGTGCTGTTGACTCTGAGGGTGAGAACTCCAGGAGCAAGTTTTCAAGGCAAAATTTTGAGGCTGCACCAGATGATAAAGGTGTTGAATTTCTGAGAGATTCTGAGGTGGGTGGTGATGTTGATGGGGTTCTTCACTCCAACCCCACCAAGGGTATTGGCAGCTCAACGTTGCAAGAGCTTACCCTGAGCTACCTCTGTGATAACCCAAAATTGGGTCTTGCTGAGAGAGAGATTCCTGGGAAAAGCTTGCTGAATTCTTTTGAAAAAATGAGCCACAAAGGGAAAGAGGTTGTGGTTTCCGAGAATTCAAATCAAGATGGAAAATGGGTGGAAAGAGATTTCCTTAGCCTGAGTGAACCAAGAGAGGATTCTTCAAAGCGATCCCTTGAAGAAGAAGGGGTTGAAAGAGAGAGTAATAGGGACAAGAAGCCAAAACTTGAGACGCTTAATCTCTCTCTTGCTTTGCCTGATGTGTCACTTTCTCTCACAGCTTCAAACGCCTTACAGAATGGTGATCAACCAGTTAGGACTAAGCCTAGCAGGCCTTCAACTACTTCTTATTCAAATGATTACACTGCAGCTTCTTTGTCTTACTCTTATTCCCACCCTTTCTCCCACAACCCAAGTTGTTCACTCACTCGCAATTCAACTGATAATTTTGAGTATTCATTGAGCAAAGATGACCAGATTTGGAATTGTGGGGAAGGGACTAATGGGTCTGTGCATAGTAGGTTCAAGCCTATTGGAGACGGGGTTGCTTTGTCCAATCATGGCGCTGGTCTTAGCTCCTTTATGCAAGGTAATAGTCAGTATAAAACTACTAGTTCAGATAATCATTCTTTTTTCCCTTCAGAATTACCTGCTAGACCAAGGTTTGAGGCTCAATCAGGAGGGGACTCCAGGGGAAGGAATTCTGAGAATCTGAGACTCTTGGAAGGCTTAGATGATGGGAAGATAAGAAAGCTTTCAAGGCCTGAGAGAATTGTCAGGGAAATTGTGTCAGAGTCTGTTCCTGTCATGGCATTGACAATTCAGGAGCTAGCTGATGAAGTCATAGTATCAACTAAGGAATACTTGAAGAATCTCATTGAGAAGGCTGAGAAGAAAGAGGAATTGGCAAGCCTTCAAAACCGGCTTGAGAGAAGATCTGATCTTAACAAGGAGACTCTTGCAAAGTGCCATAAAGTGCAATTAGAGATTTTAGTGGCTGTCAAGATGGGGCTTGCTAGCTTCTTATCTAACAAAGTTCACTTATCTGAGTTAGTAGAGATTTTTTTGTACAAGAGGTGTAGAAATGTGACCTGCAAGCATGTGCTTCCTGTTGATGATTGTGATTGCAAGATTTGCTCAGGAAATAAGGGCTTTTGCAGTTCTTGCATGTGCCCTGTATGCTTGAACTTTGATTGTGCTAATAACACTTGTAGTTGGATAGGATGTGATGTTTGTTCACATTGGTGCCATGCTACCTGTGGCATTCAGAGGAATCTCATCAAGCCTGGGCCTAGCTTGAAGGGTCCTTCAGGAACCTCAGAGATGCAGTTTCATTGTATTGGCTGTGGACACGCCTCTGAAATGTTTGGTTTCGTTAAAGATGTGTTTATTTGTTGCGCGAAGGATTGGGGCCTTGAAACCTTGATGAAGGAGCTTGACTGTGTAAGGAGGATTTTCAGGGAAAGTGAAGATCGCAAAGGGAAGGAATTGCATTTTAAAACTAATGACATGCTATTAAAGCTTCAAACCAAAATGATATCTCCTTTGGATGCCTGCAATTACATCATACAATTTTTCAGCTGTGAGTGTTTGAACTGTGGTCATTTCTTTTCAAAGTTAAATTTTTGTGTTAATATAGAAAAATATATTTGCTTTATACATCATTTAATTGGTATGCACTATGAACACATCATGATTTGCTTGCTCTCAACAAGAAGTAAAGGATCGATCCGCTTTCTTCAGTGAATTGAGTGAAAATCACTTGATATGCTAACCTGTTGGATCTTATACCTATATATTCTCATCCTAGTTGCATGAAAACGTTTTCACATGATATGAAGGGTTTGTAGTACCATTAATTTTTGGAAGCGAGTAAAAAACTGGTAACGTTTAATTTGATTTGGTAGGATTGTGAATAAGGGAGGATTAGAAGTTTCTGTGGAGGAGGGAAAGTATTACAGTTGAGTAAAGATTTTGTGCTACTGAGAGATGAGAGATACAATACAATACAGCACACATTAATAAAATGAGAAGCCAAGTACATTACCGTTTCCACCTATTAAAATTTTCCGTTGAGTCTTTGATAAAACAAAATAAAACAAAAACAGACAATTTAAAAGGAAAAGGAGACTAAATGAAAGGTGAAATAAGGTAAGTGTTTGGATGTTCAGGACAAAAAATAGAATAACAAGTAACAACAAGAATAGGGTACCACAGTTTCCCAACAAATTTTTTTAGTTTAAGGCAGGAAATTCAGTGGAAGTTGATGATTGAGAACCATTAAGTTTGTTGATGTGGTTTTTAAAATGGATCATAAACATATTTGTTTTTCATTATTTTGCTGTAGAAAAAAAAAAACAACCAAAATCTCTCTCTTGAACATTTTTGCTATAACCTTTGCAAGAACTAATCCAAACACACACTATATGGAAGATGTTAATGATACTATGTAGTGATTTGACATGATTTTTTTTTTTTCAAATGTCCTTTCATGTAGAAGGCCATTTTCCTACTATAGCTTAGTTCTTGCTAATCTTTTTGCTGTGAAGGCTTGTTTGATTTTCTTAAATTACTGAAAACAATATCTGATATCTAACTGTTGAGAGATGTTTTTCTGACAAACAGATGCGGATAGCATGTCAGACTTTCCTGCTTCTGGTATTTCTTCAAAGGATATGGCAGCCTCTCAAGCTAAGCTTACAAAGGATACACCTTCTCATTCGAAACCCACTTCTCTATTACCAAAATATGCTTATGACTTGAGCTATTCTAGGTCACATTCTGATGCCATGTCAAATGATCTCCTTCAGAAAGACCTCAAAGCTTCCATCTTGAGTGAACTGAAAAACGAGTCTGATTTTCATTTGGGGGCTTTGTTAAGGAAAGGTGGACTCGAAAGCTTGGAGAGCATTGTGCGAATAAAGGAGGCAGAAGCCAGAATGTTCCAAACGAAGGCGGATGAAGCGAGAAGAGAGGCAGAGGGGTTCCAGAGGATGATCAGGACGAAGACTGCTCAGATGGAAGAAGAGTATGCTGAAAAGCTTGCCAAACTCTGTTTGCACGAGACCGAGGAAACGCAGAGGAAGAAACAGGATGAACTGAAGGTGTTGGAAAATTCATATTTTGATTACTACAAAATGAAAAAGAGAATGCAAGATGAAATTGATGGTTTATTGCGGAGAATGGAGGCAACAAAGCAGCAATGGGTTTAAATTTTTTACTATTTGTTGTTTTCTCTTATGCTTTCTTACTCAGAATACGCTGCTAAAATGTGTGTAATTTATTGTATTGATCTGCTGTCATGGTATTCTGGTTGTTCCAAGAATGGATGGTTTTTAATTGGTAAATTCAAGTTTTTGGTGTTTCATCTTTGATTCTTTTTCCTTGATGAATTGAGAGGGCGTAAATGTCAAAGTGAACAAGTTCTGTGTGAAAGTTATGCACTCCCTCCCTTCTACTGTTTTTATTGTGAGTTGGAGACAATAAAACTTGTGAAATATCTTTTCATTGTTGCATATAGATTTGCCTCTACCCTCTATTTTGACATTTTCCTTCTAAGAAACTTGAGTTGTCTGTCCTAATCTCCTTTTTATATATTTGCTTTTTTTTTTTAAGCTATCTTAAGATGATAACACATACAAGGAAGGCACTCATTGTTTTTATTTATATTAATATTATCTTTAACTTCTTGATATAATAATAATTACTATTTTTATTTAGAATAAGTGTGTAAAGTGTTCTAACATTAAGTAGAGGTAAAGATTTAATTAAAATGATAATAATTAATATTATGTTAAATTTTAAGTAGACAGATAAATAAATAAAATTTAAAAATAAATATATAAAAATTTGAAAGGAGCACTTAGCGTTTATTATTCAAAATATCTTTTAAGAAATTTCAAGAAAAAAAAATAAAATTTAAAATAGTTTTTGTTGCATATTATTTTTTGTATATAAGAACGATTTATTTATTTATTATGTGCTTAAAAATACACATTCAAAATTTTAAAAATAATATTTTTTATTAAAAATTATAGTATTTAATGTTAGTAATTTGTAATATTTTATTGTATATTCTCAAGCATATATTAAAAAAATATTATAAGAATTAATAGTCAATATTCTTTCAGCTATAGTCGGAAGAAGTAAGTATTTATTTTTTAAATATATTAATTATTAATTTTTTTATATTTTTATTTGTTGAAATATTTGTATTAATAAAATATTTATTCATTATTTATATAAATAAATAATTTAATCATTTAATACCTTAAATCATTAATTTAACTTATAATATTTTTAAATAAAATATAAAATTAGAAGGTATAATTTATTTATTTTCTTGTATGTGAAGAGTATAGAAAGATGCACCACTAAAATGGAGAGAGAGTTTGAGACGATTAGTTGTGCCAAGTGTTGGTGGATGGAGCATAAAGGAGGAGAGTGCTGAAAAGTGAAAAGCACTTTGGCTTGAATATTATATTATAATTCTGGGATTTGCTTATTTGGTGACCGTTGATTGCGGCTTCTTACCCCTTAATTTGCAACTGTTTTATGCTGAGCAGTGTTTTGCCACTTAGCATTGGAATTTGGAAGTTGGAAATTGAAACTTGTTCATCAAAATCATAATCAAAGGGAATCTAAATATTTTAATACATCTCAAATTGAAATATCTCAAGTTGATAGACAGGTAAGCCTCTTCAACTTGTTGAACGTGCTTGATTTTTGGTCACCATGTTTATATGCTAAAAATAATATTTAAAAAACTCTAATTATTTTGTTAATCTTTCTATCTCAAAATAATAATAATAATAATTGTCTATTGACAGATAATTTCAGTTTATAAAAAAATTAAAATCTACAACTGATAAATTTTAGTGTTTCAAAAACACGTATTCCTGTTAAGATCGTGATAAATGATATGTATGTATGTATATTTTTTCTTATTTTAATCTTTTTTGAGATAAAAACAATATTAAATTAAGATACTAAATGCTAATTATTAATAGTGGACATTACTAAAGTACCGAAATTTTGCTCATCAACAACGGTTGATTTTGAATGGATTTGATTTTTTTATATTATTTATTAACACAATATTGATAGAGTTTAATTTTAAGGTATTATTAATACAAAAAATTATACTATCAATTAATTTGAATATATAATAGATATGACAGTTATGTTAATTATGTAAAGTCAATAAATTTTGTTAATATAATAATAATAATATTATTATTATTATTAAATGACAGTGCGCAAGTCTTTATAATAGTAGTGTATTTTAATTAAACTTATACTAATAATTTGTTGTTATGACCAAAATATGAAAAAATCATGAAAATATTTATTGTTACTTGTATATATAAATTATTCATTTTTAATTTTATAATATTATCATGTTAGTTATTAATATAAATGGAAAAATAAACTTTATATTATTCATCTCAGTTTAGGATGTGCAATGGATGTGGCGGTTAGCTTCTATTAAACATATTTAATTAATCAATGTTTTGGTATTTTATAATTTATGATGAATTTACGATTTTACGTTGTAATTTTCTATTCAAATCTGATTTAAAATGTTTTAACCAGTTAAAAATATATAACTAAAAAACTTTCTAAACATTAGAGCTTTTATAGGAAAAAAAAATAAAAGAATGGATTTATCATGATTAGAATAAAATTCTAACTGATCAATTTTATTTTTTGAATAATTTAATTGAGAGAAAAAGGAGTTTAACACTGACACCAAAGAAAGGTAAATGCTTCACGAACAAATGGAACGAAACAATTTTTTTTCGTTTATTTTATTTTATTTTATTTTTCAGTAGAATTAGAATATATCATAATTTTAGCTTTACATAACAGTTCTTTTTTTTTTTTAATACACCAAATATAAAATAAAATCTATATGTTATGATTTATCAAACGTTACTTGAGGGACCAGTGAAGTTCCCACTTGTATCACGTGGTTTTGAAACACAACGCAACGTAAATATTTGAGTATATATATTAAGACTGTGTTTGTAAATTTGATTTTAAAAAATAACTTTGATTAAAAAATTTAAAGTAAAGTGATTTATATTTAAATATTTTAGTTACAAACATATATGAATAACCTTTATTCATTTTTTAAATATTTTTAAGAATAATTTAATAAGGCTACGTTTGTTTTATCATAAAATAATGTTTTCCAAGTTCAAACTATGTATACTTGTGTAAAATGCATAAACAAATAAATATTTATAATAGCAAGTGACTCTGTAAAAATTTTAAAATATTATTATTTTACAAAATAGTAAAATTGTCAAAAGTTTAATGCAGTCTATTCACGAGTGCTATTGGAACCAATATAGAGAATCACACTGAATAAACTTTTTTCTAGTACGAAAACAAAGCACCTCAGTTGTGAATCAAGTTATATCCCATAAAGAGTACAAAAAGAAAATAAGAAAAAATTACACAAGCCATTTCCGGTAATTTAAAAAAGAGAGTTACAAAATCCACAAAAAAAGAAAAAGAAAAAAAAAGAAATGGTGGAACAATCCAATTTGTGACGATGAATAAAAGAAGTGGAGAAGAGCAATTCAGGGAAAACGGGCCAAACCAACAGTGATATCAACAAAAACTCCAAATAGGAGAATTGCGAGACCCGTGAAGTTGATCAAACGAGATTCTCTCTGATGTAGCTGTGGTTTTAACATAGTATACCTCTCCATCAAGCCTGTTAATGCAGCACAAATTGCCATGAAAAATAGTGCTCTACCACAAGCTACGTGCCATGGAGCCGCCGCAGCCCTTGATTCTAGAGATCCTTGAAACATAACCGCAAGTCCAAAAACCCACTTCAAGCAACAAACACATCTCATTATCAAAGTTTTCACTTAGTAATACAACTTTTAATAAATAAAATATTTATTATGTATAAATTGATTTTAATTTATAAAATATTTTTTATTTTTCCTTTTGTAAAGCATTTCTGTAAAAACTTACCAGTCATGATCATTTAAAAAAAATCTCTAACACAACTATATTATTGTTTCTTTAAAATAAGTTTAACCAAACATAGGTTTGGTCAGGTATTGGATATTGATTATTGTTTAAATCATCATCATATATATATAGACATGTATTATTGAGATGAATTTTACCTGCAAGCCAAACAAGCAAAAGGTGCCAATGCCAATCCATGAATGGAGGCTGTAAACATCCTCCAACCTCACCATATCATGGAACTTGAAAACGGCACATATACCAACAATCCCAAGAACTATTGCTATCAAATGAAGTGTCATGTGGATGATCTTCTGTGTTTGATGTTGCCCTGGTATCGAGTGGTATGCTAGTATTGCTGCTCAAAGTTGAGACCAACCTAATCAGTCCCATAACTGATACGGTATCTGTGCACCACTTAAATTATTCCTACACATTTTTACATCTTACTTTACCGCTTTATCTCTCTTTATCGTATAATTCATCTGTCTTATCTTCCACTTTACCCTTTAGTGTGTAAAATATGTTGTACAAAAATTATGTATATATGCATCGCTCAAATTTTAAAATATGTAGGTAAATTAATATGCTAAATTGGAGTAACATTTTTATAGTTTCATCTGAGCCTAAGCTTAGATAATTTTTTAAATAAATGCCCGTAAGAGTTAAGAGTTTAGAAATAAAATGAATCTAACTTTTTTGATAGGTTAAAATTAACTGATAAAAAAAATTATTGATTTTTTATATTATTTTTTCTTATGAAAACTTATTCACAACGTGATCCAAACTGAAACTAAATTAATTAGAATCTAAATATAACTTCGCAACAACGGGACACGATATGAGAGTAACATACCTTGACCAACAAAGAAAATGAACCCAAAGAACATCATGAAAGGGTGAACCTGCAGGGTGGAAAAAGCCTCAGTAAAGTAGAATATGACTATTGTGTTTAAACAAAGAAGAGAAACACAAGAAATAGTTTTACATTGAAAACACGAAATGGGTTGTCAGAATCATATTCAATCCCCTCGCGGTAATGCAGCAACCAAACAAGCAAGAGAATGAGGGCAAGGAGGCCAAACAAGTGAGCAAAAGCTGTTGTAGCGTATGCACTCATCCTATTGGTTTCAGTGGGAGATGCAAAATGAGATGAGAACAAATTTTGAAGCAGAAAGAGAGTGAGTGAAACTTGTTATTATTCAAACAAATTTTTGCTGGTTCTGACATGGTGTTATTCTGCTGTGGTTCTTTCTTATAGAGGTTTCCTTTTGAAAAAGCTCATAAAAGATGGAATTGCTTCATCTCTTGGTTTTGGAATTTTGAATGAAGAAGAAACTTTGGACATAAGCCAACTCTAGCTGTATCTAAAGCATAAATTCGATATTATGTTAAATGGTTTCAACTTTTGTCTAATGTATATTTTTACATAGGAATTGAGGTCTTATACTGAGTTAGAGTATCACACATTACAAGTAATGGGTAAATGAGACTAATTTCTGGGTAAAAATGTTACTTTTAAACTGACATAATATAAAAAAAAATTGAGTATAATAGCAATATATCCTTAGCGTATATACTAAATGTAGCACATCCAATCCGATTAAGTTGAACTCCAGAATACCCCGAGTTCATTGGTAGGGGCACTGGTGCAGCCATGACACAGGAAAGCCAATATATAGTTTTGGATGATTAAGCAAATAGGCTCTGATTGCAATGCCTAGAATAGAGATGCGAATAAGTTAGAGCATTTCTCAAAAACTTAGACCTAATTTATATTAAACTTATGTTAAGTTAGACTTATTTATTAAATAAAATATTTTTTTTAAAATTTTATTTAGTTAAAAAGTTCAATTTTATGTCATTTTAAAAAAAATTATAATAAAAAAAGTGATTTATTTAAATAAATATATGACATTACCATATTAAATTTTTACTATAATAATTTTGAAATTAATTATTATTATTATTTATAAATTTAAAATCATTAATTTATATATAAGTTTAAGTATATTAACTTGTTTAAAGTAGGTTTATAGGCCTATTTTAGCGGTTTAACTATAAAATATTCAAGTCTTATTTTTTAAAAATTAACTAGATCCTCTTTACAAAACTTAGCCTTTGCATCTCTCCACTTGAACTTTTTCAAGTTATGATTGTTGTATTTTTATTAATTTTCAAATAAATCATAAAAAGTAGCAAAAGACAAAAAGATAGGACTTAAATATATTTTTAGTCTTTAAACTAATTTTTTTTAATCTCTTTAAATAATAATTATTTTTCAATTATCGTATTTTAGTACTTTTAATTCTCGTCACTAATATAGTCCAACAAAAAATTAATATTTGATAGTCTCTTATATTAGACCAAATCAGTAATAAGGATACTAAATAGCAATAAAAACTAAAAAAAATATAGAGACAAAAATAAAAATAGAATTATTTAAAGAAATTAAAATAAAAAATCACCAAAATCCAAGAACTAAAATCATATTTAAACAAAAAATCAAAAGATAATCATGCCAAACCACCAATTAATGACTTGGGAGAGGAGCGTCGCTAAACATCTGAGGTAGCTAGGATTGAATTGATCTTAATTATATGATTCCCAAAATTTGTGAACTAATTCAATCATATATCTTTTAGGAAAAAAAACAATTAAGTTGTGATAACGATAAATGAAAAGGAATGTGGAAATAAGAATAATAATAATAATAATAACAATAATAATCTTGCACAATACTATTAAAATAAAAGTAAGTTGTTAGTCTGAAAATTAATCTGTTCAAAGCAAAGATCACCTTCTTTTCGTCTCTGTTCCCCAACTTAGAGTAATTTTGTCTTTTGTACCTTCTATTTTTCAATGCTACATAAGTCCCTCACAATATAAAACAATAATAATATATAAATTTGTTTAAAAAAATAAAGGTTTTAACAAATTTAAGTCTCTTTTGAATATATACATATTAATGCATATAATTGAGGATAATTTTATTATTTTTGATATATGAGAATCCTCGGAATGAGAAGTATGATGTCAAGCTCTAAATTTACTTTAGATATTTCTTTAGTCCCCATTCTTACTTTCACCGAAAAAAATTCTGAACTTAGAATTCTAATTGCGACAATTCCCATTGAAATTAGATAATGAGAAAATGTGCATATTTACAAATAAAGATACAATTTTTGCACAGTTGATAATAAGTTTTTCATACTTCTGTAATATCTACATTCACATTCTTCTCTTACAATTATTTTTCCTTATTTAACAGCAGTTTTGATTTAAAAACAATTAAAAGAATTAAGGAACACTTATTCTAAAAATATACTAAAAGAAATCTCCGCACAAAGATCGTCATAAGACTAGTTTTAAATATAAACAATAGATAAAACCATAAAGTTCATTCTAAAATGATTTAAAAAAATTGCTAACAACACTTTCTCTAACACACTTTTTATTTATTAAAAATTAAAAAAGTATGAGAAAGAAACATTAATTTAAAAGTGAAAAAATGTAAAATCAACATGGTTTTTGTAGTTTTTAATAAATTTTAGTTAATAACAAAAAATGTGTTATAAAGAATATGTTGTTAGTATTAAGTATAATTAAAATATTTGGTTGAGCAGTTTTATTTATAAGTTTTCCATTAATTTCTTAACCTCCATATGTGGGGGACGGGTGATCCATTTTCATACAGCTTTACATTTACTCTGTGTGTGTGAACTATGAAATGTTCCCACGATGAGATAAGGAGTAAGCTTTGATAGGCAAAAGGAATAAAAGAAAAGAGAAGGCTAGTTTGGAAGGTGAAGAAAAGAATAGGGATCCGAGGTGCACCTTTAAACCTTATGCAACACTAGTTTAAGCGGCTCAATCTATTTCTCATGAAACACAAATTTACAATTTTTCCTTTAACTTTAATAAAAGGAAAAATTGTAAATTTTTTTTGAAATTGCAATGTAACTAGCTCTTTTTAAGTTTAAGTTTTCTCTTGATGTTTAACTTGTAAATATGTACTTAATACTTGGTACGAATTAGTTACTCATGTTAATGACCTTTCTTAACATTAAAAAAATGGAATAATAAGTTTTGCTTCTTTACGAATTTTATCTTTTATTTTTAGTAATAGACTACTTTGGTGCGTGATTTTTACTATTTTTTTAATACATTATATTCATATATATTTGAACAAATAATTAATCTCTGTGAGTTCAAGAGAATTTGCAGGGCCCAGAACCTCCTGTAATCTTTTCAAAGTAACATAATTATGATAAACATTCATGTTTTGATCCACAGATAATATAAAAATATGAAAACTATCCAACAATCATGTAACATCACACTTATTTAATTAGCATTAGTTTTAAAGCTTTTCTATTCTTGCTTTTTAATTTGCTTGAATATTGTGGTCTTTGTTTATTACTATTAATTACTACTCTATATTTTCTTCTTTTTTTATTATTATTTGTGCTCATGGGAATGCCAAATAAAATTATGAGAAGTTTATACAATATGCTTGCTGCTTGTCAGATGAACATAAATACTCTGATCGAGACATTTGCTTTAATTATCTAAGTTGCTACTAGCAATAATTATTTTATAGTTCTGTGTCAGATTCTATAGACTAAGAATTTTAAATGCTATAGAACTCTGTTTCGAGGTTAATTTACTATTTGATCTAGGTATGGCTTGCAACATAAACTTGTCGTCCACGTCAATATATTCATATTTAATATGGATGCAATACATATTTTGTTTAGAATTTTCAGTTTTGTAATATTATACTGTTTCCAAAATTATGTGTAATGTGAAGCATGTGAAGCTATTGAAAAATTGAAAGTGGCTAGAGTCTATTTCTCTCAGCATTGTCAACTGAGAACTGTAATTTTTATTAAAGTTTTTTTTTTCTGTGACCAACATTATGTTTCAACGTGCTACGACGTTACTTAAAACAATTACTATGATACTTTTTTTATGTACTAAAATAGGTAAAGTTAAAAGATATACGTTTCAATAGGAGGGCCTACAATATTTCTGTTACCTCAATTAAGTGACTAGAGCATTGCTTTGAGAATTGAGATGGAGGCAAGAGAGGGATACATATGTATATATACGTAGTCATACATTCCCTAGTCCCCACCAAAGTGGAAAATTGCGATTCTTCTTAATTCTAGCCCTACCAAAGGAACCTTTTCAAAATTTATTAGTTTTTGTCCAATCTGCATCTTTGACAAGAAAACGATCCACTAATTTTCTAGTACAATTTTGTAGAACCAATAATCATTTAACGTGGGATATAAGCAAGGAATAGTGTACCACGAACAACTACAGTGTGTGATGGCTCAGAAAGAGAGAAATACGGGAGATGGGGGCACTCACCTGCCTTGTATCTGGGAATAAATGATGTGTCATGAGATGAGGGCCTACAATATTTCTGTTACCTCAATTATTAAAACTTTATGCTGTGTATATTATTATTATTATTATATTATTTTTTATTTTTTATTTGTCATTGAAGGATGTAATTGTAAAAAATTTCTAAACTGATTATGGTCCTTATATCCCTCCTAATATATTCATCAAACACTTTTGGGCCTACAATAATGGTCATGCACCCTCCTTCTGCAAACATTGTTACATCCTTTTTAGCCTTGCCCTGGTTTTTTCAAGTGGGATTGAATTCAATCACATGAGAGATTTGTCCATATATATTAACTAATTTACAAAAATAAATAATTTTTCAAATATAAAATGTAACCTATGAACATACTTTAAATGAATATACATTAACATCAGTCAATTTTTTTTTAACTTCAGTCTTTAAAAATAAGTTTAATTATTTATAAAAATAAATTTCTTATAAAAAATCACATTTATTATATTATAGTTAAAAAAATATAATAAATATTTTTAATAAAATTTTACTATTATGAACCCAATTTTTTTCTTTAACATTGTCAATTTTACGATATATCCATCATATTGTCTGATTTTACGACATTTTATGCCTTTACCGTGATAGTAATTAACTACTCAATCTATATGCATATATCATAATTAAATAATGTTAAGGTATTTATTTTCATTTATCTCCGTACGCATGTTCAAATTAACAAGAGTTAAGACTCATCTTTGGACAGTGAAACATTTCATTTGTTAA